AATATACACCGTACACAAGATGTTTGGTTAATTATGTAAATTAATTATTAAATTTTATCGCGTAGCGAGATGCACGATTCGTGTCTTTGTCCCGTTGCCTGCATCGGGAGCTGAATAGCTGATTACATTTTCAATTATTACTTGAACATTTATAGTTATTACTGAACAGTTATTGCTGTTTCTTTTCTTTTCTTTTCTTTTTTTTTTTTTTTTCAAAAATGGAATGCAGAGACAGAATAATCCTCTCCTGAATTATTCTATTATTTAGATGAAATAATAAGTATTAAAGAAAAAATGGTTTAAAATTCGTATTTAAAATTTCCAGCGCCCAATTCTGAAAATTTTAGGGGCCAACCAGTAATTGAGTTTTGCCGCTCGACCACTGATTGGTCTCTTACCGGGACATTTGTGTGCATGAGCGTTTTAGTAGTTTCCCAACTGTGTAATGTGGATAAGAGGCAGTCTTCCTTAGAAAGTCCATTTTTTTTTTGTTAAAGTAATAAATATTATTAAATCTATTATGGCATAATGGTTGGTAAAATATTATGGCATAATAGCATTATGCGCCAACTATGAAAGAAAAACAAAAAATAATCAACAAAGCCTATCATTTCATACTCTATAGTGCATACAGATTCTGTTTAATGGTTACATAGTATTAGTGCAACTAATTTTTTCAATTTTCGGGTTATTTAAATTAATTTCGCAGGTTCTGAATTTGTTAATTTATTTCAAAACATCTATGCAGTCAGTTATGTGTATTTAAATAAGAAAGGCAGACAGTCGTAAAACTGGGAACTTAAGTTATGAAAATAACTTAGTGTGACATAAAGTCAAACTACATTCGTATTTTTGGTGAATGGACCTATATTTCTTCTCTGCAAGGATTTTGAATTATCACATATCAGATGTCTGCCTTATTTAGTTTTAGGCAGCATTTATTTGACAAAAAACCAAGATGACAAAGAAAAATCTAAGAGAAAAGCTATGCCGGAAAACTAAGAATACAGGGCAAGTGAATTTAACATTGAGTAAATGGGTATTTCGGTAACTGGGAGAGATATTACCAAGCTGGCAACGGTTTTCGCGACATATTTTGCCTCCAAATTTGGCGGAAAGTCGCTGAACTTGGCGACATTTTCGTCCGGTCCCTGTATCACCTTAATAGTATTGTTACCAAATAAATATAATCAGTCATTATAATAGCTGCAACGTAATTCGACACTCATAGTGCCTTCTAATAATTTCGAGAAGAAGAAAGTACTAGAAATATCTCGGCGACAGGGTGAAAACTGTGTAAGGCCAGAGAGAGAGCATCTCCCCTCACGTTTTGAATTATTGTTGCTGCGAGCTGTTAGTTCAGCGTGAACTGAGAGATCTCCGGATTAGCTTTCTCTTTAGATGCGCTTTGCATTGCGTTTTGTTTAACTTTTTTAGTAATTTGAAGTGTAACTACTGATTGTGCTCTGTGATAGAGTGAATATCTATACGAGAATTTCTGTGGAAAATTACAGAACTTTCAGGTATTTCTTTTGATAAAAATAAATTTTTATTAACCACGAATAACGACTTTGACTGGTTTATTGCACTTTTAATACATAGTGATCTAAGTGTTTATCTTTAAATAATGCGCTGATTGTCTTATCTTCTGTGCTATATGCTAAGATTTTTAGAAAATCGCCATTTAACTTGCCAAACAATTTGGCTTTTGTAGATTGTGATAATTAACTGAAAAATTCCCCAAACGTTAAGATACCCGTATTAACCCTGATGGAGGGGGGGGGTAAGACAGAAGATGTATTATATTATGTTATTAATTTTATAAGAGATAATAAAAAGATAGATCATGTGGTGGCCGTCTCTTTTGATGTTACTGGAGCATTCGACTCTATTCGTTGGCCGTCACTCCTTGTCAAGTTACTTGAATTGAAGATACCAAGGAATATTTTAAACATTATTATAGATTACTTTAATAAAAGGAAGACTGTGTATGAGAATGAAGATGGTTAATCTATAATTATTGGTTCTAGCAAGGGTTGCCGTCAGGGGTCTTCTAGTGTTCCTCTGTACTGGAACCTCATTGCAAATGATTTATTGAAAAGACATTTTCCTGAATATATACGTTTGGAGCCTATGCTGATGACCTTCTGGTGCTTATAAAAGGTAAATCTTTGGAAATAATCGAAGAATATTTTAATGAATTAGTTATGGAATTAGAGGATTGGGGAGAAAAAGAAGGATTAAAGTTCAATATTCAAAAGAAAAATGCTGTGTTCTTTCACCGTGCAAGACAGCAGACACGAGAACCAAGGTTGAAATATAAATATCAGAGAATAAAGTTTAGAAAAGAAATTAAATATCTTGGTATAACTGTGGATGATAAATTAAATTTTATTTCACATTTTAATATGGTTCATAAAAAATCAGAATATATTTTAAATTATTATAGGAGGAAGTTCTCCAATGAAATTCTGTCTGTGTAAAATGTCATAATAAGGTCAATCTACGAGACTGTTGTGATTCCTCGAATTATGTATGGCATAGTCACATGGGGTTGCCGGGTTAAGGAGCTGGTTAGACTTCGTATGAAACTAGACACAATGCAGAGAGCTTGGTTATTAATGCTTACGAGATGTTTCAGAACGACCTCTACTTGAGGTTGTTTGTGTCCTGGCCGGTGTTCCCCTCTCTCCAAACTATTTGTTTTTTATTATGATAAATTTCGTTTAAGAACAGAAAATATTGATTTTAAATTATATGGAGATTCTATCGTAACACGGTGTGCTTTTGAAAAATTTGATTTAAATTTGATTCATCCTGCTGAAAGAATTTTTATTCCGTATTATTTGGATGCTCCAAAAATAGGAAAAATTGACGTTTATACAAACGGGTCAAGTCTGGAAGACGTCATTGCTTTCGCATATGTTATATATTATTATTTAACAGAGATTGAGAATAATAAATTTAAACTCAATATTTATAACTCACTTTATCAAGCGGAAGCTATGGCTATATTTTATTCACTGAAACGGATTAAGAAGACTCTTAAAGGGAAATATGATATACATATTTATTATGACAGTCTGACAGTTCTTCATGTACATGGATCAACAAGGAAAGCTGTGACTATTACGAAAAATTATATTTATGATAAATGGAGGGAGGAGTGGGAAAGGTCTGATCGAAATAAAGGTTATATGAAATTTGTTAAACTTAAAAAAAGTTAATGATATTCAGCATTGACATTAACCAAATCATTACAGGCCATGGCCTTTTTCTTCTCTATTTTAAAAGGTTTAAATTACAAGAGTGCAGGGGCGTAGCTATAGAGGGGCAAGGAGGGGCATCTGTCCCCGGGCGCAGAATCCAAGGGGCGCCAAACTGATGTTACGACATTTTAGAATTAAATGTTTTCCATCCTTGGCAAGCAGTAGGGGCGCGAAATCTTCAGTTGTCCCTGGGCGCTGAAAACCCTAGCTACGACTCTGCAAGAGTCTGATCTCTGTGATATCTGTAAAGAACCGGGCATTGCGGAGCATTACCCGGTAGTAGCATGTAAATATTTTACTGATATCAGGAACGAGTTTAAGAAAAATGATGTTTTTAATATATTTTAAAAGACTGAAAAAATTTGCCAGGAAAATGATGAAGAAGATTAATCATGATAAGCTTGCAGCAGGAATTTTAATTTTGTTTTTTATGTCTGTTTGTTAAAGGTGTTGTTTCTAGCTTGCTCTGGCGCAGCCCGCAAAAAGACCATTGGTGACGTAAAGTTTGCCAGAAAGGTTGGGCTGTGTCCCTCATATCATATCATATCATATCATATCATGATGGAGGAAGGGGAGGTACTTAGATCCTTAATATCCTGTTGTCGCTGCACAGGTTGAACTGCTGGGAGTTAAATATTTTCAGTGTTATTTTTAAGGCATCAAATTTATTTTGAATAGGCAGAGACTTTAACCTTATACACTTTGTTTGGCCGTTTTATTCGGTAAACTTACAACCATCATTATCATTAGTCATATTTAAGCGTATATCCACTTACTGAGAATTAATATTTCTTTTGCTAATTCTTGGAAACTATACCCTTAAAAGTTTAACGTACCCCATATTTCAGCAGCCTCTTTTCGTAGAGCAGCCAGTTGTTGAGCAAAGACATCTATGACTCTAATATCTGTGTCTGTGAAGACACGTCTTTCTTTGGTCTTCCCGTTTATCATAGTAATACTTTACCGTATCATTGTCCCAACGTCCTTCAGAAGAAGTACTGGCCTTCGACATTAACATGATCAATTTACATGCTTGCAGGTTCTCTTGAAGGCGGGATTAATTTCATCTACGTTCGCAGTCATAATGATGAAAGTCCTACTCTCGTGAGCACAGGAACGAGAATTCTGGTTTCGAAATGACTTAATTTATGAGTGAAAATGTGTGGGGAGAAACTGCTTCTGCAAGTTTTGGAACGTATTCCCTAAGTAAATGTTTCAGCTTTGATATTTTTATGTACCAAAACATCTTGCAAAGAAAAAAGTATAATAAAAATTAATGTGAACTTTTCAGTTGTGTGTTATTTATCTTACGATAACAATTTAAAATCTTAGCTTCAACTGATTTGGATCGCAAAATATCTTCGATTAATGCGGAAGTTTTCCTGAATTAATTTGATTAAAAAAATAAAGTAAGGTTTACATTTATAAAAGGATGTGTTAAGACAAAGGATGTTTATCGGCGACGTTCTGATCATTCGGACTCCCAGTAAAATTAATTATAAAACTACCAACAAACTATAATGATAAACTAATAGCGACATGCAAATGCGGATGTCTTAGGGGAAAAATATATCATTGATTAATTTTTTCCCCCTCCGTTAGAATAGACTTTTTGTGGCTATATTTATTGTGAGAAGTTCTTTGAACCTGGCAACTTGGCATTTAGTTTGTTTTCATACGATTTGCGAAATCAAAACAGAAGTTGTGTCTGTTTAGCTGTTGTGTGCGGGAGTGTGAGAGAGGCTCTTGGCTGAAATAAGTGTTTTGAGAAATATTTAATAAAATCATACGTGTGGTTTGATGAAAACAGACATCGATTTTTTTTGTGCATTTGTTGTTTAATTCATTGGTATGATTTGTAAATTTGAGAATTTGAAAAGAAGTATGGCTTTAAAATATCAAAAATTGAGAGTGGTGCTTCTTGATTGACATTGTACTTCTACATATCTTTATTCTGACATTTCTTGCCCGTAACAGTATTAAGATAATTCATTATGGGTATATGTCTACAACTGAAACTTTTATTGTGGAAAAACTTTACTTTAAAAAAGAGAAAACCGGTAAGAAGAATTTCAGGAGAATTCGAAAAGTTTTACTGTCATTAGATTTTTTTGAGCTTGGGATTTTCAGTTATAGTTTCTGATTAATTTTTTATCTCCTATTTGTGTATTGTACATAAAATGTACATATATTCATGTTTTATTAAAATGTTATTGTCATTTCAATTTATTTATTTTTAATTAATGTGCATTTGGGTCTTTTTTTCCCTTTAAAACTCTCGAAATTTATTAAAATGTTTTTAATTTAGTTCTTAAAACTTCAGTCATTCATTTCTGCAATAATTATATTCGGAAGTTGTGGAAGTCGGCTATCAGAAGTTTTTTCATAACCCAGCAATAATATCTGATTATAAAGTTGCAAGAATTTACAAAATGTCGTTTTTACAATTATTGTCAAATTCAAGAAGCTGAATCTGTATGTAAATTCAATATTTAAAAGATTTCTCAATTTTTTTTTGTAAAATTTTTATTTATTTGATTTTTTAAATATAAGAGTGGAAAAAGTTCTGTAAATGTGCAAATGAGGGATTTTTGTGTAAAAATTTCAAAAAACTGCATTTAAAAGATATTAATGGAAAAGGTTATTGTAACTAATTTGATATAAAACTGATATTTTCAGAATGGTATTGCATTAAATATTTAAGTTGTATATTCAAGCTATTTTTTTAATTTGATTATTTTAGGTAATTAGTGAACTTCATAATTAGCATTCATTTATTAAAATAGGTTCTTAAATTAAAAGAATAGATAACTTCAAATAAAGCTGTTAAAAATGGACTGTTGTATAAGATGTGTATTTTATATGATTTGAATATGGGGAGGGAAAAAAAGGGGGGGGGGGGGCAAAGCTGAAATTATTTTTTTTTTCTAAAATTAAGTTATTGATAAAAAAATTAGTTTTACCACTTGCCTTTCTTTCAAAATACATTGCTGTTGCCTTATTGGTCAATGTTAACTATTTATTTACTGAAGATATTTGAAATATTATTTAATATTGATTCATTAAAGGCAGCAAAATAAATAATGTATATTTTGTTTATTTGTATATTAGTTTGTTGATGAAGATTAAGGGCAATAATAAAATTTCTAATCTCTTAACATAAAAAATAAATAGAGAAATAGCGAAAATCATGTTGAAATAAAGAAGAGTAAATAATTTTTAGTTTTACAGCCAAACTAATTCGATTTAAAAAGAATATTATTTATGAAAAATTTTAAATATAAAATTTAACTGTTCTTTAGGCAACCCCGCTCAAACTAGACAAATTTTAATATAATAAAGATGTATGAAATTCCAGCTAGATAAATATTTTAGTTACAGCTATTTTTAAAATAGCACATGATATTAATTGAAAAAATATACTTTTAATCATAATTCAAAGTATTATATTAATTATATATCATTTGTTATAATCTCCCCCACCTCATTCCTTCATCCTTGTCATGCTTATTAATATTTATTCAAGTGAAGCATTTTTAGTTAAATCCAACCACTAAAAGGTAAATTAGAAAATATTTTCTTTTGTGCATTTTAAAGGTATATTTAAATTTCAGGTTCACTGTATTTAATAACTGTATATTTTATGTATATTTATAAATATAGAAATTACTATTATTGAAGGAATAAAGAAACATCTCTGCCAATTTCATTTTTTATTATGGAATGATTTCAGACAGTAGCCATTTTTTGCCACGAATTATATTTATTTTTTACATTTTGATCTACTAGCCTTATGGAGAAAAAAATTTCTCCTTGAAATTTGAAATTTTACTTTGAGAATTTTAAAAGAGTATACTTCCAAATTATACATTCTGTCCTAGTATACATTGTGTCCTGAACAGAATTATTAAATGGTGTGATATGTATAGCTCAGAGAAATATTTAAAATAACCTAACATTTGAGGCTCAATATTTGGTCCATCAAAAGCTTTACAAATTAAATTTTTTCACATTCTTGCATATTTCTTGAAAAATAAATTATTTACTGAATGGAATGCAGAATGGTTTATTCAGTATATTAATTAAACTCTTGTAATTCAGAACATTTTATAGAATGAAAATTAAAATTTGTTTCTGTTCTTTTTAGGTTGTACTTGTTTTTGAGCTGTTTATTCCCCTTGTCTTGTTCTTCATTTTACTGGGAATAAGGAGAAAACAACCAGCGTATCCTGTAAAATCTTGTAAGAAAATTGCTTTATTCTTTGTATTCATGTATTTCATTCTGTAGAATTGTAACTATCAATTCTACAGAATATATCAATGGAATTAAATGTCACTTGTGTGTGTTGCCAAAACATTATTGCCGAGAAAGTAGGAGCGAGGATAACTAATAAATACAATATTTTCAAAAGCAGTTTATTATAATTTTCCCCCCTTTATTGCTGATTTGCAAGTTTTTAAATATTATGGCATGTGGTGTTGATTTTAATAAACTTTGCATGAGTATATAGTTTAACCCAAATTTATTAAATGCTTTATTGAAAAACACTCATTGAAAACTTATGTAAGATTAATACAAGGTAGGATAGTATAGTCGATGAATGATTTCATATGTTGTAGGCATGCACTTGTGGGCAAATAACAAAGCACTGAAAGTATACTATATATCGTGTTTAATCATATCTGAATGTGGCATAGGAATATTTGTAACAGATTTCTGTTAGTAACCACTTTGCATGTAACAGGCAAAAGGGCAGTAGTGACTGTAAAATGGAACATTGATCAAATTTATAGTTCTGTTTTAAGCTTGGTAAATCTGTGAAAGTCTGCTGAAATAAGTGTATGGACTTCAAAACAGCATCTTTAAAATACTCTTATTTTCAGGCAGATTTATTAAAAAAGATCCATCATATAGATCCAGAATACATCAATGTAATCTTTTGATTTCTTTTCTCTGATAATGCTCAGTAGCATTTGTCATGAAACAGTCTATGGTCTGTAGAGGAAACATAGCTCTTGCTTATCCACTATACTTGCCTGATTTTGCAATCATAGATTTTCTTCCATTTCCATACCTGAAACAAGCCACAAAAAGGAATAGATTTTTAGATATTTCAGCCATGTGACAAAATTTCTTCATGCAATCAAAGGAATACTTTGCCCACAGTGTTGAGGAACCATACAGTCATCAGTAGTTCATAGAAACCATACAGTCATCAATAGTGCATAACAATAAATAGACATTACTTTGGAGGAATATAAAATGTATTTCTTGATTTAGGTAAAAATTTATTGTTTATGAATACTTTATTGAACTTTGTCATACCTTGTAAAATATTTTCTACATAAATTTCAAAATTAACCCTCTGAGCACCATGACTGGCTGTATCCAGTCATGAGATTTTTTTGTCACTTGTTATATATTAGCTTATAATTTAAGATATTTTGCTTTTTTACTTTCATTAATAATATAAATGCCATCTTGATGAATATCAGTTTATGAAAATAGAGACTTAAAATAGGTAAATATACTTATTTAGCTAAAAATGGCTTTTTAAATACAGGTCTTCATGATAGATTCAAAATCCTGGGCCACTCGGAGGGTTAATTTAGCTTAAAATAAATTCCTTATTGAATTTTGAAATATTACCTATTGAAATAAAAATATGAATAAAGAATTAAGACAAGAAAAACATAAACCACTAATACATAGAACTCTTATTTTAGAAGTTATGTGATTATCATACATTGATAGCTAAATGTCGTAATGTTTCCGAATAGTTTCTAGTGTTTTGTTTACTAGGCATATAATAGTGGTCATATTAAAAAATTTTAAAAAGCCATTTTAAGTGTGACTTAACTGTGACTATTTTAAGAAGCAGCTGTGCGGAACATATTTTGAACCAGTGAAATCCTTACATAGATTATAGATTCTAATACAGAATGCAGAAATACCCACTGCTAGGCACGTTTTTAAGAATTGCACACAGTTGGTATCCATGTACATATCGACCTATTTTCACTTTAAAAAAAATCCCAGAATTGCACAAAAATGGCATTGCGCACTCCCTTTATCCACATACACATCGACCTATTTTCACTTAGCAAGTCAAAGAAAATTGACAAAAATCCAATTCTTCTTACTTTTATGAAAAGCGCCAAACAAATACGTGGGCAATTCTGCAATTTACCCAATTTATGTTTTACCTTCCTAATTACAAAATTATTTTGATAATTTTATTACTTAAAATACCAGTTTTCTTATCAGAGACATTAATTATTTACTCTTCAGTTTAAAAAGAAAGAGAAGAGTTTGTTTGGTGTCTGCAAAACATTTTAAAACCTTTTTGTTTATTTATGTAATTTTTTTTTAACTGTGAAAAGCTAGTCCAAGTACTGAATAACTGCTTTTCTGTAGTATATAAAAATATGAATATATATCTGGCATGGTATTAAATTACTAAATGGAAAAGTTATAAGCAGCATATTTCAAGTATATTTCTCCTTGTTTAAATATTAATTTAATTCAAACTGTTGATCGATTATACAAAATAATATGTGAACATATATTTTTGTTACGGTATTCTTAATACTTTGCTGGAAAATTTATTTATATGTAGAGTAATTTTATACATTTATTTTAGCCAAATTCCAATAGTTTACTTGCACTATTGTTATTTCTTATGTGCAACCCTAAATAAATACTTCATGAAACATGTCACCTGAGTATTATTTCACATTTATTAGAATGTCTTCTATTGATGAAGTAGTCAAGACACTCAAGCTCATTTACGTGCACGCTACTTAAATTTTCTGTAACTTTAATTGTGTGCTGAAAGTCCTAATGCAATCTAATTTCCTTTGATATAAAAATGCAGATATTGTTTTTAATAATTTTAATTTCTTTCAGTATCATATTTACTAGTCCCCCCCCCCATTGTATCATTTTATCAAGCAAAATTGCAATGAAGGATTTCTTAGATATTTGTAATGTGATTTTTTATTGCTAATTATGTTAGCTTTAAAACAAAGCACATATTTTATATATATGCTTTGTTTTGAACCTAGTATAATTATAATAAAAAGCATAGCAGTATTATTTATTAAAATTGGATTATAACTAACTAAAATTTCCATTATCCTTATGTATATGAGCCTCATGTGTTTTTAGGCTTTTTGTGATCCCTAATTGCACTTTCTTGTTTTCTGAGGAATAATATGCAGCAGTCAACTAATCTTTATAAAATAATTCTATTTTTTTCAGCATTATCTTTGTGTAGTTTTCTTTCTTATGATAATTTTTTTCAATATTAAAGTTTAAAAGCATTGTATATGTTCGCTAGACAAATATACTTTTTCTGCTTATTACAAGATGTAATCTGTCACTCAGATGGTGTAGTGGTTAGGAGAGCCTACTGTGGTACCGAAGGGCACAGGTTCGAATCCCAGATAAGACATGGATGTTTGTAAAAGTATGATGTCTGTGTGGCATGCGGGCACGCTAAATATGTAGTGAGCCAAAAGTCCTCAGATATGGTTTGGTGGAAGACTCCTGGACCACCCTTGGGGTGTTCTCCCTCAAAATTTGGGTGGAAAAATGGAAGTCTAATCTCTTTTTAAAGTAGGCTTTGACAACCATTATTCTATGTCTTTAATAATGTCACTTACGTAAAGAAATAATAAATATATGAAACAACACAGCAAAACTGATATAAATCTGCAGGCATAAATTAAAGAAATAGCTCTCAAATTTTTCAACTAATTCCTTTCTCTACCGTCTCAATTTTCATTGAAACTAAAGTATTCATATCTTCACTTTGAGTAGCAAATATGCATATATTTTTTTAAAAGCTTAAAGTATTAGCATTTGCTTGATGTAGTATCTTGTCTGTGTCAGAGGAGTAGCAGCAGAGCTTCATATGGTCACCAATGCGACAATATAATAAAGGATGTAATTGGTTGTCACTGCTAGTTTAAGCCTAGGCCAGTCTTGTGGTTCCATCTATAATTGTATTATAGACCAAATGGAATGCAGAATTGCTAATGGTGATGTTTCATAATGGAGGGTACCTGTGGATTTTACTGTTCATATCTGCTTTGCCCATAGCCAGATTTATAACTTGGAACTTCGAGTTCTGTGACTAAATGCTTAAGCCATTTGATGCGAAGCAGCTGTCTACATTTAAGTAATTTAGAGTAGTGTCTTTCATATATATAGTTAAGTGATGAACTAATATATGCAGCGTAAATTCAAGAATACACAAAGCTAAGAATTAAATGTGTGGTTGCTTCACAAGTTCAGTCTAGAGTCTATGCCTGACAGTGGAGCTGTTAAGAGGTGCGAGACGAAATTCTCTGACACTACAGAAGTAATGACATATTGAATCTCTACTCAACATTACGAAAGTCATAATTTCATGACCAGAGGGGATTTTAGCAATCATGTATGTTATCAGAACCTCTCAAATTCAAGGGGCTTATCAACAAATAATTCTACAACTCTTCTTATCTTATTTACAAATTTTCATGTCTTCATTCAAACTTCTGATGTATGGAACTCTAATATTTCTGTTCTGATATATTTTCTGGGTATATGGAACCCAAACAAAATGCTGCAAAAATGTCAGTCTCCTAACTGTCATGATTAAGACGATGAATATTGTATCAGCAGATTCTGGTTTTGGGCTTTTGGAGTGATTGCTAATTTCTGGTCTTAGTTTAGCTGTTTCATTTTGGAATGCAACTGCCTTCATGATAGAATTACAGAAGAAATGTAGTCAGCATCTTTCAATACAACAGTCGTACATTTCCACTGAGATAATGCAGTACATATTCAGGTTGATTTACTTAACTTTTGGTAAAAATATATTTATGGGTGCCCCCTGACGATAATTGGTGATTTGGGGTGGTACATGGACACCAAGTTTGTGCAGTTCTTTAACTTGTTATTGTGGCTTTGTGTAGCAAAAATCGCCGCTACACAAATTCAGAATAACAAGTCAAAGAATTGCACAGACTCGGTATCCATGTGCACATCGACCTATTTTCACTTAAAAAAACATCAGAGAATTTCACAAACTAGGCATTGCACACTTCCTTTGTCCATCTACACATTGATCTATATTCACTTAAAAAGTGAAAGGAGCAGCCAACAAAAAATGTACTATCTCCAGTAAACTACATTTTAAATCAGACAATGAAATAACATAAAAAAGGAAATTCATCTCAGCACTACACAAAGGAAATATCCACTTACCTTATTTACAAAATTTCATGTCTTCATTCAAACGAAATTCTTTGACAGCATCCGAAAACTTCCCAAAAATTATCTGAACTAGAATCTGTATACTGGCATCGCCACATAAATTCACAAAAATGAGTCAGAAATATCATCCGTAGTGCTGGTATCCTCCGACGTTCGACCATACGCATTTCCTTCATACAAACAGTATAATTACTACTAAGTAAACCTTCATTTACACAGCAGTCAATAAACACTTTGTTCCCTTTTGTTTGAAATGGTACAGAAATTCATATTAATCTTACCACATTCAGCCATTTTACCATGTAAAATACAGAATAACCAACGTACTTCGTAACCAACACATAGACACAAGACCTTACAAATCTTTTCCCCATCATTCAAATTCACCGCAATCACATAACCAGTTATGTCCTAATAGGGTTTCCATAACATTCAACTACTCAGGTTACCATAAATGAAACAATTTATCAATAATCAAAGCGGCACCTTAAATCTACTCTAACCTAAATTTCTAAAAAAGTCAAACAAATTTTTTAAAAATTGTGCAATGTTCAGATATTTATTTATTAGGTATTTATTGTGGGTTTTAAGACTTTTTGGCCATTTAGCTGTCTCTTCACCAAGAATACTACCCAAGAATAAACCATAGGGAGTAATCAATATTATATATGCATAAAGAGAATTGATAAGCATCCATGCTTTCTCTGAGAATCAAACATGGTCTCAACATTATGACAACTTGCTGCGTTAAACACCATATTAAACAGAGTGACAGTCCAAAAATTGGAGAGAAACTCTTTCATTTTTGTTCCTTAGTTAGTCGAAAAAATGGACTTGTAACCAGTATAGTTTTCAAATTGCTGCATTATGTATGACCTGCAGTATTTAGTCTTAAGTTCTTTAGATCATTTGAATATATTTTTCTTGAGCTCTGTGTTAAATATTTTATCAAAAGCGGGTTGTCTGGTGTTGGGATTTCACAATTATTCTTCATTAGATAAACCAGTTTTATTTCAGTTAGATGGAATGAGAGTTGTACTTAGATACAGTAACCATTAAAGATACAGATGAAAATGAAAAATCTATTAATTTCACACTTTTGTGTCTTGTAATCCAAAGACAAACAGACAATGTTGAAACTATGTTATTGTATGTTATGTTTGCTTTGTTGTGGTTGCTTATATCTCTGAAATTTTCTTTTCTTTTTTTTTTTTTTTTTTTTTTTTTTTTTTTTTTTTTTTTTTTTTTTTTGTATTTAATATAATTTGAATTATAGGTACTTTCTGTATTATTTTTTGAATAATTGAATTTTTCATTTTATCAGCAAACTTTTCTCCATATCCATTACCCTCAGCTGGTGTGATTGCTATAATGCAAGCATTTTGTGATAATGGCATCCAGTCTGATGATGGTTTTCCTCATTTCCCAAACAGCACGTAAGTTGAATTGCAAAATATTTCTAAATCATATTTGTTTAAACTAAGGAAACTCTCAGTTTTATGAGTTTATATGGATCGTAAAATCGTGAATTTATAAATAGAAATGTCATTAAAAAAGCTAAACCTTGCAATTTGCACTTGTATTTTGTAAAAGAATTTTTTTTTAGAAAAGAAAAATTCTTTCTTTTCTTATGTTTTTGCACTTTGATAAACATGTGTTTTCATATAGTTAATGCAGGCAAGTACTAATTTGAGAAGCAATGAGGCACTTCTAAATCTAGGGCTTCTTAGTAATAGTCTTTGCACATGCTTCCTCATCAGATTACCCTTTCCATATTCAACATTTTATTTCAACATCAGGTATTTCTTCTGTACATATTGTTGTATGTTCTTGCCCATATATAAGAAGTCTTGAAAGTCTGTTGAATGAAATTCTTGCTTGAAAGCTCAATTCATGAGCTCCAATCATTTTTACCCATTTCTTGCATTGTGATAGCTTTAACAAGCCCTGTATTTTGAAATAGATTGACAGTCACTGCTTGGGAAATACTATTCTCTGCTATAACTAATAGATGCCTTGCATCAAGTATTGTAGCATCTTTTATTGTTTTTCATATGTCAGCTTTTGAATAATTCTTTTTCAGAAGTAATTGCGCATGTTTATATTTGAAATAATGTATAAGACCTTCATCCATTGATAGAATCAAAGTGTTGTTTGGTGGAAGGAAAATTAGAATTCCAATTGCCTAAAACCTAGTAATTCTACATGAACAATGCAGCTGTCCACTTCAGTTTCAGTCAGTTATAAAATCTTTGTGTTACAAGAAAATATTAGAAACATGGGAGCATGAAATCTTTCATTTTCTGTACTATAAAAGTATATTGCTAATGAGTATAGAAAAATAAACCATTAAAAATGTTTTTGTAGTCTTGAATCCATTTTGAAACAAGTATTATTCCAATAAAATAGTTGCTATTATGTTAATGTATACAGCCATTTATATTGATAATGCAAAATATCTCATTTGCAGAAATATTTCAAATAAAAGTTGACCTTAAGGTTGGGAAAGAAACATAAATTCATTTTTCTGTTTTCTTATGCAATGACTGCATATTCTCCAACTATAGAGCAGATTATTCATCAAGATCTACTAATGTTTTTATTTCTTTCAGATGTATATAAGTCGTGTGTTCAATTACATCAACAGTATGCATTGAAAAATGATACATTCTTACTTTATAATGCTAGATGAATTTCTTGATGTTAGTGAAGCAGAGAATTAAGTTTTCCCAAGACTTATTTAGGTTATCTTTGGATAAAATCTAACGTAATGACATTAACTTTTTCCTTTGAAGTCTAACATTTCTTTATAACATTTATTTCTAATTCTGTTTTCATTTGTGAAATATTTTTCATTATCATCTTAAACAATCTACCCTCTATGTAAAATTTTTAACTGCACTTCTTTCCATCTGTATCCAAACTAACATCTGTATCCATACTTTACAATCTGTATCCAAACTAAAATTTTGTAGTGTCGATGATGAAATTTTGAAATGTAGTCCTTTCTCTTTATGTATTTCCCTTTTTTTTCTGTTTATATCATTTTAAAATATAAAAAGAAATGCAGAAACAAATGCTTGACCTCCTAAAACTGAAACTCTTTTTTTTTTTAGTTTTAATTTTATTTATTAATAAAGATTTAGTGTTATGAATTTTCAAATGTAAATAGTAATTTTATTTAAGAAGGGACATGTATATGTATGGCATTTTATATTTAAGGACATTTTTTTAAATGCTGATTGATAAACTCCTGTAGGTGTTATACTAAGATTGTCCAGTATAATGTTTGTAAGACACAATCTGATCAACCAATTGCTATTTAACATTTAAAAAAAAGTCTCTCAGTTTTAGAAATGAAAATATAACATGTGAAAAACAAAAATTTTGAAATAAGGAAAATCTTACGGGAACAGTGCAGGCAACTCTTTTCCTTTTACAATTACTGCTCAAATCATTTCTGTCTAACCAGCAATGTGATGTTGCTAAAGTAAATTACCATAAATGGAAACATCAATGATTCCAATTTGGCAGTTTGTGAGTTCCTCCCTTCTGTAATGGTGTGCATTTTGCTGGAACTTTAAGGCATTATACCCTTTTACTCATTTCAATATAAGGAAACACAGGCAGGACCGAATTTAGATTTGATGAGATCCTAAGCTATTTTAGGTATGGTGTCCTTTATGTTAGATATGAGACATTTTTTTCCCTTAATATGGGATATAGTACAATTTTTGAAGGTGGCCCCAAGAAAGTGGAGCCCTGAGCTATAGTTTGTGCAGCTTATACATAAATCTGGTACTGAACACAGGGAGACTTCTCTAAGATGACTTTTTTGTTTTCTGTTAAGGTGACATTACAAAGGACATTTCCAAAAGTAATTGTATTAGGAAAGCATTTTCCGTGAGCGGATTTCCTATATTTTCATATGCAGTGTCATATGTTATAATCATTGTATTTATGAGTAAAACCCAAAAATTGAGCCACTTCATGAAATGGCCAGCATGAACTAATTAAAGCCTAGAATTTAAAATAATACTGTGTGAAATGGATAAAGAATCTATGTGAATGTTTTACAAGTGTCTAAAATTTTCTTTTAAGATAACTATCCCTGGCTCCATACAACTTCAGTTTTCTCTTAAGATGATCATTTTAAAAAGGTGATATCACATACTTATGCTTATTTATGTTCTTGGAAACGCTAGTGGTTTTTAGAGGTGGTAATATGCCAAACATGAAACTATTTCAATGAAAAATTAATGCTAAGAATTTGCTTAGCATTGATTTCTCAATTTAATAAACAAAGTCCATAAATGTATAAAGAGGCATTTAATTTTTGAAACTTTCTATCTAATCAATGATTAAAATTTAACATGCAGATAACACAAAATAAACAAAGTGCTTTGTAAAAAGGAAGCCACAAGAACCTCACAGTTAAAATATATTTGTTGTCTTCAGACAGATGCTTGCTGATTATCTGTTTGTTTCATGCAGACCTACCAAGATTGTGTTCTTACAGTTTTATTGGAAAGCTATCTTTTTAATTAAAAGTTTTCCTACTGAAGAATCTGTGTAATATAAATGTAGACATTCTGTCTTATCTGCGTAAAGTTAGCCATCTTTCATATTAAATATGAAGAGACAGTTTTTTTATGCTTCACATGAAAAAAAGTAATACAGTACAAAGTCCGAAATCCTGACGTCCATTATCCGGAATGATCTAAAATCCGGACCTCAGAGCCACCAACAAAGATTTTCTCATAGGCTTTACGCATGCACATTTAATTCCCCCCCTCCACGTATAATAAAACATCTGGAGAGTCCCGATTCTTAATTTCACTTTGACACTAAATAAAATACCTTGTTATTGAAGAAACTATCATTTTAGCATAAATTTATGTGAGCAGTAATTTGGCTCCGTTGCTGCGTATCTGCTGGTCACTCATCTCAAACCGAAACATTCCACATAGATATATCGTTGATTTGACGCCAACCAGGTGAAGCATTATTATTTATTATACTTTCCTTTCATCACTGCATGTTTATCAACACATGACAACTTGAGTAATGACTCATGTAGCGATGCCTAAATAAATTTTTTTATGTTAGTAATTGAATAACAAAGGAGTATGGTAACCTTTTATGTTGATATTATGCTTGGCAATGATTACAAATTTAAGTTAAATGTGCTAAAAAATGTTGAGGAGGAAAAATTTTAACAAAAATTTCTTTCCCTATGCTAAAAACAGATTTTATTGATGATACTTATAGACCCAAAGATTACATTTAGGGCTATTTGAATTAATAACTGATTTATTATTCACATAAACCCAGAACCAGCTCCCGGGCTCGTAAGGCGGCACCAGGTCTCAGAATTTAGGACCAACAGAGACTGCATCAGGCGGTAAGATATCTAGCACCGGTCCTCCATAAGGCTTTAAGTATATGTGGGAATTTATTTTTTTAGAACTCTGATAACCCTTAAGCATGTGCAAGAAATAAACATAAATATAATAAATAACTAAACTAATACAATTCAGGCTTAATTGTCTCACTGTGCGATAGAAGCAAGATAAAATTTAACGGAACAACTTGTTGTTATTTGGCCAAGCTCATGATGCATAGTCAAATATGTATAGTGAAGAATAACTAAATTTGATTATTAGATAGCCGCTAATTTTTTAAAGGTTTTCGGATATCGCAAAGCAAAGGTGAAATTTTCCAATTAATGGAATTTTTAAAGAAATTTGGAGTAATTAAGCAAGCAGTAATAAATGAATATGATATAAAAGAAGTTTTTGATTGTGATGACAATGCTTCTCAATCATCAATCAATTATTGAATGGAAATCTGTAGCATAGTTCTAGATCCAGAAGATACTGCTACCTATAGTGAAGAAAGTGACAGAGAAGTTACTGAAAACAAAAAAATTTCGATTGACAAGTTGGTCAGAATTCTCGAAATAGCAGTTAAAGGACTTCAACAATGTAACTAAACAAGAAATTATGTCTGTCTACAGAATTAAAGAGAAAGTATTAGCACAAAAAATGAAGCAACTTAAACAACTTACATTGAAAGAAATGTTTAATAAGGTAAAAAAATAAATATTAAGCTTTTTTTTTTGTAAATTTTGATATATCCTTTAGATCATAAATACTTCATTATTTCATAAATCAATTATTTTATTTTATTACTTTTAATTTTTTAATTTCTACATCCCATCTTACTAGATTTAAACTGAAGATCTAATATGTGGAAAAATCCCAAATCCAGAATCGCCGAAGTCCCAACGAGTCTGGATTTCGGACTTTGTACTGTAGTGAATAAGTCGGTACTTTTCTGTTGCTGGGAACAGATTAAAAAAAGTATGTATGTGAGCATGTACATAGGTATGTATGAGTGTATCTCTACATATATACACGTGTAGGTTATACACACGTATATACACACATCTACATATACACATATATACACACATCTACACATACACGCATATACACACATACCTACCTACATGCATACATTTCTAATTTGGTTCCAATAACAGAAAAATACCAAAAAGTCCATGTCCTTCATCTTACTGACTTTGCTTAAATTATGAATAATTATGAAGAATCTTATAGTAAGTATGTAAGCAGAGATAAATTTTGTGCCTCTCAAAGTTTAGCTTGAAATATCAAGGCTGAAGTTTTAAGTAACATATGCATTATTTATGTATCTTATTTCACAGCAACCTCAGCTGGTCTGATGGGAAATGTACAGTTCTTCTAAGGAGACGTTCTGATTTTGAATCTTGCTGCTAGTAGGGCAGTGTTGTTGTTTTTTTAATTCTGCTTTAGTTTGAAATAAAATTTATTCATGAAAAATATTTTTAAGGAAATAGCTTGAGAATTATGTTTTACAAAAACAATTGTACAGAAAGCTGATTTTACTTATTTCATTTTAACCTTCTGTACGTTCTTATTATTTATTTAATTTTTACTGTATTAAGTACTTTCCTATAAGTGGATGATATTACTATAAAAATGATGAAAATATAAAATACTGCTATTGGATATGTTGGATCAATTATCACTTATCACAAATTAAATTATCTTTGGAAGAGCATGTCTTAAAAATTCCGTGAGAAAAGCACATTTCTGTTAATCTTGCAGAGTCCAATAGAGGTGTATTCTCCTTCACTATGTTCTTATGTTTCACAAATGGTATATTATGTATAAAAAATGAAGTTGCTATAAATCAATACTTATTCATTGCATTTCTAACGCTAATAGTCTCTATCTTGAATAAATATGTATGTATTATAAGTATAATCTATCAGTTATAAATAAATTTGAGGAAAAATGCAATAGGTTAGAACAAAATGAATTCTCTAAAGGAAATGCAATAACAGGAAGGAAATTAAAAAAAAATGTGTTTATGGGACTCTCCTTTGATGGCTTTTGAACTAGACCTTTGGTTTCCAAATCCGACATCTCTACCCATGATGTTCTTGGTTGAAAGAAACAATTTTTGCTACAACATTATATATGAAACAAACCTTCGATTTTGATATATATGTTAACTGCAGAATATGCTTTAAATATTTAGACATTTAAATTTTGTGGCATTATTATTATTTAAAGTGACAGTAATGTATAATTTATAAATGTGTTATATTTTTAATAACTGAATTAATTTTATATCATCTAGCAAGTTATACGATTCAATTCACAGATCAAATGTTTTTTTTTTTTTTTTTTTTTTTTTTTCATTTAAAAATTATAAGATAGATGTTTTAATAGCAATGGCTTTTTTTTTTACTGATTTGTTAACATTTTATTTCCTGTAAATAAGAAAAGTAAAATAAATATTATATTAAGTAAATATGTACAAATATGTTTGCTATTGTAATTAAGAAATAAATGCAAGTAAATAATGGTGAATAATTGCAGATATGTATATTACATATTTAATTAATAAGTTTTTTTCAGTGTTACAGAGTTTCTTCAAAAATTGAATAATATTTCACAGAAGAACAACTTTTTTCAACCAGATTTTACTCCAAATGATATGGATGAAATTCCACTTATTTATAAATCAATTGTTGAGGATCCTGTTGCTGTTCATGACAGTTTTAGTAAAGCAGCAGGTTAGTTTATTTTTAAAATAGTGTAAATAGAGTTATGTAATAAATGGGTTGAATTTATACTTCTCTTGTTTTACTTATCGTAATCTGAATATTGTCGCGTGATCATAGAAATGAAGAGGAAAGTACTGAAGACTTCGAACTGAATAAGTGACCGTATATATACACTTGATGAACAAGCTGGAACATTCTAGACTTGGAACCTTCCTGAAAAGAGAGAACATTCTGCAATAAATAGACGTGAAGGAAATACATTAATAGGAAGGAAATTTTAAAAAAACGTTTTTAAGGGAGTCTCCTTTTATGGGTTTTGAATTTGGGACCTTCGGTTTCTGAATCCGACATCTCCATCCATCCATCCAATGAGCTACGATGTGTTTGGTCGAAAAGAACAATTTTCCTACAATATTACATATGAAACAAACCTTTGATTTTGATAAGTATGTGAATTGCAGAATATTTTTTATGTTTTGTGGCAGTATTATTATTTAAAGCGACAGTAATAGTGAATTTGTAAATGACGAAATTTATAAGCAATGATGACAAAATCATATTCCGGACAATTTTAATATATATGTAGGGTACTCTTTTTATAAAATGTCTTTTAGACCCTATTAGACTGACAGACAAGTTATTGCTTTGGTCTGCAATAAGATGACAGAGTTAAAATAACCTTTTTATTTAACTCATTAAATTAGCAGAAGGCACTTGTAATACAGAATATAACTCCACTACTTGTGGATATTTAAAATACCATAAGCTGAAGTTAAATTCAAGTAACATAATTGAAAACTACACAAAATAGACTACTTAAGCTGGTTCAAGTAATTAACGGTCGCTGTTTAAACATTGACTTGCAAAGTGGCGAAAGCCAGACTAAAACTTTTAACATAACTGCAGTGCAAGGCTGTCAGAAGCTCTAACCTTAAAGCATTCAAATTCTCAGCTCAGTAACTGTGCACTTTTTTTTGAAGACTATGGAAACAAGAAGTAATGATTCAGCTTATAATAACCATAATAATTTGTTACTTTAAAATCTTGCATGTATGTGAGTGAATTAAATATATTTAGTAATTTTAAAATAAGATGTCTTTTGATTTTGGGTATGTACGTATTAGTCTGGTAGTTTTGCGATTGATTTTTCATACTTGGCTGCATTTTCGTTTCCTTTTGTTTATTTGCATTACATTAAACCTATTTTTTGAAAATGCTGATTTTTTTCAACTTTTCTCATATGAAAAATCTTAAAATATTACTACAGTAATTTTATGAAACTTTCCACAAATATTCTATGAAATACTGTGAATTAAATGGACTAAGTTTTTTGGTTTCTGTACATATCTAAAATTTTTTTCAGACAATTCTGTAAATGAAAAAAAAAAAAAAAAAAAATTCTCAAAACATAGTGTATACACTCAAACAGGTGTATTTCATAGACATTTTACTTTATCACTTATATTTTAGTCCATTTAATTCCTTATATCATAATAAATATAAGTAACAAATATAAAAGTAAATTATCGATAAATATTTTTGTGGGACTATATCTAGTAATCCTGAAATTTAACTCATTTTTAATCCAAAATATATAAAAAAAACCCCAAAACTGTGCTTTTATAATATGTTTTCTATAATTTTAAGTAGTAGTCTGCCCCACCCAAAAAAGCCAATAATAGATTTATGTATACTATTTTTCAAAACTTTGGGTGTCGAAATAGCAAGGATACCTTAATTCAAATGTGCTATCTTAGTAAATGTTGCATGATGCTGATATTAAAATTATAATGATTTGATAATTCTCCCAAAAGTAATGTCTTGCTAGGTATATAAACAAGAAAACATTAATATCATTAATAATTGATATTAACGATAGCTTTGCATGGTTTAGTTAACAGCTGGAGATTTATTTATTTGCATGTTACCAGCTGCTTAAATACAAAACTAAAAAAAATCAGTATGAATCCTGGAATCAATTTTTAAACTATACCTGGCTAAAAAAAGATCTTATTATTTTTGATAGTTATTTCTCAACATAAGAGTTTAAAATTTAAAATCTTTACAGATTTATAAAAATGAAATAATCATATGATATGTTATACAAAATGTAACTAATATATTCCTTTTATTTTATAATAAAATAAAAAGTAATTATATAACATTTAACATAATTGATAAAATACTTTTTTTTTTTTTTTTTTTTTGCAGGAAATATTTTAGTGTGATATAAAATGAGAAATTTTAATGGTAATCTCAATATATATTTGATGGTCTTATATGGGTAGAGAATGATCTTAGAAAATAGTGTTATGGTTATAAATACAGTTGTGTTTATTTATATTCTTAGAAATACTGGCCACCTTTGGAGGTGATTGCCAAAAATGCAGTTACATCAGTTTCTTATTAAGCAGTGAAGAAATCATTTTATTTAACATTTATGTCACTTTTCTCCTTTCAGTTACAACAATTTAGGTTTGTTTAAATTATGCATGCTTTCGGAATTTAAAGTATATTCAACACATTTTTTCCGAAAAAGGTTAACTTTGCGATGTAGGATTGACGTTCAAAAGTGTATGACTGAAAACTTTGTTAAAAGTTAAAAAAATTATTATTATTATTAAATTAAAATTTCACATTTACATGATTATGCTATTAACAATATGCTACTTTCAGATATGCGTGTTGGGGATATGATGTACAACCAAAGTGAATTTGTGAATATTATGGTATCTAATTTTTCTCTACCAAGAAATGATTTAGAAACATTCCTTAATTCTTCGTTAGATGCTGAAAAGGTAGTTACTACTATTTTAAAATAATACCTTTTTAGATTTTTAATTACAGCTTTTTAGATTTTTTTACTTTACTTTCTATTACTCTGTTTATCAGCATTGTTATTTAAATATTAGAATATAATGAGCTGTCAAATGTGTGGGTATAAGTATTATTTCAAATTTAATTTAAACTATATGTGTTAAAATTTGTGTACTTTAATTGCTTTTGATAATAAGTTTATGAATGTGTGCAAATACTATAAATTTTACTGCAATTCTAAAAATGTTAATATTCTTGTGCACAAAATTAAGAAAAAGAAAAGTTTCTCAAATTCAGGCTGAGTTTTTTTTAGTATAAATCTAATTTCTCAAATAGTAAAAGCTAAAATTGTTGTTTATAATGCAAACTGAATCTCTTCCTAGGAAATCTAAATATTCCGTTCAAATTTTTAATGGCATCTTGTGAATATTGACGTGTTTTAGTCAAAAAAAAGTTTGCTTAGAGTACTAACTGAAATGGCATGCTGCTGTATCCAAGAATATTTTAATGTAAAGCATACTTCATTGTGAATCTTTTCATGGTTAAAAATATTCACAAAATTTTCTCTGTAATAGGCATCTTTCCCAATGGCAGATTCATATGCAAAATTGCTTGGATTTTGGATAATTTCATTTTCAGCACACTTTGTTTCTCAGTATACATGTCAGCTATCATTAGGAATAATACAAAAATCCAGAAGTTATAGAAGGTTACAGAGGAATGTTTAGTTCCCTAGTGAGAGAAACATTTTGTAAATTATTATATGATTGAATATACATGCAGAGAAGGGTATTATAGACAGTAATATACCCTTCTCTGCATAAGAGAAACTATTTTAAAAATGTATATACTAGTATTAGAAAAGCTTGTAGAAATCTTTCATGCATACTTTCGTGTTGGTCCCAATGAGACGGGGCAAACATTGAGTATAGTAAACAAGTAAGTTTGTAATAAAATTGCAGTTTTTTTTTTTTCACGTGTAATTTTTCAGTTAGCTTGCTAAAATATTGTAGTTATTATGTATGCTAAACGAAAAAGTATTGGGAGTAGTTCTGTATCTCCCAGTATACTGTTTGAATAAATATTTCTGAAGATTTTTTTAAATTTTAAAGTAAATATTTATTTATTTTTGTAAAGTAAATCATGTAAATTGCATTGTATAATGATCAGCATATAAGTATTTTCTTTTAAAATTACTGTTATTAGACATGAATGTACTACAAAGACAATATATTTTACTTAAAGATATTGCTGTGTTCATAAGCATTGCAAAGCATATCAGTTAATATTTGCTGTCATGTTATGAATAAAATTGCTGTACACATATTCTCACATATTTCTCCCCCTCCCCTAATTTTCTCCGCAGTTTTTGTAGTATGGTATTTAGAAACTTCTGGTTTATGGCAACAATGTAAAATGTGTAAAAAAATAAGAAAGTGTTTTAAAGTAAGTAAAAAGATTATTATTGTAATTGATAAGTCCTTTGAAATAATAAGGAAGTAATAATATCAGTATGTCATTATTTGTGCATTTTAATGGGCTATGTTGTGAATAAATACAGTATTCACAAAGCATATTAATAATTATGAGGTGAGGAAAATTTGAAATAAATATTTAATTACTTAATTGTTATTTTATTTTATGAAAAATGATTCGTATTTTACACTCATTGTAAACTGAAAGTAAAATCAGTACTTTCTGACTATCCATACTTCTATTAAAAGCCGTCATTCCACAAGCAAATTTGTAAATTGTTGAAAAATGCTTGTTTGGCAACTTTTCAGTCTTATAGGTACCATTCTGTTCTTATATATAATAAGAAGCGTTTTATGAGAAACAAGAAATCTGATAAACTAAGGCCAATATTTACATTTTTGCAGCTGGCGAAATGATGTTTAAAATATACAAAACCTGAAAATCCACATGTGCTGAAACACTTATATTATATGTCCATGCTTGAGTTGTCTGCTATCTTGTGAATGCTTTAAAAAATACTAGCCTGTTAAAACTGAGGCTGCAGATAATCAGAAAGTACTATAAAACCTTTATGCTTATATAATGAAATGTCAGTTGGTCTAGTTTTCATACAATAATATAAAAACTATTGTGTAGTATTTACTTTATGTAAAAATAATATTAAAAGTGTTGAAACTATTTTTTAATTTCTTTTCTCCTTCATTTAGGTGTATACATTATTGTTCGGACAAATTTCCGAGAAAGGAACCGAAATCAATAAAGTTAGGGATGCTGCATATGCTTCAGTTTTTGCCAATGAAGAACTTGCCGATCCTTTATTTATTATGTCTGATTCTCACATCTCTAATGCTATAGGAGAGCCTTCCTTACAGCATTTGTATGATTTACTAGCATATCTTGAAAAACATAAAAGTAGATTTAAAGTTATTTGGAACGTAGTTGAAAAGATTTTTGATTCACAATCAAATACGTCTTTTACTGACAGTGATATGAATGCAATTGCTGAAGAATTAAAAGTATGTAATTTTCTATATAAAATTCTGCATATTTAAAAATTTGTTCTTTCTGTCGATTAATGCAATAAAAGCAGTTAAATTTTTAAAATTAGTTAATATATAGTATATTAACTGGAGTATGAACTAATAAGTTAATGTACACTGTTTTTAAAATAAGAAAGATATTATGTAGGAGTTTAAAAATGTACGATATGCTTATTTTGCTATAACAAAGGATGGTTGAATAATAAACTTTAAAGAAACAACATAGTCTATTTTATTTAATAAAAGTAAAATAAAATAAATTTAATCAATCAAATTTGTTAAATTAAATTATTTAAATAAATTTATTAAATAAAATAAAAATAAAAACTGTTTAAAAATTCTTGAAATTAAAAAAAAAATCATACATGTTTTCATTTTGTTGTTGAAGCAGAAGAAAAATCAAGTTTTATAGCTTTGAAATTCTTCCATTTTCCTGATTGTTTGATAGAATAGATTAAATTATTTAGTTACAGCAAAACACATAAGCTTTGAGCACATGAATTTCATCATGGTGTTATCCAAGAATACCTGTGAGATATAATCTGAGAATCTTGTTCTTCTTTTCCCACTGAAGAAGGCTTTCAGACTGAATAATTTTAAGTTGCCCCTCTCTCTAAAGACACTGTAGGCTCCAATATCCATTCCTTGTTCATGATTTGAGTCTATGTCCATTAATACCTCTGCTAACAATTTTGCTGCCTTAAGCTCGTGCAGTCTTGTTGTTCTCTCACTAAACTGCTCATGTGATGTTAGAGCAATGATTTGATCTATGTTTTTAGCTGAAAATCATAGCAGGCAACAAAAATTTGATTTAAAATGGTTAATAAATTTCTTTAAATGTTAAAATCAAAATTTCTTGTTCTTCCTTTTTTTACTTTTGCTCTTATCCTTGTTGTTTATCAGTGGAAATGTGGTTAAAACTCTAAAACACTGGTAGTTTGTTTGGGAGTTGGATTCTTTGAGGTTGAATGTGCTGATCTGGATAGAAGTTTGCTGGTGTTTCTTGAGTGTAATGCAAATGAGGCCACTGCTGATAAATCCGTATAGTGAAAGTCAGGTCTTTAACAAAGGTACCATCTAATCCCACAGGCAGGTATCCCTCATGCACATGTAGGTATGCAAAGTGAATCTAAAATATGATTACATGTTTGAGGTAAACATAATATGTTATTGTTTGAAAGGAATGGTAAATGGTGTAGTAAAGCTCATTTTTTGCCCTATTTCAAATAACATTGTAAGGTATAGTTTAATTTTATAACAGTTATTTTAAGTTAATGCATCTGAAAGATCTCAACTAGCTTCAACTTACAACTCCCTACCAGAATGAGTTTTTAGAATTGTGTTAAATGCAAATGAAAAGGAGAATAGTATTTAAGTCAAGTTCAATTGACTTCGACAGAGAGAGTTAGGATTCCTGAGTAGCGCATGTTTTGCCTTTAAGCTAAGTCTCTGTTAGCTGTTATTATACTTGGCCATATTTCATGTTTTTTGATAGTTTGTTGGCTAATGTAATATTATGGGCTAACTAATTTAGAATTGTGTTAGCTTCTGCTAAATCTCTTTAGTTAGTCATTAGTTATTTTTTACATTTTGAGTTTAATCCCAAGTGGAGGTTTTGCTGTATGCCCTAAGAAAGGGGCTGTCTGTTAATTTTACTTTGATTAAATAAAGGGTGATTAACCCTTCTTGAGTTTACATTTCTTGGACTTAAGCAATTATTCATTTACTAGCTCACTAAGTTCCTTGACATTACATTTAACAGGATAAAAGTGAAGAACTCTATAACACGTATCCAGGCTTATATCACTAATTTAAATGGCAGTGAATATTCGGTGGTAAATTATGGTGGGTTCAAGGCTGGAGAGATGGAATTTTAACAATGCCACTGATTTGGGAAAGAGGAGAAAATAACTGCATATTGCAGAAGCATCAGGAAAAGAAAATGTCCTAAAAAAGGACATGCCAATTTAGTATGATCAATGATTAGTATGATTATGATATTTAGTATAATTTAATATGTTTATATGCTATTTAGTATTAGTATATTTATTTTTTATTAGATATTTAGTATGATTATGTACTAATTTAGTATAAGTAAGTATTGTAAAGTACTGAAATAACAAGCAGTTTGATGCAGTAAAAGTGAGTCTGGTTGTAATTATTGTGTGTTGTTCTTCAGTTTGAAGACTCGACTTTCCTATGGCATTATGGTATTTTTCCTAGTTCTTCATTCCTGTCATTAAGTGGTGTGGTCAAACATATAGCCATATTTCTGATTAAATCAAGAAAGTACCTTCTTTACTATCATTCTTCTTCCATTTGAACCCTTGCTTTTTTTTTTTTTTTTTTTTTTTTTTTAAAACTGATTCTGTGCTCTGCTTAATCTCTCATGTGAACTTGCAATTTTCCTCCTTGCTGTTCAAATTTGTTAAATTTATTATTTCTAAGGTTTATTTCTAAGGAATATAGAAGAATTATTTCTAAGGAATTATAGAAGTCTTTATTCTATAATTCCTTAGAAAATTACAAGTCCTCAAACTCTACAGGATTGTCAAAGTATTATTATTATTATAAGGGCACAGCCCCAATCCTCCTAGCCGGCACAAGCCGGCCGTATGATCAAAAAATGGGATTGGCCAGGGTTGTCAAAGTATATAAGCTATAGAAGGTATTTTGAATGCATTATCTCTCATTTGGAAAATTGGTTACATAAGTAGAAATATACTCAGAAAGTGATTCCTACCTACACCATTATCTATTCATAAAGATATAATGATGTAAATGTTTGTACATGACTAAAAATTATAAAAGCTATAATTCTTATTTGAATTCTCTTTATTCTTCAAACAGAAGTTATACATAATTTTTTTCCAGTTTTTTAGCTGAGAATAATTGTATGATAGAAATGCAATTGCAATTTACTATTGAATAGGTGGAATTTGTAATATATACGGGGCTACAGGGCTATAATGAGAGAAATGTACAGTTTCAATAATGTAATTTTTAATAACAAAATTCAGTAATAAAAAGTTTCAATAATGTAATTTTTAATAACAGTTTCAATAATGTAATTTTTAATAACAAAATTCAGTAATAAAAAGTCCTTGAAAAATAAAGAGAGGAAACTTGAAGAGGTGGGTAAGTGCATCTGTATATGAAATCTTTACTAGGATTCTGCAGTCACTTAGGCAGGCACCATGTGTCAGGTGCATATGTCAATGGGCAAAATGTCATGCCTTGCAACAAGGTAGCATTTAATAATTGATATAAGAAATTTAAAGTATGTATTGCTTGTGCAAAAATATTGCACAGCTTTCTTACAGCTCTAAGAGTAAGTTGAATGTGTTTATAAAGCCTTTTCACAAAGTTCATGATTCTATAGCATGTAATATTAAAAATTTTACAAAAGGAGCTAAAATTTATTCCATATAAATTGCAACTGTCGCAGCATCTAAAGAGTTTTAGAGAAACAAAACAAGTCTTCTCCGCTGCAGTTAAATGACCCAAAGTGGTCACTTGGCCTCAGCGGAATGCTGAAGAAAACCTTTTTTATCTGTGTGTATCTTCAGTTTTTATTGTATTATCTTCTTTTGTGCTTTTTTTATGAATTATTGAAGCTGTACACTTCTTTTGTAACAATTCTGCACTGTATGATATTTATGAACGTATGTCTTCATAACCATGAATTTAATTTCATTACTTTTTGAGTACAAATTTATTTGTGTTTGTGTAGCTTAATAAGTTTTTGGATTATTTTAACAGCTGATTATATAATCACAATACATAATTTTGTTCCAAAGAATACATAGTTTTGTTCCAAAGAATACATAGTTTTGTTCCAAAGAAGATTATTGCATGATTGTTAGTATTAATTTGCAGATATTTAAATATTAATGAAAAAATTTTTTACTTTCCTTTTGAAAATATAGAGGAAGCAAAAATAGTAATCTTCTCTAGTAAGTGTTATGGACATAGAGGTAATTTGCTCTTCTGGGGGGGGGAAGATGTAGGATTTAGAACTAGATAAAAAGTTAGATCGTAATGGAATAATGTTAGCAATGTAAATTTGTAAAAAGTGCAAGATTTGCTTGCATTTTGAAAATTGAGATTTTATTATGTTTAATTTTAAGTCTTAAAATTCATTAACTGTGCAGAAACAAATCAACAAAATAACTTGATCATGAATAAAGTAGAACTGCTTATTTCAAGTTAATGTCAGTTATGTATGGAGAATCTTCTTGTGATTACCATCTCTGAAAGTGTTCACTATGTCTAGCAACATAAATCAATATCCATTTGAAAATCCCTCATCCAAGGCGATCACTTCCTCAGATGATCAAAATCACACGAAAATGTAAATGATAATCTTAAAGAAGATACATTGTGTTGTATATTTTAACTGGCACAAAAACCCATTGCTTTTTAACCATAAATATGCAATTTATAAAATTTTGAACTCCAATATATTTTAACCTTAATAACTGTGTTTTGATTTGTATTCGATTTTTTGTGTGTATGGAGAATTATATATTATGTACTCGAGCATTTATTTTTTTATGATAGAGTATTATTTTATCACCTTCTGGTCTCAGAGAATTGATGTGTATGGAAAATGGTCTTCCATCAGTTTTGATACATGAAAACATCACAATTGTTAACAAAACTGTAAGTAATTTTTGTTTGTGTTGTGTATTTCTTATTGTGTTATATCACTGTTATATTAATCAATGCCATTAATATTTTTACTTCAGATATTAGCCTTGATATTTATCTGTGTGAGTTAATATGTATATTTAATTATCTAATATCTATATTTTTATAATTTTCTCTTTAGTTACATTTGCAGTCTTCTTTTTGCAATATGAATAAGTCAACCATGCAGGAAGTATCTGATCAGTTACAAATGTTCCTGGATGTTGAGAAACTCAGGGAAATAGTATGTATTAAGTTAAAATGCACAAGTCTGAATGTATTATTGCACTTGTATTTGTATTGCCTTATAATATTAAAGCAAATTTGCTTATTCAAAATAAAAACTGTTTTTCATTTAAAATGTTTAAAATGTTAAGTACTTAAAATAATGAATCAGTAAAAAATAGTTTGTAGGATTTTAAGTTGAAATTTTACTTAGATGTTGAATTGTGTATGATTTGATTTTTCTCAGGTGCATTTAGATGACTGGAATATAACACTTGCCCAACAAAGGCTGAAGAAGTTAGCAGATGATGTAAGTCTTAAATTTTATTTTATATCTACAACAGCTAAATCTTTGAATTTTTTATAAATAGAAAATTCATTCTATTTTTATGAAATTCAAAGATTATAAATAGAATGCTGATTGTATTTATGCGCGATTCAAAGATTATAAATAGAATATTGATTATATCGATTCAAAGAACTTATAAATAGAATATTATTCTATTATATAAGAATTGGTAGTATGACCTTATATTTATTATTTCTAAAACTTTTAATACAGTATTTATCCTATTTATACAAAAATTGGTAATATAATTTTATATTTATTATTCCACCATTTCATAGATAATTCTTGTTTAAAATCTTGTTCAAAAAAATAGAATGGCAGTTGTGTGACTTTTTTCAGTACTGTCTGATTATTTTCACTCCTGCTGTGAAAAGTTGCAGAAAAGTATTCATGAGGCAATGCAGTTGGTCATCAAAATTGTTATATGGTAACCTATGATGTTGCGAAAAAGTAATAAGTGCTAACCCAGATTATGCATGTAAAGTACATGTATTTATTTGCACTTTTGAAATTCCACCACCATTTTTCTAATTACTGTTTTTTTTTTTTTTTCATTGAGTTTATTTATTTTTCTTGTAACTAATTGTAATGGACTAGTAACTGGTGTAAAAAACTGCTAGGAAAATGTTCAAATGTGGGTTGGAAATTGGTTTGAAGATTGTAGTAACTAATTCCATTACCATCAGATAGCATTAATTCCAGAGGTAAGTGATAATTCCATTATTAATACACATATTTTATTTACAATATAGTACAATAGTTACAAGCATTATTATTAGACACACCTTCTTTCATCCATCAAAACTAAAATTAAGTTATAGAATACCAAGAGAGACAAGACGTTCGGAGCGCCACCTAATGGCATGAGCAATCAATTTATAACAAAGATAGCTATATCTCATTTAAAACAATTATTTGCTTTATTTACAATTACCCAGTGCATAATGCTAAAGTTGAGTGAAGCAATGAGTGTTGCCAAAGTTGTATGAGTCGGTGTAATTCTCTGTTTTTTAAGTGAAAACAGATCTCTGTGTGCATTAGGAAAACAACAGCATAAAAAAACGTAAGTGTTTTATTATTAATAGTTCATTTTTAAAAATGATTGCTCTCTCTCTCCACCATTGCATTTCAAAGTTATCCATAAGTTAGTGACTTTTTAATGCGAAGATTATTAAACACACATAAACAGAATTCTTATTAAAATAAGAGAGATACATGAATTATTATTAGGTTATACTGATAATACAGCTTGTAATTAAAAATGAATTTATTTATATATATATATATTTACTAATGGATTATTGGGTGTAATTATCTCCTTAGAGAAAGATGCTAGACTTTTAGTTGAATGAAGTAACTTATAAGAGTTTAAAATTTAATCTTGAAAATTTTTTTAAAAATGAAACATCAAATGTGAATCATGAAAAAATTGAAAATAGAAACTTTTAAAAAAATGAAAAGGTAATCAACAAAACAAGTAATTACCGTCACTGATTGGAAATTGGTTGACATTTCAAGGGGATATAATATACTCAATAATCCATTAGTAAATAAATTATTATTTCATTACTTTGCAGCTTTTGTGCTAGTATTAGGCAATTTATTATGATTCAATAATATATTTAATTCAGCCTTTGATATATATAAATATATATATATGTATTATGCATATCTAATTTAAAAATTTTAAAATCTAGCTTGTCAAGTTTAATGAATTTGAGGTAGCACTGAAACAGCTAAGTGGTTTAGCATCATCCTTGCCACAAGATGCATGTCATTCTTTAAATGACACTGCTACTAGTAATGAGACTTCATCTGAAATTCAAGATGATGATCGCATAAGTGATCATCCAAAAAAAGTAAGTTATATTTAGAAATAAATATGAATATGACAACATAAAAGAGCAGTAATATAATAGTGTATAATAAATTCATTCCTTTTTCTTTTAATTTAACTTATCAATAAAAAATTTTATTGTATGTAAAAAAGTAAAATTTCAGTTTAAATATATATTAACTTTTTTCAAAATAATTTTTTTTAGAAAAGTTTTTAGTGATTTTTATTAGTTTAATTAATTAGTTTTATTTAATTAGTTAATTTAACTGTGTTAGAATTTAACAGAATAAATGTTAATTAGTTAGCATAATTGAATGATATTAATTAATTCTGTAATTTACATAATCTAAAACATTTTTTAATTGTTTTTCTAACTTTATGTGAATATAAAACTAATTACCATTTAAATATGCAAAACATGAGTATAAAGCATTCTACAGAATCTTTAAATATGATATTAAGAAGAGTGTGTAATTTTCTTTATTTAGTTTTAGAATGTTTATATTTTGAGTGATATTATTTGTCATCTTTGTAAGTTATGTATTTTAAATTGTCAGCTATAATTATAATTACGTATTTGACAGCATATAAGATGCACCCTTATTTAGAAGGCCACACACAAGGAAAAAAAGTTCGCGCGCGCGGTACCACAATAACTTAAAATGTGGTTTCTTTTAGTTCTCACATTTCGTAAGAGCCAAATAAACAATCATTGAATGCAATTACCAAACATTTTTATTAAGGAAAATAAACAAACGGCAAGCTATTTTGAACATGATATGTAAATTTCAATAATGAATAAATGAATGAACATATTACAATTAGCAATCAAACATAATACAAAAGAAAGCAGAAACAACAAAAAACACAGATTCAAGGAAAATGTTGCCTATCATGAAATTAGACTTTAATCACTTCAAAACCATAAATCCTTTTCACTATCATCATCATCGAAAACGAGAATATTGTCATCACTACTGTTTCCGCCATCGCTAGTATCACCCTCTTGGAATAATGCGCCATCTTCTGTTCCGTCAAAAGCATTACTGATTCCGAACTTCTTAAAGGACTTTACAATTACTTCAGCCTTTTCATCCTCTTAAGATCTTTTTACTCACTTGCACACTTGTGAAACAGAGAGCCGCTTCATTCTACCTGAGGGTGTGAGGGCGTGATGTGGCTCCCCTATCCACTTTTTTCATCGTTCTCACACTTTTTCCTTAAATGGCTTATTCACCGATACATCTAAAGGCTGCAATTGGCTAGTCAATCCACAATGACAGCTCTGGGTTTTAATTCTCTCCTCGCTTTATTCTTTATGGTTTCAGTTCTATGGGCGCTAAACTGATCCAAAAAAAAGAGAGGGTTTCTTAGAGCCCCCAGGTCGCCTCTCCCATACATTCTGTAACCACAGTTTCATTCTAGCTTCGTCCATCCAGCCTTTCGGATGAACATGAACAATTACAAACCCCTTGAAGTTTTTCTTTCAGATGTTTCTTTTGAATATGAAAACGGTATTAGTTTTGTGCCATCAGCACACATGTTAGAACTACCGTAATCAGATTTTTTCATGACCTGTGGTTTTTATGGTTATTGATTTAGACCCTTTATACTACAGTCTTGTTGGGATGCTACATCAAATGTTGAGTGGAATTTCATCCATATTTCCTATTTGACCGAGCTCAAAAGAGTTTTCTTGCGTGCATTTTTATAATAACCTATGAAATGCTAGTATTTTTTCTTCATAATCTGCTGGCATTTTCGTGCAATAGTGTTTTTGTGCGCATTGATAAGCCTTGCCTTTTCATGAACCTGTAGCACCAGCCTCAGACCCTGAAAAGTTCTGATTCCCCAGGTTTTTCTGCAAATTCTTTGGCCTCATGATTATCATTTTTGGTTGAAACACTATCCCAGATTTCCTCTTATCTATCACCCACATTTTTACGGCATTTTGAAGTTCAAGCCAAGATGGAGCTGGGCTCGAAGGTTAGTTTTTGTTTTTTAGCAGTCTTCAGTTAATCTTCCTCAGTCCCAATAATATCATTTTTCGGTGGTTTGGCCAAAATGCCTTGCAGCTGCTCTGTTTCCATGCATTTTGGCGTAATTTAACACTCTTAGTCTATTGAGCTCAATCAAATTGTCAACGTGCTTAGGATTATACAGAGCAACAGGACGTCTCACTTTTTTAGAGGCAATTCGATAAAAACCGTCATAATAATAAAGATTATTAAGAAAAAATTTCTTCTTAGTTTCAAATTTTGTCTTCCGAATTAGACATTTATAAGTTGCCAATTCTTTTTTATGTGCAATTTTCCTTTCATTATGTATATTGTCCGCTAAATTCAAAATTTGCGAACTTTTCCTCAAAGCACATATCCGGCGTCGCATACAAGTAAGTTGTGGAGTCCACCACGAAATCTGCCTACTTCCCTTTGTTTTGTTCGTAACTTCTTTTTAACATCGATAGACAGATCCTCAAAAAATTTTTTCAATACAATTTTCAATTGTATCAGAGTCCTCACACTTCAATAAATCTAATTAAATTTCTCTGCATTATCGGAGCAATTTTATAACAATACTTTTGTAATCCGGTGGACATCTCTTGTTAAAACAATCTTAGGAGCACAATGAATATTTTCATCATAATTCAACTGCAAATAACGATGATCACTAAGACTCTCATCCATCAGAACTTGCAGAGCTCCAGAATTGATAGACAAACCTGGTGAGGTCATAACAAGATCAGTCCATCCCTCACCGATGGTAGATTTGAAAGTTGCAGGAAAACTCAAATCATTTAGTAAAATTATATTATTAGAGACGATAAAGTCAAATACCAATCGCCCTCTTGCATCAATATCTCCTGCGCCCCAGCTTGGATGTTTAGAGTTAAAATCACCGGTAACAATGAATTTATTATAATTTTTCATCACAGATTCCAGTTGAGAGAGATATTCCTCTATGTGTTCTGCCGCAGAGAAGTAAACTGTAATGATGCCCAGTCTGCCCGAAGACAAATAAATAGAAATAGCTGTAATAATATCAGTTTCATAGTCTCATGTGAAATCAACATGGAGGAAGAACTGGTTTAGTAACAGTAGTTACTATAATTCCCGTTCTTCCTCCACTATTATATGCGGATCTCCATTCAGGATTTTGAAAAGCCAATTCATTCTGTACCGCATAGGGCTCCTGCATACAAATTATTTCAGGAGAGGAACCAATAACCTCTTTAAGTACCTGGAGCTGGGCTTGGGCGAGTGCGCAATGATTTAAGTTTATACACTCAAAATTTTCATACCAGACTCTTTCATGATTAATCTCCAAAGAACAAATATATTATAAAATTCAATAAAATTACAATAAAATTTTACAATAAAATTGAATAAAATTCAATAAAACAGAAAAACCTGGCACCCAACCAAAAATAAAAAAAAAAAAAAAAGTCTAAAACTCACAATCAATATCTAAATGATCCTTCAGGAAATTTAACTCACTCAAGTAACATGGACAATTTTTATCCATGGCATTTTGTTTCATATCAAAGTTAGTTTGAAATTTTTCATTAGAATAAGTACAATTAATGCAATTAAATTCTTTACTCAAGTGAGCCCCCGTACATTTGGGACAGCAAATTTCAAGTTGGCAATTCTTTTTGGAATGACTAAACGAAAAACACCTTGTGCATTGTTAGGTCATAATTTCTCCAACCTCGGTTAATACCTCTTGAAAGTAATTGATCTTTCTGGCAAGAAGCGCTCACTAAGAATACTCTATGACTATGATTCCGATTTCTTGTTGGTAAATTGAAAAGAGGTCTAACGCAGTCTCCGAAACACAAACAATTTCTCTTTAAAAGAATTCCCAATTCCTCATTTGTAAAACTATTATCAACATCGTATACAATCACATGAAGCCTGATAAAGCATTTCCTCCTAATAATCAAATTCTTTTGTAGGCCTTCATCATCAACAATTGCTCTTTCCAGCCTCTTAACTTCCTCTCTATCTCCCAATTTCAATCTCAATTTACCTCTTTCTCCAAATGAAGACTTTTTAATATTAATCCCAATCTTCCAGATTAAACTTATCACAAATTTCATCATATGCGTTAATATCTGGAACCGCAGGTTTAATCACTATCTCAATCCAATCCATCCTTTAGCCGTGACCTTAGCATATGTAGGAGATCCATCTCTGTGCAGTTTCTCAAATTCAGAGGTCATTTCACTTCTCATTTTCACAATCTCTTCTCTCAAAGCAATTCAATTCATTAGAATTTTCACCATCTAACACACCCGGTAACTTGAGAGTTTTTCCTATCTCTGAGAACTCCAGCACAAGTCAAAATCATGTTTAGTCATGTTAGTCAAAATCATGTTTAGTAAGTCAATTTGTTAGTTAAAGTACATCCAATTTTACGCTGTGCTTTGATTTTATCGACAACTCTATGTAAACTATTAACAGTTTGCACAATGTCCCTTTCTTCATCTTCAGTTGTATTAACCTCATCCTCTATTTTATCATCTGCATTAGGCATAATGAAATTATATTAAGTGGCCGGGTTCCAAATATAATGTATTAAAAATACATAAATACGGTTAAAAACAATTCAATTGCAATCTTTTATCAAAAGTATCAAAATTCCGCACACTGTGTAGTATATACAGACAGTTTAAAAAGCAAATAATAATATATACAAATTTATAACACTATAAGAATTTACAAAATTCTAAATATGCAGAATACTAATTTGCACTAATTTCAAATCCAACTACATTTAAAGCTTAATAAAAGCAAGTAAAAAGTATAAAAAGCAAATAAAAAAGATTGTATAGGCGTGCATGTTTACACAATGCACGCCTATACAATCGTGCTATGATAAATTTAAAAATCTCTAAAATTCAATAAAATACCAGAACATTCAAAATTTCCTATTTAAATACATCAATATTACATAAAAGTAGCACAATAAACAAATAATCAAAATCCCACAATAAAATTCCATAAAATATTCAAAAATGGCCTAAAATACTTTTGAAACAGGCCAAAAAACCTTGCCAAAACTTGAAACATTATTATGACTACAGGAAACAAGAGATTAAACTATATACTGAATTATATAGTTTAATCTCTTGTTTCCTGTAGTCATATTTTCCACGGTATTCTTTTTAAACAAATAGTTTTGAGCACCGATACCGACACGTTTATACAGAGTAACACCAATACTGACACGTGTGTCGGCTGAGTCAAAGAAAGTCTATGTGAAGAAAGAAAGGCTCCATAGACGTAATGTGACCGTCGAACCTGTTTGAACTTCGACATCAGCTTCGAACTTTGCCGCTTTTTGGGGACAGATTTTTCATGCATGCACAAAATAATTATGGCAGATGTAGGAAAAGTTATGTGTGTCTAGACCTTTATCCGGGCTAAAAATAGCATTCAGTATTGAAAGTTAACCCGTGTCCTTCACGTATAAGATGCAGGCAACTTTTTTGAGACCAAATTTAGGAAAAAAGTGCATCTTATATGCCGTCAGATATGGCATATATATATATATATATATATATATATATATCTTAGAGTCTAATGAAATGTAGCAAATAATCTAGAGTAATATTAAAGTTATTTAACTTTTCAAAATTTAATGTGATTATTTTCTTTAAATACAGTATGAACAGATATTGAATTAATTACACTTTTAATATTTTCATAGGCTGCACGTTCTAATCCACAATATGGTTTGTTGAGAATTTGGCTTGGTATGCAAAAAACAATATGTGGAAAAGAGGGCAATTTCCCTAATAGCCTGCCAGATGATGGAGAAGTAGACCTAGGTATTTTAAAACTAAATGAATGAACTGAAAATTATTTTCTTTATGCATGTAAATTAAGATAAATTTTGATGGCAGAGATGCTTTGCAAAGAAACATTTCATGAAAGTTATGCATTATTATTATTTTCATTAAAGTAATCTTAGTCATCTTAAGCTCATTTCAACTTTTCACTATGAGAGCTTATTATTTGTTGATCATCAATTATTATAGTTGAATTGTCTGTTAAAATCTGTTACAGTTAAATTAATGATATAGTAACAATTACTGCTAAATGTTGCAATGAGAAATAGAGATGAAGGTTTCATGTTTAATCCATTAACTGCAACAGAAATAAATTGTAACATAAATTGAATATTTCATATCAAGGACCAAATGAAATTTGATTATGAAATTGCATAAAAGATCATAATTTTGTTTGATTTCTTACATGAATTTTTTTTCATTATTTTTGAATACAAAATCAAATAATAAAAAAAGTAGAATTTTAATTTTCAAATATAGTGTAGAGAAAATTTTACTGAAAACTACTAATCAGTTATTTTCTATTCCAATAGAGTAGAAAATAATTAATAACTGAAATTTTATGTCTTGTGTAATCATACTTAACTGATTTAAATGCTGTTCATGTTTTATTAAAAATCATATTCAGCTATATTAAATGTATATGAAACACTTTCCTTTCAATATGACGGCAAGCATGAAGTTCCTAGAGACGAAATAGGAAAGAACTTTGAATTGAGAAGGCATGAACGTAAGAAAATAATTACTGAATAGTAAATAAATTAATGCAGTTGGTCTTGCTGTTTTCCATCATAAGGAACCTTGAACTGAAACTGTACCCAAATTGGAATTAACTACTTGTTCTACCATGTTGTACCAAGAAATGAATCTTAATTCAGTGCACATCTCATTTTTATAGTACTTAAAGACAGAAAGAAATCCAGCATTGAAATCTAGACTAATCATTTGAACCTTTAAAAGTCTGGAGAGAATGGCATGAATACTTTTTATACATTTTGTTATTTTTTTTTTTTTTTTTTTTTTTTTTTTTTCAGTGAATGACTTTCAGGATCTTTGTTCCAGCCTTGGTGAGACTTAAAAAATCATCATAATATTTTCTGTATGTTTAGGATCATATTCCTATGTTTTATTGAGAAATTCAAGAAGATCAATGGTTCTGAAATTCAAGAAGATTATTAGCTCTAAATTTCTGATAATGATTATTTAGACACTGACATGTGATTTCAACATGGGCCATCTTTGTGAGAAAAACATTGTCAAATTCTTTCAACCTTTTTTTTTATTTGTTACTTAAATTTTTTCTAGCCCAACTTTACAAATTATCTATGATTGCTACATCCTATAAAGCAGTGGTCTTCAGACTTTGTTGACTTGTAGAACCCTTAGAACTGTTAGGCCATTTTGAAGAATGCCCCCTCCCCAACCATTAGAAAAATATATCTTAAAATAAGTAGTTTAGTGTGTTACAGGTACTTTGTAAAAACAATTAAAGAAAAATATAGTATACTAAAAATTTTTATCATAAAAAGTGATGCAATATACTCATTAATAGCACTTGAGCTCCAGATGTCACCTACCCAAGCATTGTGTTTAGTGATAGAGATGTGCTCACATATTTTTACATAAACTGTCTAAAGCTCTATTGATGTTATCTGCAGTCACATTTAATATTCATGTTTATAGATTTAATTTCTGTTCCTGCATATGTGAGAAAGACTTTTCACTTAAATATGTTGTTACAAGGACATTTGAGAATGTTTCTGCAGGCACATTGACTGAGCATTAAAAAAAAAATGCAGGTATTCTCACATGGATGTCGCTGCCATCGACAGCCACCATGCAAAGCTTCTGATTAATTTTAAAAGATAACTAAATATATCTTTTTATTCTTTAGTTAATAAACGCTAGACAGGTAGTGTGAATGCTTTATAATTTTGTCTTCAAATTTTTATTTTTACTTGTGGAACTGTGGGGTTCGACTCTTGGAACCCTGAGGTTATGTGGAACATGGTTTGAAGTTCACTGCTATAAACCATTGACATCATCCCTAAGCTGTTGACTGTTAATTCTGAAAGATTTAACTACACTTTTGGGAACTACCATCAAATTAAAGAACTAGCAAGTATGCAATTGTCACAGGATGTAGTTTGGAATTCCTTTGGAATCAAACCACATGCCATAAAACATATTATCCTTCCGTCCTTTTAGACATATGATGCCCAAAACATGCAAACATTTTCTTGAAGCATGCTAAAACAGCATTTGCATGTTACACTCACCCAAAAGGAAGAAATTTTTTTTTCTCCCATATGGTATAAATGTAAGTTGCATAATTTCAAGCTCAGGCAGCATAAATACAAGTTGATCAAAGTAGAGTTGTTAAGTAGAGGTATTACTGTATTTAATATTAATATCCCTTAAGCACTTTGCATAGCCTTTCATGAAAAAATATTGTTAGTAATCAGGAAGGCCTTCTTACTTTTCTTTGAAAGAAATACTAGGATTGAGACTTTATTATAGTGTTACTTTGATTTTGTTATTCCAATGTTTTTTTTTCTCTTACAGATAAGCTGGGAATGTCAAAATATCAGCAGGAACAGATAGGCATTTTAGTTCATGTCCTTTATAGCAATCCAAGAGTTTTATATGCACCTAATAATACAGATGCTGATGAGATCATTACAAAAGTGAGTATTAACAGTCTTAAAAAAGAACAGTACTTTTGACGTTAAAAATGTTCATAATGTAATTATTTTTTATTGTGCTTTATGATATTTTGACATTGCAAAATTGCTCTGTACGCTGATTGTCCACTCAACGTAAATTACCGCTATTTCAAACTTCAAAATGTAGTTAATGCATCTTTAAAATTATTGCAGAGCAATATTTGTATAAAATTGAGGAATTTAAAAGCAATCTGTGTACTTCTTTATAGTATTATTAATATTTTTACAACTAATTTAATTATTAAATGGCATTTTTAAACATTATTTGTTATGTATTTCTACTATAGAATTTACTTAGTATGATACTTTTAATTTAAATTAGTTTATCATTTTTGTATGTTTTCCATTATAAGAATAATAAATTTTTAAAGATTTAAATGTTAGTTTTATTACATGCGTCTATTTTATTCTATAATTGTTCCTACGAAATTTTACTTTTGACAAAATAACTTCATTATAAATCTGTAAATACTTAACTCTGAAATTATTTTTTATAGGCTAATGAAACATTTGAATTGTTGGATACTGTTACACAGTATGCTCAGAAAATGTTAAACATATCTGAAGAAATTAGAATTTTCCTAGCCGAAAACAGTACCGATCATTCACTTGCTGTATTAAAGCAGGTAGTTTTTTATGAAATGTATTTTTAATAGAAAAATCCCTTTATAAATCCATGCAATAATGGTATACAAATGGTATTTTGAAATAAAATTTCTAGTGAAAAAATAAGTAAGTCCTTCATGATTCTTGTATTTTTAATATATGTATATGTGACGATAAAATTTAGTTTGGCAGTCGGGAACTTTTGAAGAACCACAAAAATCATTTGATAATTCAGATAAATCTTTATTACTTGTCGCACTTCACAATGGAGGACCAATTTGCACCCCACAATTTTGATGATGACACATTACATTTTTAACAAAAGGAGAAAAGCAAAAGACGTCCTTCTTTAAGCAAGCACAGGCAAAAAAAAGAAGGTGAGGTAGGATTGCAACAATATTTATAGTAAAATTTTTTGTTAACCTGATTGGCTGAAACTTATAGGCAATGCAGAAGTTTCAAGATGACATAATGCGGAATACGTTTTCAGATATGACACAGTTTAGATAAAGTTATTGCTAAAGTACCCAAATTAAAAATAAGCAATTAAGAGGCATTTTAAATTATAATTTTGATTTGCATTTTTTTTTCCTGCATATCCCTCCCCCTCTTCAAAGAGAAAAAAGCTTGGTGACAGAAAAGTCATTTTAGAAGAAAGCATTAAAATAGTAGCGAAACAAAGGAAATACATTAAAATTTTGATCTAAATGTTTTAAAATAACAAAATCTTGTAGACATCATTTTTAACAAGAAATGTAAATTAAAAATGCTACTGAAATTTTGAAAGTCTGGAAGTTCATTTTTCTGTAAACATACTGTAAAAAAAGTCCTAATTTTTTCAATAAATAACAATAAAAGTTCACAGTTCCTGGAATATTTACTTGAGCATCATAATCATATTTTGCAGTCCTTGGCTTGAAAATCTTCGGTAAAAATTGTTGTTGTCAAAATAAAACCAAAATTTTCCTTTACAGATTAAACAAACTTTTGGTGAGTGTATACATGCAAATGCTGTTTTAGCATGCTTCATAATTTTACCTGCATAGGGAAGGTTTTTTTTAAACTATTCAAATATAAAAAAGTATTTTAAAATACATCTAAAATTACGTTACAAATTACAAATTCAAAATACTAGAATGTAATTAACTCATCATTCAAACATTATTTGAATATTTTGTTGAAATATGCTTTTTACTATACTATATACATTTATAGTTCATTTTTCTCTAAACTACATCCATCACATTGGTTTACAGTTGAGCAAACTGGTGTTTCTTCAACATGGCCAAAATTTGCAAATTAGCAGTTTACTAATAAGGGCCTCCGTTCCTTGGATAGGCAGTGGCCTTTTGGAACTGCTGTCTCATTCAATTACTTAAAAAATTACGACACTCCATTATATTAAAAAATAATTATTATTATTGTGGGGGAAAATGGGAGCCTTCAAAGTTGTCATTCATCTTAAAATGAAAAATTCTTAATTCAAATTTATAAAAAAAATTTTTTTGTTAATAAAAAAAATCAATATTAAATAAAAATTTTAAACAAAATGCAAAAATCTTAATCATGTTAATAACCTTCCATAAATAAAATCTTTACTAATCTTTTAAATTCGTTAAGCATAATCATGAAAATCAAATTTTTTTATACCATTTTTCATAAAACAATGCTATAGGTTTAAACCAATATGAGAAAAAACAGCAGTATTTATTCAGATTTTCAATATAATAATAATGATTAGCAATTTCAATGTGGTATTTTTAGTTTCACTAAATAAAATCATATTGCATATTAAAAAAATCCATATCACAAAACTTAGTAATCAGAAGTTGATGAATAAATCGTTCAAGAAAAATCATTTCCATTTTTCAATTCACCTTGCACGAGAAAAGACTCTTTGAAGTAACTTTTAATGAAGAAGATTGCTGATGCATAAATAACATGCTGAAATAGCTGTAGTAATAAATTATTCACAAAAAGAAAGATGACCTCGATAATCACTAGATTGCGTTGTTGAAATAAACTCGAAACCTTCGTACACATCAATTCACTTTCAGTACTCTATATATTAATTTTTAAGAATGGATTTCTTTTCACTTTAAATATTTATACTTTAGGCACAATGATTTTGCTGATCTTTTCGACGGCACACTTTTTAATCACGAGAAGACCGTTACTCTTGATACCGGAATCAACACATTTCGCTGACGTCATTTTTTTTCATGTACTTTATCCATTGGAGTTAGCAGCAGAGATTTATCCTACTCTTTACTGTGATGATAGTTTGGCAGTCAGGAACTTTTGAAGAATCGCAAAAATCACTTGGTAATTCAGATACATCTTTATTACTTGTTGCACTTCACAATTTTGATGATGCTGCATTACATTTTAAGAAAAGCAGAAAAGCAAAAGACATCACTTAAGCAAGCACAGGCAGACAAAAGAAGGTGGGGTAGGATTGCAACAATATTTATAGTAAAATTTTTTGCTAATCTGATTGGCTGAATTTTATAGGCAGTGCAGAAGTTTCAAGATGACATAATGTGGAATACGTTTTCAGATATGACACAGTTTAAAGAAAGTTATTACTAAAGTACCCAATTTAAAAATGAGCAATTAAGAGGTATTTTAAATTATCATTTTGATTTGCATTTTTTTTATCTTAACATATATATATATATATATAAATACACACATATATTATTAATTATGCACACACCAACAGAAAAAAATCCCAACATCAAAAAGGAGTTGTGCTAGATAAACAAAATTTTGGTAGGCATGTAATACATCTGAAAAATGACATGTATTCAGCATTCGTGTTAGGCGCATAAGTGTGGTGCTTGTAACACTATAACGAACATGCAAATCAGATTTGTTTTAAATACCGCTGTAAAGTTCGTAAGCATTATTTATTATTGAGATTTGCATTAACCCTTTTATAGCATATTCTAGAGAAAAGGGAAGTTTTCAAAATTTTATTTTTATGATTACTTAATTTATGAAGCAAATATCAAGAAACTCCTGAAGTTGTCAAATTTGACAGTATGTCACAAATGTTTGCAATCTGTCAAGAAATCGGTTGATGTACTACCTAAATATGGCTGATTTTGAGAAGGTATATATTTCATGTCTGTATTAGCTATTTGAAAGCTATACACAGTGTACGTACTTACTAAAGCATGCATGCAAAATGTAATTGGATGGAAGCAACATTTATAAAAATGGCAGACTTCTATAATAAGCTTAATTTCATTGCAAGTAATTCTTTCTAGCAAGGACAGGAAGAAATAAATAAATAGAATGAATATTAGAAAAATGTATATAGAAGCAAGAAAACCAGTGTGACTTATGATGACATCATTTAAAACTCCAAGAGAATCATGAAAGGGAAAAAAAAAAGAACTATAACATCTGCTTCAAGAAAAGAACTATAACATAACATCTTAACTAAGTCTGAAGCATAATAATAAAAAAAATATAGAAAATTGTTTAATCATTATTCTTTTAAAAGATGGCAAAGAGTTTGCTTTATAATCTATGAAAATTTCAAAACTTTGTAACAGATACAATTTTAAGTATTGAAATTTTAAAATAATGTTCATCAAATAGTTACCAAAGAAATAGCAATTTTAAAAAATTTGCCAAAAAGTCCAAAATTATATAACAAATTTCATATAAATTTCATTAATAAGATTGTTTACTGTATCTCATGGTACAAGTATTAAAATTCAGAGATTTTTAGTTTGTTCATTAAATGAAGATATGTGGGGGAAAATCATTTTAACATTAAGTTTAAAAAATAGTTTTAGCTCATTGTGTTGTCATCCACAAAGATTGAGTATATATGCAAAATTTGAGCTCAATAGCTTATTATGAAGTAGTTTAAATATCAATGACAAACTTTTGACCACGGTGCTAAACACCATGAAGAAGCTAAATAAAAGCTTATAAAGAGATGTTAATTGTTTGATTTCTTTTTTAATTAATAAGTAAAGTGATGATGAATTTATGTTGGGAAATTAATATTCATGTCGCATTGATGTTATATTCTTTATTATTTTGATATCTTTTATCATTAATATTTGTTCTAAAGAGAAATTTATTTGATGTTAAAATCTGTAGTAGTAAAAAAATAAATTTTCTGATTTATTTTTTTCCCATATCATAGTATTAGAAAAGCTAAATATTTAGGAGTTCGACTAGTGATTCTTGATAAATTAACCAATTTCTTATTATATTTATTCTTAGAAACAAGTAAGCACAATAATAGCATTACAGTTCTTTTTTCTTAACCCTTTTTAGTTAGTTTAATAAAAGTAATTTGTATTAAATATTTAATCTCAGTTATTATTACAAAAATATTTAAAATATAGTATAGTTGCAAATATAGTATAATTTCATGAATATGTTGAAAGAGGAAAAAAATATTTCAAATATAGCATAGTTAATAGGGCCGAGCATTGTTTAAGCTGGGTTTTATCCAATTATCAGTTGTAAAATTATAAAGACTTTGTGATATAAAATGAAATATGCATCCTCCATTTTTAATTTGTTAAGCATATTTTATGAAACTTTTATTGTTTCCTAAACAGTGCAATAGCATTTATTTTATGGTCTTACTTATTTTATGTAGCTGTCTCAAATCAAAATCACATTTAAATTGTTTTTATTTAATTAGATAAATAGTGTATGTATTTTTGTTCAGAATGAAAAAGGTGTATTTCTTTTAATTAAAGTCACACTTTTTATTCATTTTTCTAATACATAAAAATAGGTGCAGCTTAAATTTAAAAAGATTTTTATTATTTTCTCCAATTTTAAAATCCTTCTTCTGCTTAAATTTAATGTAATACAGTAATTTAAAATGTATATGCTTTTTCAATTCATTGTGATTCTCAATACCATATAACTGAAATTCACATGAATGTATTGAAAAAGGGAAAAATATTCCAAATATAGTATAGTTAATAGGCCAAGCATCATTTTATTTTGAACAAATGTTAAAAAACAAATCCCCCAAAATTGGTGCTTTTTTTCCTTCTTTAATTATTATTACAAAATTGTGTAGATTGTCTAGAATTAATTGTCTATATCTGAGAATGCTCCAGATTATGCAACTATCATGTTCAATGGTGTTATCTTGTTTAGTCATTTAGTAATGCAGCTACTGTGTACCGAATGTACTTAGAAAAATGGTAACATCTGAATTTCTACGACTGTATTAATTACATAGCTATGCCATGTTGAAAAGTATATTCTGGATCTTAATATCCACAGGTGTTTAGTTGTCATCTCATCAGAAACCCAAATATCCAACAGAAATAGTAATTAGTCATTGTTACAATGCCAGAAAATAATAATGATATTAATTTTCTTTGTTCTTTTAAAAAACTGTGCTTAAAGTATTTGTACTGTTAAAAGCATTCCTCATTTTAACTTTATCATTATTTTTATCATTATTAATTATACCATTATTGTCATTATTAAAAAATTAGATGATGCACTAACTCTTGTGAGTCGTGAAATTTGAAATGCAACTTTCTTTAAATTACACTTTTTTAAAAGTATATTCTAGTATATCATGCTATTAGAATCAAGAGTCCATAGAAGAAAAGTGCTAAATTGAAAATGAAAAAAATTTATGCATTTTAAAATATATCATATTAATAGTTGCAAAATTATATTACCATCTTAGAAAATTTGATTTGTATTGTAAAGAGATATATTTGGCTGGGAAACTAATCAATTGAACCAACCATAACTTGAACCAAGTAATAATCACTTAAAATTCCATATTGTGGTACACTATAACTGCCTTTTTGGCATATTTTACAAGAAAGTTGTGATAATTCTTTATTTCACCAGATAATATTTTTAATTAACTAAAATTCATTGTCAATTTTCTGTTTTTCAGATTCATCAGAACTTCAAGAAATATCCATTGTTTCTAGAATTATTCCACAGTTTGGCTTTGGAAGAATTTGCGGCCAGTTCTGTTATTATTGACAAAGATGTTTTTCTGCAACAGTTGGATTCCATAGACAATGCTGCTTGTAGTTGGATTTCTTTGATGTCTGGGCTTAGTCTGAACATGTTTCAGGGATTTAGAAATGAAGAAGATTTACTTACATATTTTAAGCATGAAGCCTATTTTGATAATGTAACGGTTCTTGCAAGTATGTATTAACTGTATTTTTTGTTTATAGTTCAAACGTATTTGCAAATTTATATGGCATACAGAATCTTTGTTAAATTTATTGTAATAAATAGGGAAAATTTAGGAAAAATACTTTTAAAGATGAAATAAAATTTTCATAAACTTTTTAAATAGTCAAGTATATTCTTCATGTGATGCATGCATTTGTTACCTTTATAAATAACTCAAAATTAACGAAAAGTGGACTGACTTACTATTTTATTTTACAATTCTAATCACATGTGAGACATCTTTCCAAGTGAGGACTTACTCAGCCAACAATCCTCCGCCTCCCAAAAAACTGACTGAGCATTGCAGGTTGCTGTAATGATAATACGAGCCATGTAAGCCACCAAAAAGAGAAAATATGAAGTAATTTTAGAACTAAACTGTTCTAAAGACAAAATATATACATTTACTAAAATTCTCATTTTTATTTTTCTCTTTTTAATTCCTTAAACTTTTATTATTAATTATATCTAGGCTTTATTTAATGTAAGTGTGCATACAAAAAAGTCTTGCCTTAATTTAATGCTTCTTTTATATTTATAAATTATGATTAATAGGATAAAGTTCAGAAATTGAAAAGAAAAAGTAGCTGAAAGTATATTAATGAGTAATGCCACATCAGGCAGTTTGGCTCTGAGTCTATACATTTTTGAATTTTTTAGGCGTTATCTTTAATATGACTGAAGATGGGTCTATGCCTAATCATATGACATATAAAATCAGACAGAATGCCTCATTTACAACAACAACTAATCTTGTTCGTAGCAGATTCTGGTTTCCAGGGCCAAGAAACTGGGGATATGGATATTACCAGTTTGGTTTTGTATGGATTCAGGTAAGAAGTAGTCTTTTGCTTATTTTGTTTAAGTATCATTCTCTTTGTTACTTTTTTGTTGTTAAGGTCAATACACAAACTTTTTGAGTTTGTGCAAACTATAAAGCAACATTAGCAAAAGTTTATAGGAATCTTTTCTTAGGAAAAATTTCCTATTTTTTTAATTTAAATTATGTGTAAAACTCATAATACAAATAGCATGCTTGTCCATCTCAATAATTATCTTATGTAGATATTGGCTGATCATTAAATTAAACAGTAATTTTATCATATTGCAAATTTATGTAGTGAGTTTTGCAAAATTTAAGAGTTCTTTAAAAAGAAACTCATGAATTTCAGATTTTTTTCAGGGCTGTGGAGTCATTAGGTAAAATGACCGACTCTTGGAATTTTAAAGACTCTGACTCCCTCTCATGTATGTATGTATGTATATAAACATATACACATGGGTGACAACTTATTTCTTTTTTAATATAAAAGAAGTAATAGATGCTACAGAAAAAAAATTGATAGCATAGCAAATTATTTATATTAATTAGCATTTTTATGAAATGGAAAAACTGGCATTAGTTATTTCTGTATAGCTTCGGCCTTTGTTGGAGGGCCATAGATCCGATTTGACAAACTTCAGAGCTGAGAACAGTCTTTCCACACTAACTTGAGTAGGAAGAAGAGCTGTTACTGTTAGGGTTACCTTTTAACTTTCAGATAGATTTTTATAATTCTAAAAGCATGTTGTAAGCACAATCATATTTCTCATTTTTTCATAGGCCATGTAGAAATCTTGTATTTTTTTTTCATTTTTATATCTAAAGCTCTGGTTTCTTTATTTTCTTTCAATTTTTCCAATTTGCCTAGCCTTTAATATTCCAAAAAATATTTCTCAAAATCTAATTCACCACTGGAAGAGGATGATAGAGACTCAAATTCAGTGCCTGCAGTTTGACTATCCTGATTCGAATTCTCTAATTGTTCTGAGAGTAATTTCATTCTTAATAAAAGTTCATAGATGGCTTTCTTTGCCTTTTTAATTTTCTTCATTGAAAAAATGATTTCTTCTGCAATAAATCCTCCATTTCAGAAAGAACAAACATCACATTCTTCCATTCTCTTTGCCTGTCAGTTCTTTTAGATTGCAGCTTTTTTGTGGCTTATGTGGTGTAGAAAGAAAAGTTTCCAATTCGGCAAGATCATTCCACAGTCTTTCTGTTAGTGAAACATTAGGGTGAACTACTATTCTAAAAAAACCTCTTTATATCAATATGTCTTTCTTCTCGCATTGCTTGATCATAATGTTTTTTTTCTACTCGCTTCTAACATGACAATTTTGGATTCTTTCTGCTATTGCTGCATTGCCTGCTAATATATACCAGTGAAATTTGAACTACTGAATCAGTTTAATCCCTACGCAACATCCATCCTCCTCCCTTTTTTTATTTATTAATAAGTCATAAATAGAAAATAACTATTTATTATGTATATAGTTTATAAATAAAATAACTCAGCTTGTCATTAATTTTTTTCAATTCATTTTAATTTAATTTCAAATTCAAACTGTCAACGAAAACTAGAGTCAGAATTGGAGTCTGTTTTCAGCAACTCCAGCTCTGACTCCTTTTACCCCAAAATCTGCTCGACTCCATGACTCCGACTCCACAGCCCTGGATTTTTCTGTGCATTTATTTGAACTTTTGTTTAAATGTTTATTATAATAATTAGATTATTTTTATATTTGATTAACTTTCATACTACTTTCTGTTAAAGTTTCTGCAAACAATACACTACAAACTAATTTTATTTGGAAATTGAAATCAGAATGTTGAACGTCCCAAAATTTTGCTTTACTTCTGGAATACAAGAAAAAGTCATTTACAAAGTTTCATAAAGTCTCTCTCCATTGCCTATATGTATCAGCAAATAATTTCTGTGTATGTTCGGTAAATGTGTAAAAATGCTGTCAATTGCTTGACATTCTTATTCCAAAGTAATAGTGGTGTAAATATTTCTGGAATTTGATTAGTTTGTAAATATAAATTCATATTAACAATGTATGATATGTTTGTTTAACTATGTATTAACTATATGTCTTATTGCTGTGCTTATAGTAGATATTCCTCCTTAAATGTTAATGGAAATGCTTTACCATGAAATTTGTTCACAGAATTGCTATTTTAAGTCCTTAGCAATGAAAGCTTCACAAAGTGTTACTGCCCAATAAATTACCTCCCTCATAGTAATATCTGCTGTGTTAATGACTTGTGCCATCAAATTTTTTAAGTATTCAATCTTCGTTTCCTCAGTGTCTGTTAAATATAATTTCATCCTGGTGGTCATATGTGGTATGCAGATGGAAGTAATGCCCCCAATATTTTGCAGATATAAAGATATTCCTTTCATTAGGCAAATAATCCTTATGCTTTGCTTTAGCTAATCAAATCAGTCTAAAGAATGCCATTATTAAGTTTGTGCTTAACAAAAAGGAATCTGAATTTGTAGCCATAGTTGAAAATATGCTCTAAAAAGTTACATCTTTACTAAATATGAGTAAAACTTTTTTTTTCCTTTAATAATTCACAACTAGACATTTTCAAAAAATTTTTGATATGGTAACTGAGAGGTAAGAACAAAATTTCTGCTTAACATAAAAGAGTGACACAAAAGAAAAAACAAAAGTTCACTAGAATTAATAAGATTGTAAACTGCTATTTGATGTCGCTGTGTAATATTCCAGAGGCATCGCAGAAAGTTGTAGAGACATTAGGTTATTTCGAAGCAGGAAACATGAAAAATGCGCAATGCCCTCCCCGGGACTCGAACCACGGACCTCTCGAATACGCATCGAGTGTGCTGACCATTACACCAGGAAGGCATGCTAAGAAAGCAGGAGAAATACCTTATATGCACCCACCTTTAAAGGACGATTGAGGCTTAGGAGACCCAGTCGCCATATCCTGGTGGTGAAGAATCATCATCCATCAACTTCTAGTTGGGGGGCCACTGTAGAATGATTAGGTTATTTAAAAGCAGGAGAGATGAAAAATGAGCAATGCCCTCACCGAGACTCGAACCTCGAACTACTCGAATATGCAGCGAGTGTACTCACCACGAAGGCATGCTAAGAATGTGGGAGAAATACCTTATAAAAGGAAAGAGCAAAAGTTCAGTTTTATTAGCAGAAGACAAAACTTATTTGCCTCAGGATATTTTTTATAAATAATCATATTTCAATTCTTTCAATGTAATTAAAAATTATGGGATAATAATAATTACAGATTACCTATTCAGAACACTATAGCTGTCAACGGTTAGTGGACGGTAGTTAAATTCTATGCCTAAGTTAAATTCGGTAATTAAAAATCTATGCCTATTCTATTCAAAGCATAGGAAAAAGAATTCTCTCATGACAGGAGCATTTTATGGCAAAATATAGAAAATGAAACCCATTGAACAAGCTAAGTAAACCAGAAGAAATACTCCAGTATTCATTGTTATATTTATATGTATTAAAAATAAAATCAGAGATAAAAATAGTGCTTCAAACACTACAAGCAAAGAAAATACAATCTGATTTGTACTTTCCTTGCTTTTAATGATATGTTGTTAAATAATATAATGCTTTGCAGCATTTTATGTGTGATTGACATAATTAAACGTTAGTTATAATCATACAAGACACTCTGAAAAATCTGCTCATGTGTTCTCTATGCTTAATTTGTACTAGTCTAAGTCTAGGAATTGTGTTTTCAGTAGCTATTGGATTTTTCGGAAAGTAATTTTGTGTTTTCTAATCAGAGGGCTTAATTGCATTTTTTCACAGCCAACTTCACGCTTAGGACGCATAATCATTAAATATTTTGACAGCTGATATTGCAACGCTTGTTTGTGAAAAAGTTCGATCGATTCTATGCAGTAGTCTTTGGTTGGTGCCATTTTAAATATGGAAAGTGAAAAGCAGCATTTTTGGCATATTTTACTTTTTTACTATTGAAACGGTACTTTTTTATTATTGTTCAAGCCAGAAAAAAATTATCTGACGTGTATGGAGAAGATGTACGAAAGGACGCCAGTGCCAAAACTGGTTTGCAAAATTTCGATCTGGCAATTTTGATCTTGAAGACGTGCCATGTTCTGGAAGGTAAGTGAAAGTTGATGATGACACAATAAATGCATTAATTGATGTAAATTGTCAAAAAGCAACTCATGAGATCGCTGAGAGATAAAATTTAACGAATTCGACCTTTCATGATAATTTTGAAGCACCTAGGTTTAATTTCAAAGCTTCACATAAGAGTTCCTCATGTTTTTAAGCTTTTCATCAGCTACATCTGGCCTTCCAGAATGCGATGCATCTTCAAGATGAAAGTTGGCAGACCGAAATTTTTCTAACCAGTTTTGGCACTGGCCTTCTATCAATACATCTTTTCCATACAAGTGAGATAATTTTTTTCTTGTTTAAACAACGTTTTTACCCTTTCAATAGTAAAAAAGTAAAATATGCCGAAAATGCTGCTTTTCACCTTCCATACCAAAAACTACCACGTAGAATTGATTGAACTGTTTCACAAACAAGTGTGCTGTATCAGCTGTCAAAATATATAATTATTATGCTGCTTAAGTGTGCAGTTAACTGTGAAAAAATACAATTAAGCCCTCTGTTGGGAAAAAATGAAATTACTTTCCGAACAACCCAGTAATTATAACTGATCCTTTGGGTTTTTTTTTTTTTTTTATGCAGAAAGATATGGTCTTTCTGCTTTCTTTAAGCATTCTTTAAGTGCCCTACATCCAGAAATAAGAGACTGAAAAATCTAATGAACATGATGAACAGACAGAAGGAAATGAGTAACTAATGAAACACTTATCTGTAAAAGGTTTGTGAAAAATTGAGTGTGACCAACATCCATTGTGTAACAATGCACTATCTTCCATAAAAGTTAAATAAGCGTTAGGCACTGCTTTTCCTGCATTGTGGTAACACAAAAATTTGCAGCATATTATGACATCTATTTGCTGTTAAGCAATATATTGCAAGACTATTCGCAGTAGTTTTCTCAAAGAATAGCTTGCAAATGAATATGTATTTGGTTGGATTCAAGAGAAAGGTTAGATGCTTCCTGAAACACATGAATTTTTATTAGGACATTTCTGAGTGTTTCGTAGTTGAGATAAAAATGTGTATTATTATACTAAAAGGTATTTCTTTTTCTAATTTCATTTATAACGCATGTGAATGTTGTAATAAATGTTTAAAACTTTTCATTGTTTGTTTTATATATTTAATGATATCTTTTTTATTTTATTTATTTATTTTCCCATAAAGTATCCCATAGCAAAAATTTTTTAAAGTGATCTTCTTTTTAGGAAAATACCTTTCTGCGCTCTTTGAATAGTGTGTGTTTAAATTTTGGTCTCTATCTGTGCATGAGTTTGCATTTATATTGTAGAATTCTATTAAGAGAAAAATTTGATTATAATCATCCTGTATATAGCATATGAACACTCTAGTATTCTCAAAAGTTACACCTATTAAGAAAGAGTATACAATTTGCAATGAAACTGTAGTAGATTTCCATGATTTCAAATTTCAAATTCTATTTCTAATTTCAAATTCTATTTAGAGAATACTGAGGTTATTTTCTAACTCATTAACCCTCCCCGGCCCAAAAAATAATAATAATGTGAATAACATCATAACAATTTGAATGTCAGAAAACATTTTCACTTAAATTTCACATTCCTGTATAATAACAGTAGAATGTTATGGGAGGTGTGTATACTTCAGAACGTTATGAGATTGAAAAATAAGAAATGATGCCAGTCAGGCAAATGATTTAGATTGTCAAGAAACAAAAGAGTTTATTTCAAAACATTTAAAATTCCTATCATTTCTTGAATGAATTATGCTATTTATTATACTAACTTATGCAATCACATTTTTAAGCATTATAAATATTTTAACAGGATGTTCTTGAGCGTGCAATGATTAGTATATATGCTGGTAGAGACGTCGTCGAGCCAGGAAGTTACATTCATCAATTTCCGTATCCTTGTTATATACAAGATCAGTAAGTGAGAGTTATTTTTATTTGCAAATGGATGCTAATATATTATATAATGGAATGATTTGGTAAAATCTGGAATGTGATCTGGAATTTCTGTGATCTATGTAAAATTTATTTTTATCAATAAAGGAAAATTATTCATAAATTGATGAAACTTAAAAATTACTGATTAATATGTCAGAGAGAGAGAGAGGAGATGGACTCGTGAACTAAAGTTGTTATTGTAAAAAATTGTAAATACATAGTGTGTTCTGGAATGGACATTATAATTTTTCAAAGTAGTATTTCAAAAGCATTTGGAAAAATATTGTTCTCGCTGCATATTTATCTGATAAAATTTAAGTAAGAAGTTTTTTCACATATTATATAAGCTTTGATGATAAATCTTTTTAAAATGCTATGATTTAAGTAACATTGACTGCTCATAATGAGTTTAATAGCTTGAGTGGTTGAGCTGCTGTGTAACAAACGTAGGTAAGTTGGTTGCTATTAGAGGCTAACTTCTTATAAAAATTTTATTTACTATCACACAAAAAAGCAGTAGAAATGAATTTTTCTTATTATCTGCTTTTGAGATATTCCTTTTAAAAGTTGTGGTATCTATTTCAAGATACACAGTAAATGTACACACATATGCAAAAATGTATTATATGTGTATACACATACATATATGTACAATTGCATCAAATGCATATATAGTAATAGAACTTAATTTTCATTCTTCTCCCCCTACCAAACTTCATTTACAATAACTTGACAATGCATTAAATTTGTCATCAAAGTAAATAAAGAATAAAAAGTAAATCTTACCATCTAAATAAACATAAGTCTAATGTCTCTCTCTCTCTCTCTCTCTTTTTTTTTTTTTTTTTTTTTAAACATTCTTTTCCTATTCAAATTTTCACAGTTTGAATTAGTTCAAAAACAATTTTGTTCATGAAATATTGACTGCTACTTTGGCTTGGAGGAATTGATTTCTTTTGTCTAGCAATTGTCATTAGATTATTGCATGCAATCAGAAAATAAATCCGAAGAAAATCCAAAAAAGGTAGAAAATTCCAATTTAGTAGATTTCCATGATTTCAGGCGGTGAAGAAACTACACATAAGGATATTGATGAGGCAAGATGAGAGCAATCATTTTCTAAGAGGCAGTGAAATTGCCATGCTGTTTGGGGGATAAAGAATCGGAGAAGGTAGAATGTGATGGAAAAGTTAAGGTGATGGTTAAGGCTACGCTAATTTCCACATTTGCAAAATAGATGCAAATAAATATCAAATTTAGCAATATTAGCAACTGAATGATCATTTAGTGACTTGCTGTCTGTCATCATACTCATTCCTACCATCCACCTCCCTCCTGTATTTGCTTTCTTACTCACTTTGCCCCAGTTGTTTCTGTCTGCCAACTCAGGCATGTCAGAAATTGTGGAATAAGTATGTATTTCATTTTTGTTTTGTTTCCTGAATATATAGCTGAATTTAGTTACTGCAGATTTTAATCGGTATGGATGGGCATAAGAAAAATAAATGACAGAATAAAGGGTTTGCACAAGAAAATTTGTACTTAACTACATACATAAGTGAGAACAAATTTCTTTAGATTATAGTTAAATTACAGTAGAAATGAATCATGCTATAAATTTAAATATTAAAAAAATTATTTATTCCCCCCCTCCAAAGTATAATTCATTTACTCTTATCCATTTTTTCATGGTTATATTTCCCTCTTTTATGTTTAAATTACATGCGTTGCATTCCATATATGTTACGATTTTCTTCATAAAACACAGAGCATATTTTATTATGCTTTTATCATATTAATCTTTTGTACTATTGTGGTATGTATAATAGAAGTACAATCATTAAAGTCCATGGTGACATTATGAAAAGTAAATATTCCCAAGAAATCTGCTATTCTGTATAAACTACACTACTTGTCTCTGCTGTAATTGGTCATAGTAATCAAATGGCATAGTTAAATGGTGAAAAAGAAATATTCCAACAATCTCCTCTTCACTGTAAAGTACATGTGACGTATATCTGCTGTGATTGGTCTAAAGCTTTTTGAAACCACATCCTCTCTCAGTCAGTGATGTATGTAGAATTTGACTTGATTCACAGCATGAGAGCACGAAGTAATATTTAAATGGTTTATTTAATATAAAGAAATAAAAGTAATTAAGAAAAGTATATAAAGATGAAGTTAACGGTATGCTGGATTAACATAATGATGTAAAGGCATAACATCGAAAGCACAATATAAGTTTATAAACTCTTGAAGACGTGTGAGCCGTCTGCTCACGTCTGCCCTCCACTCTCGACCAGGTCTCAGCGCTGTCTGGGATGATTCTTACTGCGCTGGGTTATGCTATACTGATGACGTCATAATCCTGGTATTCTAATTCAGCATTGGACATTGATGACTCCCACATGTATGTCATATGAGCGTAACTGTTTGCCAAACTGTGGCCACAACATGGCTTCTCAAATAAATTTAGATTTTAGAGTAAATTTTAACTATTGTGTTTTTTCATCTACAATTGCCTGCACATGTGATCTAGTGATTATTACTTAAGTTGCATAAGAGCCCAAGCTGCTTATTTCTAATCAGCATGTATTTAGTGGAAGTATATCTGAGCCCATGCAAAGTGTTTAGGTCTATGACATATATTCATCAGGAGTACAGAAGTTAACATGTGAAATAACTTTTACCACCTTGTCTTGATGCGAGTCTTGTTGTTCTGTTCTTTTATGATCATGCCATTGTCATAAAATCAAAGTTTTGATGAAATTTTTGTAATAACTGCATATCTCTAAAATATAGACTGTATATCGGATATTTTATGTTGGATTGAAATGTAAACTTCCATAATATCACAGAATGTAACAGTGTGATTTAATATTTAATGGTTTGTAATTAATAACTCTTTTCCCTCTGAATTTGTTTATTTTTTGCTTTAACTACCTTTTTAAAGAATTAATTAATGGTTTTACATTTTGTAGTTTTTCTTGTGTTACCAATAAATTATTTTGTAATTAGTATGATTATTCTTAGGTACATTTATAATTTAAATAATTTGTTGTCTTTGAAAAACTAAGTATTATTTATGCCTTCTGATTTATAATTCATTCGCATTTTTAAGATGCACAGAAAATAAAAGATAAGCTGTAGAAATAACACAAAGTTTTACAGCTCTACAGCAGTTATGATTCTGAAAATTTCACTTGTAGGCTATATTCACACACACAAACACACGTGTATGTATGTATGTGTATATAATTTGCAAAGAAATAAAAGGAAAAAAAAACTTTAATGAAATTCAAAATTTATAAAATTGATTGAACTACACATAGAATTGATTGGAAAAGAGATTTTGTTCATTTATTGGGGGGGGGGAAGAGACAAGATGCGATCCTCATGAATTATTAGTTATTACATAGAGAGATTCCATTTTCATTGAAAAGTCTGGGTCTTTCTGTGAAATCAACAATTATCTTCTTTCAATTGCTTAAGTATTTTAATTACCCTTTCCAGATTAATTGATTACCAAATCAAATTTTTCATTTCTACAACAGCCCACCAGCGGCCGAGCAGTAAAGTCTCTGAACACTGGTAGTTCGGTCTGAAGTTCAAATTCCACGAACGGGCTGGCTGCATGGCCATTTTCGTGGTTTTCCTCATGTGTAACGTGTATATGAGCCAGTTTCCCTTATAAAGTCCTCCACGAAGGCATCCCTCCCCTTAGGCAGATAGCCCTCGTGTGCTTTGCCATAACTCAACACACCAACACCAATCATTCCACAACAGTTTACATTTACTATCCAAATTTTTCTTTGTATTTCATAGAAGATAATTTTTAATTTATCTATAAATATACATAAATAATATATACAGTACAAACTCCGTAATCCGGATGTCTATTATCTGGAATGATCTATAATCCGGACCTGAAAGCCACAAACTTTACGCATGCTCGTAATGTATGCTTTACGCATGCGTGCATTGAAAGAAATGTTTAATAAAGTAAAAAAATAAATATTAAGCTTTTTTTTTGTAAAATTTGATACCCTTTGGGTCATAATTGATCTTTATTTCATAAATTATGGTTTCATATTTTTAATTGTATAATTTCTGCATGCCATCTTACCAGATTTAAATTGATGATCTATAATCCGGAATCGCCGAAGTCCCGAGGAGTTCGGATTGCAGACTTTGTACTGTATATATATATATATTATATAAATATACATATAATATATATATTGTGGTGTAGCTATATTGCTTTTGCATAATTTCTACCTCAAGTTTTTTATATATATATCTTAACCTCTTAGTTTATTCTGTTTAAATTTTTCTCAAACGTTGTTCAAATTTTACTCCTTTATTATTGTTATAAATTATTTTATCAGTTTTCTTTTCATTAATTGGTAGATATAAATATGTGTATAATCTATCAATAGAATAGATATAAATATGTGTATAATCTATCAATATATTTTTTCATGTTTATTTTTTAGGTTCTTGTTTATGATTGAACATGTTATGCCTCTGTGTCTGGCCATATCATGGGTATATTCTGTTGCTATGTTAGTGCAGAATATTGTTTATGAAAAAGAACAAAGATTAAAAGAGGTTAATATCCATGGTTTTTGTTTCATTTTTCTGCTGCTGTATAATCTTTTGTCTTACTTATGAGAAAAAGTTATCCATCAGGGATTTTGTTTAGATATTTGATATTAATTAAAAAAAAAGGATAGCATTTTCTTCAATAAATAACATTACTAATTAGATTTTATGTATTTTAAAATTTCCATTTATGAATTTTTTTGTGTAGGTTATGAAAACGATGGGTTTAAATAGTGCTGTGCATTGGCTTGCTTGGTTTATCACAAGCTTTCTACAAATGACTATAACTGCGGCTATTTTGACTGTGATCTTAAAATATGGCCTAGTACTGACTTACAGCAATCCTGTATTGATATTTCTAATGTTAGAAATATTTGTCATAGCAAACATAGCTTTCTCGTAAGTATTTTCTTGTTCATATTGTTTATTTAAATTGTAATAGTTAGTCTACTTAAAAAGTTACTTAATAGTTAATCTACTTCTTAAGCTACTTGCTGCTTAAAAAATATTGTAATTTTCTGTAATAAAATAACTTTTTATGGATTTTTTTTAAGTATCTCATATTGTGAGGGGCTATGAATGGAAAAAGTCAATAACAATGTGTAGAGCATTACTAGCTTAATATGAAATGATGCCTTACATAATAATAGTGGCTTGAATAGAAACCTTATTGGTACAAATTGGAATATAACCAAAGGTAACTTTTTTATGTTTAGTAAGGTTTTAAGTTTCTTATCACAACACAAGTTCACATGTGTGGTAGAGGAAGAAATAAACCTGTATTATTTATGAATGAAACAAAAGAAATTAGATCAATGTAGTATTATTTTTATGAGAACATTACTGTTATCTGTCATGCAGGAAATAAAGGTAAAGCTATGATACTCATTTCTTCAATGCAGGACAGGTATTTTTCTGATTCAGAAACTCAGTAGTCAGGAATAATAGTTTTGTTGCTATAACAACAAAGGTGGAATAGATTCCCTGGAGGAGAAAGGAAAATGCTTCCTCACATGTAGCAATCATTTTCTATATTTTAGATGTTTGTGTAGTAAATCCCTGCATTTTATATCTGTTATATGGAAAAGGAATTAATAATGGATAAATGTGTCTTTGCAAAAGTATTAGCATACAGATTGCTCCAAGAACATATGCAGAATAACAGCTACAGAATATTTTCCTATCTTTTGAATTACACTTCACTATAACTCATATTCTTTGTAAAGCATTAGAAAATAGTGCCTCAAAACTTAAAGCATGCTTTTTAGGGAAGAAAGGGGGAAGAAGCAGGCATAAGCTCATGCATAAGATGACAAAATTCCTTTATATACAGTGTAGTAGAGATATGAAAAACTACTGTTTTAAAGTATCAGATCAGGACAGTTTACTTACTGAAGGGAATCAGTTCTTTTTTATGATTCACTGCTCACTAACAATGACCTCATCATCATGAAATCGGGCTTGGAACAGGAGTAGATCAAAGGTGGAGTGAAAAACAAAGAATTGAATAAGGAGAGATCAGAGGAATAAACTCGATCAAACTACTCAGTTCGTGAACTGATCTCTTTCATCTGTATTTTTGAGATTCCCTTAAAACTGCTTTCTACATAAAGGTAATAATAAAATTCTAGATTAAAAACAGAGTTCAAAAAGTTGAAAATTAAAACTAAACTCATTTTTGTTAAAGATTACATTATTTTATTTCTGTAATTGATAATATGTTACTACTACAAATTACAGTGTAAAAATACCTAATACTAAAACTATTAGCACTACAAAGAATAAAATATAAAAGTACTCGGTACTAACAATTTAATAAAAGACATCCGTTTAGCTTAAAAAAAAGATAATCAAGTTTTGATTTATGAACATAGTTTTAGTTAACTTTCCTGACGAGGACGTTTCTTTTCTCAATACATATCTGACTTACTTTTGAAAAGATCTGTTCACAGGACACTGAAGTAGCTAAGATGCATAATCGTTTTAGAACAGGTTCGTACATTGTGGATATATAAGCTTTCAGGACTCCCACCATAATAAAGGGTCATTGCTTCTAAGTAAGCAATCAATATATAATTATTTATCTAATTCCACTTTTGCAGCAGATCCTGGGTTATGTACCCCTTGAAGTTTGTTGGTAGTTTAATTGAACTCATCTCATATGGAAGAGTTTCATAAGATGTTATTGTTGGATGTGACTGCTGTACTTGGGGTGTCTTATGTTGTTCACTCAAGCATTTCATTATTACTACAACATTATTGTAGCATTCTCAGTATTTGAGATCATTGGTAAAACCTGTTTTTTAGAGCAGGTATTCAGGAGCATTGCCCATTCAGGAGCATCACTAGCTCATTGTTAGAGATTATTCGAGTCATGATCTGATAAATTAAATGATTTTTCACTTAATGTAGCAAGGAAAGAAATTTTAAGTTCTTTACTTAACATATCATAGGTAGAATTCCATATAGTTGATATGTCTTGTCTCAATTTATGTTTATTTCTTTCAATTTTCTTGCATTTCAGCAAGTTGACTTGAAACAAGTGAACTTTTTTTAAAGTACATCATTATCTGTTTAACTATGTTTTCTGTATTGACAACCCAACAACATGTTGCAAAAGTAGGTTATGAATGTGCAAAGGTGTTGAAACTTTGAAACAGTACCAACCCATTTCATATTTCATATGTTGTCTAAGTCCCATTTCATTATAATTTTGGGGTATAAAAAATTTGATTTATTTATTTATTATTTATTTTTTTGACTTGGCAAATTACAATTCAGGCAAAGCTTTGAATGAACTTTTAAATTCCACATCTTTACGTATAGAAAATAGATGGTATTCTTTTGCATACCATTTATAAAAGCTTCATGCCCAATTATTTACTCTTACTTAGTGTAATTGGCGTTTTTTACATAAATGAATTTACTTCTGGATTGTTGTTAAGCTGTCGAAAGTGAAGAAAAGCTGGATCCAGATCCAAATTCAGACCAAGAGTCAAATCTCCGACAGAGATTTTTTGCTGATTGGATGTAGAAGGAAATGCCAAAGCTGTTACTTGATACTGAAGAGAAAGGATTTCCCTAACTTCTACTTCAGTTTCATTGCCAGTTGATGGCAAATGTGGATGGATTCCTGATACTGACTGTTGAAAAGCCACTGGTAGATGTTTTCTTTTCAAGTGTACTTTTAGATTGGAAGCAGATTCCAAAGAACAATTCTCTGCTAACAATACCGGCATTTTCCTTTTTATATTTTTAATCTAATTTAGCAAAATAGTACCAAATGTCAGTCAGTGTTCTTGTATGCTGTAGGGTTGACATTTTGTTCTGCAACTGTGAAAAAAATACATTCAATCGAAAAATTTATATTTATTAATATGTGCTAATTTTAAAGATTGTCATAATAATATTATATAAAAATGGTAATATACGTATACCATGATACAGTATTCGAAAGAATCTAAATGAAACTCGAAGGAAGAATACCACACCTAGAAACTGAAGATGAGTAGATGCAGAAAAAGGGCTAGAAGCAAAAAGAGTGAATAATCAATACTTAGAAGGAGTCAGATCTGCAGTTAGAGCAGGAGCACTGGGGCACTGAGAACTGGGAATGGAGCAAACTAAAGGCTACCTGCTTTAAACAGATCATACTGCTAGATGGGAGGAAAAAACTTAATGCAGTTCCAAAAAGAAGTGGTTAGTTTTGCTGAGATGTATAAAATTTTATTTAAGGCTTTGTTTTTTAAATACTAGATGGAATAGTCAAACCAGAAGCATTCATATAGGCATAAAATAGGTAAGAGATATTTCCATTAAATAATAAAGGAAGTAATATTAGTCTTTACATAGGAGGAATCAAATTTTTTGGCATGCTTCCAACAAGAGCTCTCCATGAACTGTAAAAGAACAACCATTCCATTTTGGCAGATCACTGATCTCGTTCAGTAAAGTGAGTTGGTTCTTTGAATCAGTCTCAGAATGGATCGTCCAATTCTACAGTGTAGAAAGCTAATATGCTTGTAGTGTTTTAAATCAAATGCCAGAACTACGTAGAAAACAAAGAAGTTTAGACTTTATATCCTCCCTTTCCGAAATGTGTTATTTGATCTATCTTCTATAAAAATAAGTTTAAATATATAGTTTTTAATGATACTGTACTGAATGCCTTAACATACAATTCTGCATTTTAAAAGTCTCAAGCAGTTTTACTAGTTTTTAGTTAAAAGTGTTTATAACTTTCTTTATTGCAGTGTTTTTTGGAAGTTTATGTCTGTTAATGTATCAGCAAAATAAATAAATGACTATAAGTTCAGTATATAGCCATTTGTATTGTGTACTCATATGATTATTATATTTTTATAGGTTTTTAGTTAGTGTTCTTTATTCAAAAGCAAAATTAGCAGCTGCTTGTGCTGGTATAATTTATTTCCTTACATACGTGCCATATATGTACATAGCTGTTCGTGAAGAAGCTGCACATGATCATATCCCTGTATGGCTCAAGAGCTTAGCTGTAAGCTTCCTTTTTTTGCAAATTTTCTGAAGCTTTACTTTCCAATTAGTAATTAAATTTTCTTCGGGATAAATGTTTATTTTTTGCATATTAGTAGCAATATTAGCTTATATATATATATTTTTTTTAAAGAAGAAAGTTGCAGTTAGTTTATCAGACTATATTTTTCAGCATTTTCTTGGAAGCTATTTACTGGGAGTTCTCTCTCTCTCTCTCTGTTATATTATAATGCAATAGAACTCCAATAATTCATAAATAATAAATCTGCAAATACATGTAATCCGTGCTGATCTTCAAGCATAAACAAAAAAAAAAAAAAAAAAAAAAAAATTCAAAAGGATGACAAATTTGTTGAAAGCTTTTATTATATATATAATACAGGGTGATTATAATTAAAGTTTAAGTTTCAAAACGCTATAAAAAAAGAACCACTGATGAAAATGATGTGAAATTTGAAAGGAATGTTATTGAAGAAGGCGGAAAGCGTATGGCAGAAGAAAAAATTTAGTTTCAAAAGTTAGCAACAGATGGCGCTGTAAGCGGCAGTATCCCGACGAGAAAAGAAGAATGATTCGTAAACACAACGGCTAAGATGGAAGTTACACATAAAACGCATTGACAAATTAGAATTGTTGAATAATTTTATTTGCATGACTGTACATATCACATCGAAAGGGACGAATCGGTTTCAAGAGTTTTGCGGCGACATACCGCATAAGAACCATTCATCAAAGAAGTTCGGAACTGTAGCGAGACTGGCGCAAAACATGTTCAATATGGTGTCCACCGTTGTGTGCAACAAGTTGAAAGCGACAAACAGCATGTTCCACAACGGATCGCAGTGTCTCCGGGGTGTTGTTAAGAAAGTGTTGCGAAATGCGTGCCTTTAATTCCGCTAAATTTGCAATTGGAGCATGGAACACACATCCTTCAGATATCCCTACAGCCAGAAATCACACGGATAAGATCAGGCGATCGGGACGGCCAGGCTGTAGGAAATGACGGCTGATAATTCGCGCATTTCCGAAATGGCGCCTCAGCAGCTGCTTCACGGATGTGCAATGTGCGGAGGAGCACCATCTTGCATAAAAAGATTTCATCACACATCCACGCTGTTGCAAGCTGGAATCGCGTGGTTGCGCAAAGAGTATCTCTGACCAGTGACGGTTGCGGTAACAGGACCGGAAGCACTCGTCTGCTCGAAAAAATATGGTTGTAGGATGATGATTCCGTAAAGCCACAACATACCGTGACCTCTTCAGGATGAAGTGGTACGGGGTGCGTTGGCCAGTGGATTTTCTGTTGCCCATATTCGACAATTCTGGGTATTCACGTATTCTGCCAGATGGAAATGGGCTTCATCTGTCCACAAAATTTTCCACGGCCCATTCATTATCCACTTCCATGCGAGCCAGGAATCTAACGCAAACGTCTCCCTAGGCTGTCAGGTCAGACGGAAGAACTCCTGCACATGGCCAATTTTGTACGGATAGCATTGCAGGATGTTTCGTACAATTTTCAGCAGTGTGCTCGTAGGCCTGTCTAGTGTTCCGGCAATTCCTCGTGCATTGCACTGTTGCACACCACCGGCCGACCCCTCCTGTAATGCTGTGACCATTTCTTCAACTACCGTCGAATACACTCGTTTTCTCCCTCTACCAGATTACACATCAAACGAACCTGTCGTTTTGAATTTTTGCATTATTTTCTTTAGATCCTACGACACTCATTGGACCAACGCCTTCTTCTATATCCTTTAGTGTCCTGAATTTTTGCAGAACTACTCTTGCACAATCATCATTGTAATCACAGCTTTACCAGCAGAGCGCGGTCCTGCAGTGAACACCATGGCGAACGTCTGAGACGCGAAATGAAGGAACAGCCTGGTTACCTGGCGGCTTTTATAACACTGAAATTTAACTAACATTTTAATTTACGTCATTCTTCCGCTTGCAGCGCCATCTGTTGCTAACTTTTGAAACTTAATTTTTTCTTCTGCCATACACTTTCCGCTTTCTTCTTCAATAACATTCTTTTCAAATTTGACGTCATTTTCATGAGTGGTTCTTTTTTTATAGTGTTTTGAAACTTAAACTTTAATTATAATCACCCTGTATATATATATATATGCAAGTAATTAATAATAATCAATAATTTTAAATATTACATTAATAATATTTAAAATTAATATTGAATATTGTGATAAATATATATATAAAGGATTTATTTCTCTTCTTCTTTCTAATGCAATATTTTAGGGGGAAATGTTACCAATGGCATATTTGAAAATTGTATTTTACATGCTTTAATTTAAGAGCATTTAAAATTATTTTGTAAGTAATTTTGTTGGTTTACATGCAGTTTCATTTTTGTGATATGTTTTAGTGCACTTTTATTAGAGTTTTTTCATTCTAAAAAAACTTCTCTATCATTTATTCCTTTCTCTGTACTATGCTTTTCCTTTGTACTCTCATTACTTTTGCTTAGAATTTGAATGTATTACAACTCTGCATATTAGCGAAGTGAATGGGAGTATATGCTTTTTTAATTTAATTTTTTCTTTGTATTTTATGCCTTTAAAATTAAAATAATTTATTCATGAGTCTCTTGAAAAGTAAGTATTAACTTTCTGGCCACTAATACTTTTTATGGAAATCAAAAGTGGCATTTCTGATTTTTCAGGTTTTATGTTATCACATGCAAAAGCAGCAAAATTGTTGTTTGTTTGCTAAAAATAAAGCTTTAGATTTGCTTGAACTTTTAAGAAAAGGAAATATTTTAGATTGTATGACTACTGAAAATGAGGGTTTTATTTATGTCATATCTCACTGACTATAAAATTATTTCAGTATATTAAACCCAGCTAATAAAAATTTGAATATTGGATCTGATAATGAAAAAGCAGAAATTACTTTTAATGAGTGTTTTAATATTGAACCGACAGTATCTAAATTTCTAGGGAAAATGTAACACACCAGAAAATAAAATAATATATACACTTTAAGGGAAAAAATAATAAAAAAGAAACCTAAAGTGTTTAAATAAACAACGTTGAAAATGATATTCCAAAATTAATATCAAGGTTCTCAACCGAGGAAGAGGGGAGTGTGGTTAGCCTTTTATTTATCTGTTTTAATTTATGAATATTAATACTTTTATTCAAGTTTTAGTATTTATTAAATTTTTTATACTAGTTGAATTCATAAAAAACATAAAAAATAGTATAAATTTAAAGAAATGCAATTGCATTTTTCAAGTTTTCGAAAAGAAGGGGTTTGATGACCTGGGCAAAGAAGTCTGAGAACCACTGAATTATATGCAACTTTAATCTATGTAAATGATTGTATCTAAAAATAATGCTTTTGTGGTAAAGAATTCTTGGTGTAGGAGATTGTTTTAGCTATTTAGGTGCAAATAATCAAAATATAATGTAAAAATAAAAGGGGAAAATGTGGACGATACTCAGAGAAATGTGATCAGCAATTTGCAAAATTCACTAATTCACATAATTCTTGGTTGTAATGGTAATGTATGTGGATTACAGTAATTATATTGTATAATTTTTATTAAATGTAAAAAAATATTTTTACTTACTTTGATATTTATTAAATAAAGAAAGAAATACTAATGAAAGTATTTAGCTTAAAAAATGTATGTATAAAAGATTAAAATTCTTGTTAATTGTAAATATAAAAACAAATGTTATATATAAAAAAATAGATTATAAATATTAATATGTAAATCAATAAGAAAGTTATATATTTGTTTGGTTAATATTGAGTTCTGCATCTAATTAAACTTTATAAAATTTGCCAGTGTAGCATGAGCTGGGGACAAAAAGCAGGCAAATGTGGTTTGATGATGCATTCATAAATGTGAGGGGACTGTAGAGAAATGGCCTCTTGGTAAAAGGGGGTGCACAGTTTTTGTCTTGCCAATTTTGCCCAAATTTTGCATAATTACTCGGGACATTAAAATGAATAATTGTGTGAAAAGAGAGCACATTCCTCTAAAAAGTAAGTGTGAAAGTTCTATATCCATATTACTTAAACGCCTTCCTTAAAGTAAATGTGAATAGTGCAAAACTGGCGAGACCAAGACGCTTCTTTTTCTGATTAAACATTTACTATTCTTCAGTGTCTAGATGCTAGTTAGTGATTGGTGAAACTATGAGTTATTAGAGTTATGGAATTTAATAATCAGAAAAATAAAAAAATGCCAGTTACTTGTAATAACATTGGAAATGTCTTTAGCAGAAGCTTTTTGAAAATTTCTGGATTCTTGCATTCATTTTGTTATGCTAAAATCTTCTTTATATGTATTGTCCATTCACTTTATAAGGGATGCTACCAGAGGATGAGGTTTTTATCTTTCACAATCACAAACATTACTCAGAATGCTGCTGTTTGGCAAGAGCATATAGCTCAGCTTATTGAGCAGTTACTGAAATTGTTAAACAGTTACTGAAATGCACTTCTTAATAATTAAAAATCATAATTTTTTAATGGTAGATGTACTTGATATAAATTAATATACATTTATGATACATCTGATGAATTTCTTTATAAATAATTGCAGCATTACTGTAACTAATAAAAGTTATCTGTAATGTATATATTATGTATTTAACAGAGAATTTTTCTTCTCTCCCCCCCATTTCTTTCTCACTCTTTTTTTTAAATGATGCTGCATACATTCTTTTAAAAAAATAATTGCTTTATTGCATCTATTTTGAACAGTACATTCTTATAGTCCCACTGTTTTTTAATGTCCTGTTTTACAATTTAATCAATAATAAAAATAGATGAGGCAAAAACTAGGCTTTGTGCATTAAATGTTATTACAAACTCGGAAAAAGTACTGCAGAATATATCAAATACTTAAATAAATTTTCAGCAAAACATTTTTGCTCAGATAATAACTTTTAAGTTTTTTAAGTAGTTCAAAAATTGCATCCAAAAGTTTTGTGCTACTTTTATGACAAGGTAGATTTAGCTCTGTATGACTCCTGGGGTGAAGAAAGATGTTTCATTCGGTTTTCATCATCATGGTATGAGGAATATGTATTAAGTTACTTGGCCAAGAAAATTATCCTCCTGGAAAAAGGTATCTCCTGCAAGAAGCAATATTTTTATACAAGAATTTTCTATGCAACAAAATATATTGTTGATCATTTTACAGCTGATTTAGATGTTTTGTTATTAATTTGCTTGAGCATTCTTTTTATAATGAATAAGCTGATTTTCAAAATTTTGAACTCTGAAAAAGTACAAAAATTTACCCTTTATAACTGAAGACTTCAGAACATAATTTTGTGCAGACTTCATTTCTTTATTGTTGGAAATGTTTTCATTTTTTTATTGTATGCTTGCATTTAAACAGTTGAAAAATTCAACAAGATGTGGCGGAAAAATATTGAATAAGGTAATATATAGTGTTTTCCTAAATATCACAAAATGGCATGCTAAATTTTTAGAATTTCATAACATAACTAACTGTATGCATGACACAGGAAACATAAAATTAAGAAAATTACTGATCAGAAATTTTATTCCACAGTGTATATATTATAAAATTCAAATTTTGTACAATTTTGCTGACAGATCTCCTTGATTAAAATTATTGCATTTGAAAAGTTTACATATTAATTTTTTAAATTAGAACATCAGTCAATGGCAAATTATTCAAGAGACATTAATCATGCAATCTTTTTTAAACATCCTGAATATGTTAACACTGTATTTTATTTGTGTTTCCTGAGCCAAAGTTTTTTGTTTTTCTTGCAGTCTTTGTTATCTACCACAGCATTTGGTCTTGGAGCAAAATATTTTGCATTTTATGAAGAAGTTGGTGTTGGAGTGCAGTGGTCTAATATTGCCATCTCACCTGTTGAAGATGATGAATACAGTCTGCTGAGTGTTGCTATCATGATGATGACTGATGCTGTCTTGTACTCTATCTTAGTATGGTACATTGAAAATGTTCATCCAGGTAATATTTGAAATTATGTTTTTTCATCATAATTGCTTTACCCACAGATACAAACTATTACACATTTCGTATAGTTTCTGTAAAAACTCCTTAAAAACTATGAGTTACAGAAAATATGGAAAAAAATAATTAAACTTTATAAAATTTGCCAGTGTTTTACACGAAAGGGTAAGGAAAACTAACTATTCATTCACTGATTAGCGAAAAGCTTGTGACATCATGTATCACTAACGTGACCGGACATCCCCTTTTGAACAGGACTGTCCCTTTTTACAATTACGAGTCCTGGTGTCCCCAAAATGGACTGTGGGACATGAAATTGTCCCATTTTCAGAAACCATGTGAAAATTTGAGTAGCAGATGGCCGGCCACCAACGATGTGCACGCCGCCGCAACCCGACGTGACGCCTAAACCAACCGAGAGCGCGAGCTAGTGGTGTGCAAGAGCGAGACCGCGTCGTCGGCAACGCATTGATAGCCGAGAGTGGCCAAGACGTCATATCGCTCATGTTTTATTGATTGTTGTTTGACAAACTTTTCATTTGCCCACTTCTCGCTATTTGTTTTGTTTGTGTTTGATGCTCGTGTAGTAAATAATTTAAATTTCTTTTGCTTCGAAATCAGAAGTTAAAATGCCGAAACGCAAGTGTTCGTTTAATGTTAGCTTACAAGAAAATATCCGTTTATCAAGCAAATAAATACTCCATCAGATGTCAGTTGTAAAAAGTGTAGTACAGAATTTAATGTTTCCCACAGTGGTGGCGGTGATATTGAACAGCATTTAAAGTCTGACAAACATAAAAATGCCGATCGTACCGCCACTTCGGGTTCGTCATTGTTAAACTTTTTCAAGAAATTGGATGCGGCCAACTTTGAAGGATTTGGATATTACGCTCGCAGCAGAAGGCATCTGGGCTTATCACACGATACAAGAAAACCACAGTTTTCGTTCTCAATGATTGTGCATCAAAATTGATTCAATCCTGTTTTGATCCCAAATTTACATGTGCGCATTACGAAATCAGAAGCTATTGCAGTAAATGTTTTGACGCCTACAGCAATGAAAGAATTAAAAGATGACCTTGATAAGTGCAATTGTATTACAATACTAAATGATGTGTCAAACCACGGTGACAAGAAAATATACCCCATTGTAGTGTGCTTTTTTCAACCTTACGTAGGTGTGCAAGTAAAAATTTTAGATTTCCAAGACCAACCTGGTGAAACTTCTGAGATCATTGTCAATTACTAATTCAGAAGTCAAACAACAAAAATCAGCATTATATTTTCAAAATTTTCACTGGACTAGTTTGGATGGTTTTACTGAACCTAGTCTGTGTCTTAATCATTGTCAATTATTTAAACCAAGTGTTGACAGATAATAATTTGACAGCAAGTCGTAGCATTTTGTGGTGACAATGCCAACATCAATTTCGGAGGTGCAGTTAGGCGAGGAACTAACAATGTATTAACAAAATTACAATCATCTCTGAAAAAAGAATTAATAGGTATTGGATGTGGAGCCTATGTAATTCACAATGCAATAAAATCTGCTGCAGATGGGCTACCCGTAGATTACGAAAGCGTTGTTGTGAAGATATATTCATTTTTTTATATTTATACGATTCGAGTTGGAGCTCTAAAGGAGTTTTATGCCAAAACTGAAACGAAATATCAATAAATGCTTGGCTATAGCAAAACCAGATGGCTTGCTCTAATGCCTGCTTTAGAGAGGGTTTTAAAAATGTATCAGCTGTTAAAAAGCTACTTTTTGAGTATTGAAAAATGTCCCTTGTCACTAAAAAACGTTTTTGAAGATCCCACATCCGAATTGTGGTTTTATTTTTTACATGCTCAGTCAGCAAGTTTTTATCAAGCTATTTTAAAACTTGAAGGTCAGACTGTATCGGCAATTAAAGCTGCAAAAGAAATCAATCAAAAAGACAATTTAACTCAGAAACAGACCAATCGGTTTCTTCCATTTATGGTCCGTCAATTAATGTTAAAATTGAAAGATAGTGGTACTAATATCGATGAAGAATTTGGGAAAAGGACGGCTACAGACTTTTATAAAACAAGCCGTGAATATCTGGAGCAATGGACTTGCTTTCTTACCAAAGAAATGGAGATATTTTATTGGGCAGATTTACAAAAAGGTCCCCACATGGGAAGACATTCAAAAATCTCTGGATGTATTAATTGAAAAGCAATATATTGACTGTAATAAAGGTACTGAAGTTTTTGACGAATTTTTATTAATTTCTAACTACATTACATTGCAAAAAATAACGGAATGGAATAATTTAAATGTTTCCACGGAAACCTGTTGGGTGGAAGTATTCAAACACTTTTGTGCCAACAATCTTCAGCATGAAAACTTTTCTATTGTAATTGAATATATTTTATGTTTGCCTGCTACAAATGCTCCAGTAGAAAGAGTATTTTCTATTATGAATAAATTGTGGACATCTGAAAAAAACCCAGTCACAAATTTCAGTTCTAAAGGCAAGGCTGATAATTAAGGTGAATATTAAAAAAAAAAAAAAAAGTGCCAAGAGTTTTATTCTTACTTGCAATCGTCAAAAGCTATATTAAAACAAATTTGTTCTTCTGATAAATATAACTAAACATTTTGGGTACCTATATTTTGTGATTAGTAACTTTTAAGCCAACTAACTTTTTCTGAATAAATAACTTTAAAAAAGTGTTGTTTTTTTCATTGACTACCTATGCTTTAACCTAAATAAACCAATGTCCCGTTTTGAGTCAAAAAATAAATGGTCACGTTATGTATTGCGTGTTGAGTATCTGGCTGGTTTTGAAGAGGAGCCAGTCATAGATCTGTGCTCTTAATCACTCCAGTAAAACAAGCACTTTGTGGTGAAGGGCTTGTTTTACTGAAGGCAATTCGGCTTTAATTCATTTAGATTCGGTAGAGAAAACATAGCACCTGCTTCCTCTGAGTTGTGATTAAACTGGATGTTTTTTAAGTTTATAAATTATGCTGCTTCAAAATAAGAGGCTAAAATTATCACGCCAGGAATTTAAAGTCTCATATTCTATCCATACATTAAAGCACCTAAAATTTCTGTAAATTATGTGCATTGCACTGTATGCAATAAAGGTGTTTGAGTTGCACATGACAGAAAACTGTAAATGGCATTTATTTTCACAAAGGCATAAAGAAATTAATAGGATAAAATCAAAAGCAATATCGAATTTCTTCATATAAAAGATGAAATGGATTTTATAAAAACTGAATGCTATTTTGTTATATTTTTAATTGAACCTTAGCCTTCCAATTTTAATTTTGAACCATTTAAAACAGCTGTTTAACTCAATGTAAAAATTTAGAAGTACTGATGGAAGTAATAATAACAATGATAACAAGCTGTGTCCTTTCATTATGGTATATTATTGCAAGCAAGAAAGGTTAGTTACCACATTGATTTCTGTTTTAGAATGAGCAAATACTACTGGAGAAAATATTTTTAATCGTATAAATGAATATTTCATAAATAAAGTCTTAGAACAGAAACATTTGTAATTTTCTTCAGAAAATCCTAATAATATGGTGGGAAAATTTAAATGTGTAGCATCATTTATGCAAATGTATCAGCCAATTGCAATCATTCGAGGTTGTCCTTGCCACATAAGAGAGATATATATTTTTATTTAATGAAAAGTAAAAATGGAAGCATACAGAGCAGATGTCATAAAATATTAATAAACAAACAAACAAAAAAAAAAAAAAAAAAAAAAAGAAAAAGAAAAAGAAAAAAAAAAGAAAAAAAAAAGAAAAGAAAAAAAAAAAGAAAAGAAAAAAAGAAAAGAAATTTGGTAATTGATACAAAAACAAGATTATATTTTTAAAATGTCAAATTGAATGAAAGTGAAGTTATTTTTCAATTCAGCATGGTCCTTTTTTTTTTTTTTTTTTTTTTGTAATTGTATGTTCATATATATAATAGATAAACTTCCTGAAAATGATCCATTCTTAAAACTTGCTGAAGTTGCTAATAAAAACTTAAGGTCTAACGTTTCAGTTTCATCCATTCATTTCCTGATGAATACTTTTTTATTCATCATTGATGAAAAGTAACTTTATCAAGCAAAAAAAAATGAGTTTTACGTGTATTAAGTAGAAAATATAAAAGAAGTTGCAAATTTTAAAATTAAATGATGTGAATGGGTGCGTTAAATACAAAGTATTGCCTATTGTAGTACTTGCTACTTTAACTATCTGACTGCTCAATTTGTGGACCGAAATCGCTTCAAAAATAGTGTAATTTTTTTTTTGTTTTGCATATTTTAAATCTATATATATTGGAGAATTGAAAAATGCATTTTTTCTTTCTAGAAAATAGATTTTTAACATGAGAAACTAAGTTGCCAGAGAAACCAATTTCAGAAGTTTTCACCAAAAAAGATTTTTGAAAAATAAATTTCAGTTGAATTACAGTTAATTTCTATTTATTGCATAAAATAAAAAAGTAAAATATATAAAATTTAAGAAAATATAAAGCACTGAGGGAAAAATATCTTAGAAATGCAGTTTAGTATGATAGAGTTCAAAACAGGGTTCAAGGCAAAGTCCAACTTCTCAGTCTTTCCACCAGATTCAATAAATCTAATTAATAATCAATCAAATTATTAATCTACTCAATAAGTCCAATTAATAATTCAATAATTTAATTAAATAATCAAGATAATCGCTGAATGTTTTCTAGTAGCCATTTCTGTAAGAAAAAAGTGCAGTTTGAGTGGTAACACTACGTGCCTTCAAACGCCGCAATTTAGTGGACAGTTTACGATATCAGTTGGCCAAAGCGTAAACTAAATCTTCTAATACTGTATATAATTTATTTCAGTGGTTAAACGGGGAAAAAACGGGATGCACTCCTTAATAAAGGAAGAGAAACACATGCCCGTGGAAATTGCAGGATGAGCAGATTTTGCTACATTTGAGTTGTCCGTGGAAATCGTGTGATGAGCAGCCAGAGGATTAATAATACCTCATATAAATGCAGCTTGCAAAAGAGTTTTTTCTAATTAAAAGAAAGTTCAGGCTGAATTTTGACCAAATTTAGGGACGGAAATTTTTTTTAAGTTCTCGTTTGAATGTGAAGTTCTCGTATGCATGTGAAAGACCTGTGTTATAAGAAAAAAAGATTCTGTAATTCAAAACTCAAGTTTCCTACATGTGTTACATATAAATCTTTAAATTTATAATTTATAAATAAATTATAAATATTTTTAAAGTGTTTTTCATATGCATAATTCTTGTTTTTATCTATAATTTAAATATTTTTTAATTTCCCTGTAGAAACCAGAAACCAAAAACTTCATAAAGATAAATGTTTTATGGATTTTGATTTCCCCTCTAATTATCTGTGATTTAAAATACTTGCTTCTATAATATTATAAGGTATTTTCTCCCTCCTTTCCGCATACTGTTGTAGTATAACCGGATGCACACTCAACATGTATTCGAGAGGTGCACAGTTCGAATCCCAACGAAGGCATTGCTCATTTTTCACGTCCTCAGCATAAAAAAACCTAATGACTTTGCAGTATATTAGTACATATAGTGATATTTGTACTGTAATAAAAGGAAACTTTCTAATTTAATATGCGTTTTATATACAAGAAGTGTTTTAAAATATTAAGTTTTTTACGTTCATGGGTAATGGTTAAATAAATGTAGAACGATTAATTATTATAGTATTCTTTATGTTTATGCGTTGACTACTGACAAGTTTTGCAGGCAAGAGTTTCTAAATTACTTTGGTTTTCTAAAAAAATTGGGTTTCTACTCTTAATTGACTTTAATTCTAGTCTTTACTTGCTAATTTCTCTAAATTCCACTTGTTTAAATTTCTTTTCAGTAATTGACAACATTTGGTTTTACTTTTGGTTTTGAATTTTCCTTTTACCCTTGCGTACATAGATGACGAAACACAAATTGAATAATTGAAGAGTTAGGTTTGGAGGCAACTTACCCTTGATAAGTCTGTCTCCTGCCGCTCAACAATTATTCACTTATGCATTTTTATAAATTTGTAGAATTAAAAAATTTATAGGAGTTATATATTATACATTTATTATCATATTCATAGATTTTGATACTTGCACTTGATTTACATATGCTCTCAGAATTTAAATGATATTGTAGTTAGTTCGCAGCAATAATTTATCATTTATTTGTAATTCAATTTCATTTAAAATTTAATTAACTTTAAATTTGCTTTTACGAATAGAGAATGTTTGTTAAATTCAAATTTGATTCCTTGCAGCAATGGCGCAAGAGAATTATTTAAATTTAACTTTATTCTTTTGAAATAATTTTATTAGAAAATAGATGTATATAACTAAATGACTGTATTTAAAATTGTTTTGAATAATTTTGTGTTTATCTTTATATTATAAAATAATAGTTTTATGGAATAATTAAGTTACAATTTATATGTATCAAAATAATTATTTAATCATTAAAACTGAAATCTCTATCTTAAGTATAACTTTATGTGCACAGTTATAAATTTACATTTATAGCTATGAATTTTTATGTAAAATCATTAGTAGAAAACTGAAAATCAAGTTCATACAGGGTTCGTACGGTCCTTAAGAATCCTTAAAAGTCCTTAAATTATGTGGAATCAATTTTTGGTCCTTAAAAGTCCTTAATTTTCGTAAAATGTAGCAGAAGGTCCTTAATTTTAATCATCTGAAATTTCTGTCTGCTTTTATGACTGCTATTTTGAGTATGAATTAGCATTTTGAAGGAATATTTTTGGCGATTCACTGACGTATATGGTTATCTTTTGAATGGTTTCGTGGGTTATAATTTGTTTCTATTTCTAATATAAATGATGGGATACTCAAGTTTCTAAGCAAGAAGTGAAACATAAGCATTTCGAAATTCATTTTTTCTAATAAAGAGCTCTTAAACAACTTTTCGCTTTTGGGGATGATTTTATTTTTCTAATTTTATTGTTCTAAATTTGGCAACTTGTAAACATTTTGGTGATTTTAAGATCAGTTTCTATAGAAAATTTTTAATTCTGAGATCTGAGAATTTTTCAGTGATTTTTTTAGCATTATAGCATTGATAAATTTCATTAAAATAATGGTAATATATTGAAATTATATTTAAAAAAAATTACATTAAAATAAAACATTTTTATTTTTTCGCTGTCCTATTATTAAGTTTCATTTTGGCAACTTATTATACAGTATTTTGAATATGAAAAATAAATAAGGTATAATGCTATAGAGCATAATTTACAAAACAGCTCTTAGCAAAAGCAAAATTAGCTATGTAATTAATTAAAAATGTCTTCTTTTTAATTTTTTCATAGTAAGATTTTTTTCCCATGTAATTGTCTCAGAATATTCAAAGTTATTTTAACTATTTAACTTTTACCAGATCTAGTAAACCCTCATAGGTTCATTGTGGAGAGGTTGACAAGTTAGGAGATAAAGAACGCAGAAACTAGTGAGGACATTGGTTTTCATATTGAGAAATCTCTAATTGATAGATAAAGATGCTTAAATCGATATAAACTAGCCAAAATGTTTGTAGCTTTTAATGTGTAATTATCTTAATATCTTTTAAGAATCAATGTCATAAATTACATGTATTTTAAACTGTGAAATTTTATTAGATTTTGATTTTAATAGGGCTTTTTAACAAATATTGTTAAAAAATAAAATTTAATAGTGGCCATGTAAATCCATAATGACTAAGGTTATATAATTACCTAATTTAATTATTTGTAACTAACTGCTTACCCTCAAAAATTATCTCTACGTATTAAAGCGATTGATACTCACTGTGGTCACAAGATAAAACACAAAAATGTAAAAATTCAAGTAAAGCTTATTCTTTGCATCTAATGAGACTTCAAATAATACAAAACAACTTATCACCTCTGGTGCTTTAATGGTTTATTGGAACCTTAAAGTATATTAACTGGGTTACAACCCCTGGAACTCTACACAAGGTATGACACTAATTGCATCAAACAGAGCCTGACTAACTTTCAACACTTGGCAACTGTGCCTACATCAGGCCTTTCAGGTTTGTTGTAATCAGCAGGTCTCTGTCTAGACAAGCAGCAGGGGTGACAACATTCAGTCTTTTGTTATGAATCATGCTGATTATGATCTTGCTTCTCATTTTAACCTATGCCACTTGACATAAAATCTACCTGCTATTTATTAAACCTCTAGACTGACCAAGTATGTGACAGAATGAGACAAAAAATCAACATATAGCCAACTATTAGTAAAATGTAAATGTCACTCATCTTTTTTTAAATATCATCAACTATAATAAGTGTAAAATATTTAATGCTTCTTGATAAATTGCATAAAGATTATTTTCTTCTCAAACTTATTAATAATTATGTTAATTAATTCATGTTTAGTAAAAATGCATACTACTTAGGGATCTATTTTATTTTTAGGATGGTATTGCAAAAGTGAAATTCAGGCATAGAATAATATTTTAAATTGAATTTATTGAGTTCCCATTTGCTTATAGATCCTTAATTTTTTTTCATTAATGGTCCTTAAAAGTACTTAATTTCCATGTGCAAAAATGTGTATGAACCTTGTCATAATGAATTTTGTTTTTCAGCATACAAATTTTTAATTCTATTTCGTTATCTGAAAATATAGTTTTGAAAATGAAACATACTTGTTCTGGAACTTGTCATTTAATTTTAGATTAAAATGCAATAATTATTTGCCCCATACTCATGTGTAAGTATGGAGCACACTTAAAAATACTAATCTGTAATAATTTATACTTTTTTTTTTTTTTTTTTTTCAAGGATCATATGGACTACCTAAACCTTGGTATTTTCCATTTACCAAAACATACTGGTTTGGTAGTTCTAGATCATATGTCTACTGTGGCTGTTTTAGTGAATTTTGGCATTGTATTTGGAATCGTAAGAAATGGGGCCTGTCTGTTATTGAAAATGACCAAGCATGTGTAATGACTAATCGTACAAGTTAGTGCTTTTTTTTAATTATGAAATATGTACACGTTAAAACTTTTTATATGTTTTTGTTCTAGTAGTAGAAATATATGTTTTAATAAATAAATTTCTGTTCTGTTTTAATAAAATAGAAGTGTTTCTTTTATTCATTTTTATTAGCTTAAAGCATTTTATTTTAAATTTTTAACCTGAAAGTAAATTTTATTTAATTTTAATATTTTCAATGTTTCTAAGATTTTCTTGAAGAGTGTAAATGTAATGAACATTTAAATATCTGAAAAAAAATTTTTCCCAACTGTTTAACCAATAATGTGATGAATTAGATCAACTGTTTATGCAACAACTGACGTATGTTACATCATAAAGCAACAAATATTTAGATTTTAGATTTATATCATTAATATGAAAATAAAATTATTTATGCATTGCATCTTGTAGCTTTTTAAATTTATGTAGGAATAAGATGACATATTTTATGCAGTACAACATTGTAATTGATCATTCCGTAAAGGTGATTTTCTTCTACTTGCATACATATTTTATGTTCCAAATATTATTTTATATGCCTGGTGTTTATTGTTTACAGCTGATTCTCAGTATTTTGAACAAGATCCATCTAACCTACCATTAGGTGTCTGCATTGAAAATTTAGTAAAAGTAAGAAAAATAATTTTTTGGTATTTATTATATTAAGGTAAGAGAAAATCAATATCTTCAGTAAATTTTCTTCCCATTATTCATAATTTTTAGGTTTATTTTCATTTAAATTTTTAATTTTCACCTCTAGAATCATGTAATTACATTACAAGGTAAAAATTAATTTATAACAACTGTAAATTGAGGTTACATGGTTATTCTCACAGTTTTTTTATTTATTTTTATTTTTGAAATTTATTTTTAACCAACAAGTATGTTTTAGCTAAGTGAACTCTGGAGATCAGAAAAGGTGACCAGTTTTCGCGAGTTGTAATTTTCTTTGTAAGTAAAGTTTCCTGAATTATTCATGAAGTTAGATGCACAAATATGTTTATATCAGTTACGATACAATAACACGCCAAACAAATATTAATTTAGAAGTCAAACAACAAAAATCAGTGTTATAGTTTTTTGAAAATATAATGCTGATTTTTGTTGTTTGACTTTTAAATTAATGTTTATATTATAATATATAAATAAAATAAATGTACTGCTTTTTAAGAAATAGTGTGCATGGAAAGCATGTGTAAAATGCAGTAACAATGAAAAAAGCTTGAGGGATTTGGAGAAGTCCCTCCCCCAATGTGATTAAATTCACAGTAAATGATATAATAACTTTGCATTCTTCTTTCAAAACCTGCAGTATTTCTATTACTGTATGTGAACTTTGGGTAAAAAAAATTTCTCACTTTCAAGGTGATGTACTTTTTAATGGTGCATTTAGTCAAAGATGTTTCATATAATTAGCTACTTTATTTTTTTCCTGGTGATATTATTATTATTTTTACTTCCTTGTACAAAGTAAAAAGGAAGTATTGTAATCGCGAAAAGTTTCAGGCAGCATATTTCAACGAAAATATCCATTTTGACCGCTATCGAATGCAATTTAACGATGTTTTTGCGTGATATCTGTACGTAAGAACCGAATAACCTTCAAAAAAACTATAAAACTGCTTTAATATTAATTCTGAAGAGACGTACATACGTTCGTGCATACGTACGTATCTCACATAACTCAAGAACGAGTAGCCTCAGAACGTTGAAATTTTGTATATAGGACTGCTATAACATGTAGATGTGCACCTTGTATTTTGGTTGCAATCGGCCGCACCAAACGTATATAAATATATTTATATATATATCCACTCTGTTACCCGGCTCAGTAATCTCAGTTTCTTTACTCTTATATGTTGGTAAATTGTACATTTTTTGCTTTAAAAATGATTGAATTATGTTGTTTTTATCTTCCGGTTAAGGATTTTATGCCTTTAGTAAATATGTGTGCAATATTTTTAGAATTATCAGCAATTTTAAAGTTGTTTAATTGCTGCTAACCCTTTTTTAATGGCGGCCATTGATGTTTACATTTGAAACAGGAGACTAGTGGATTTGTTGCCAATCTAGAGAAACTTAGCTTCACAACAACAAAGCTAACGCATTCATTTATTATTGCCAATTAAATCATGCTTAATTCTTTCTGGAATTTTTTCGAGGAAATAAGTGAGATTTACTTCGTAATTTTTAATATAGATATTTTGAGTTTTTATGTATTTTTGCCTTCTCGGGAAGTGAGAACTGAATTGATTAAATGAGAAATACTCAATCGTCTGGGAAAAACTGTTTCTTTTTTTGTTTTGTTTGCTTAATTTCTTTTATACATAATTCTAGCTTTATTATAGTATTTGAATAAAACATGTGGCAATGATTAGAAATTCTTTTCTTTAAATGATATAGATTTTGTGCATTATGAGTTATAATATGAACGAAATATAAAAGTTAACGGTTATATAATTATTGGATTATATAGCAGTTAACTTAGTTTCCATTATATAATTATTATATACACTGGTGTGCAAAAATTAAGGACGAGACTGTTTTTTCAATATAACTTTGTACAAAAGCTTTCCAAATCAACACATTTAATACAGTAAGATCCCCAATATGTAAGGACATGAGTAATGTAAGCAACACTTACTAAAAGAGAACTCAGAGGAATAAAAAGAAGCTTTATTGAAAAAATAGCATGGAGCGCAATGCGACTAAAGGCTGAAACATCCCTGTGACGGGTGTCCAGCAAGAAACATCCGGTCTTTAATAGGGGATATGATCTTCCCTGACTGCTAGGCAGGTTTCACAGCGTCTGCCCATGCTGAGAATGAGGGTGTCAATGAGTTGTTGAGGCATTGCTGCCCATTCATCTTGCAGCGCCAATCGAAGCTCCGGAATCGTTACTGGTGGTAAGATACGAGCTGCCAAGCGTCTGCCTAGAAAATCCCATACATGCTCAATGGGATTGAGATTCGGAGATCGTGCCGGCCAATCCATACGTTCAATATCCCTCACTCTCTAAGAGCTGTTCGGCAGCTACTGTGCGATGACATGGTGCATTGTCGTCCATGAAAAGGAACTGCGGACCCATAGCGCCTCTAAAAAGACGCACATATAGAAGAAGAATCTCGTTACAATAATGGGTCCCGTTGACTGAACCTGCGTCGAAGATGTGAAGGACTGTACGACTACCAAGCATGATGCCTCTCCAAACGATAACACCGCCACCTCCATACCTGTCCCTTTCAATGATGTTCGAGGGATGATTACGGCTTCCCCGCTCCCTCCAGATGAGTATGCAATGAGAATCGCTACTCAGACTGAATCTGCTCTTATCTGTAAAGAGTACTCGTCCCCATTCATTATCTCTCCAATTCCGGTGTTCCCGGCACCACAGAGAACACCTTCTCCGATGGGCAGGCGTTAGAGGTACACACCATACAGGGCGTCGTGCAAACAGACCACCACCATGCAGTCTTATGGCCACGGTAAAACGCAATATCGGTCGTCCAGTCGCCTGTGTCATGTGTCTAGCGATTTCTCCCGCTGTCTGCCACCTGTTTCTTCTGGCCTGTAAGGCAATATACCGGTCATCTGCGGGTGTGGTTCCTAGTCGACGACCACTACTAAACCCCCGGATAGCTGTCCCTGTAGTTTGAAATTGTCTCCAAAGTCGTGAAACGATGCTGTGAGCAATTCCAAACTCTGCAGCCACACTTGTCACACTGCGGCCTTCCTCCAACTTCCCAATGATTCGACCTCGGGTAAAAGCATCCAGATGTCGTCCAACAGATTGATTATTCGCCATTTCTTGCTGAGGCAGCAACTCGGTGTGATTTTAACTGCTATACCGCGTGCAATGTCTTTGCCAGAAATACTGATCTTACACCGACAACATGCTTTATACTACTCAGACACTCCCCCATTACGTCTACCTGCACATCTGCGCATGTGCTACCATACATCACCTTACTTAATCTCCTGATTGGTCTTTCTGTCCGCTCTGCCTCTTCGTTCAGCTGATATGCTAATTTTTCGACTTCGTCCTTAATTTTTGCACCCAAGTGTAAGTTAACTGTTATATAATTTTTAATACTGTTAAGTGAATCTAGCGCCAGAGTGTCGCTATGGTAAACAAATACTAGAGTGAATTTTAAGGAATGCATTTATTCTATTGTGGTTTATGCGCTGTCGGCAAAGTAGATTTAATTCAATCCAATAAGTTTAAATGAAATGCAAGAAAAAATGCGTATAATTTAATATTCCAATACAAGGAAGTCATGTGGTGTACACATCAGATTTTTTTCTATATTCTATCCTGTATTTAATCCAGTCTTTGTTTTATTGATATGCAATATTTTAATTTAGAACAATGGAATTTAGAATCTTTCATGTGCCGAGTACCACTTGAAGGGTTCGTACGGTCCTTAAGAGTCTTTAAAAGTCCTTAATTTTGGCCAAAATCAGTAGAAGGTCCTTAATTTTAATCATCTGAAATTTCTCTCTGTTTTTACGACTGCCATTTTGAGTGTGAATTAGAATTTTGAAGGAACATTTTTGGCAATTCACTGACGTATATGGTTATCTTTTGAATAGGTCCATGGGTTATAATTTGTTTCTATTTCTAACATAAATGATGGGATGCTCGAGTTTCTAAGCAAGAAGTGAAACATAAGCACTTCGAAATTCATTTTTTCTAATAAAGAGCTCGTAACAACTTTTCGCTTCTGGGGTTGTGAATTCTTTTATTAAATGGTTCTAAATTTGACAACTTGCCATCATTTTGGCAATTTTAAGGTCAGTTTCTATAGAAAATTTTTAATTCCGAGATCTGAGAATTTTTTTCGGCTATTTTTTTAAAACATCATAACATTGATAAATTTCATTAAAATAATGGTAATATATTAGAATTATATTTAAAAAATAACATTAAAATAAAAGATTTTTATTTTTCGCTGTCATATTATAAAATTTCATTTTGGCAACTTATTATACTATATTTTAAATCTGAAAAATAAGCAAGGTATATAGCTATAAAGCATAATTTACGAAACAGCTCTTAGTAAAAGCAAAGTTAGCTCTGTAATTAATTAAAATGTCTTCTTTTTATTTTTTTCATAGTAAGCGTTTTTCCCATGTAATTGTCTCAGATTATTCAAAATTCTTAGAATGTGCATCAGTTTTCTCTATAAAGTTAATTTTATACTTTTTCCTTCCCTCCCTTTTTCTTTCAAAATATTTCTGGCTTTTTGCTGTTGCAGAATTGGTTGGGATAATTTTTCTTTAGTATTTTTGACATTGCAGCATGGAAAGTTTAGAAGGATTTGAAGACAAGATTTATAAACCCACGATTCTAGAAGATTCGAGAAATATGTGACAAAATGAAAAATGTCTCCATGGTATCAACATATCAACACGTAATGGATTCATTTTACAGAAAGTTTGCGATACATTTCTTACATTTTGGAGAACATTTGCAAGAACAATGGAAGCATAATATTTGAATGTTTTACTCCTGATATTAGAATCTTTTTTTCATAACATGTTTATCTTCCCTTTATTTTCTCTACTTTTCACTAGACAAAAGCATGGAAAATATCAAAAATGCTTCTGATCTTATCACTTGGGCAGGCATTATAGAAAGAGATTTTTTTTTTGTTAATAAAGAAATTGAAAACTTACAATTTAAAAGATTCATCTAATATTTCTTAATGCATCATACACATAGCTGGCACTAGCATTTTCCTACCTGATGCAATCTCTGTGTATCCTAAATTCTGCTGCCTAGTGCCTATCTAAATTCTGCTTCCAGTGCCTGTTCTAAATTCTAAAAGTTTTGCCATTTCTAGATCGTGTTGTTCTGTGTGTCACTAAATTCTAAAAATTCTGCCACACCTGCCCTGTAACTGGCCTTTACGATATATATTTCATATTTCTTCTGAATGTTCATATTACTAAAAAATTAAATTAGCCACTTTTTCTGTACATTCTAAATGCATTTAGTGTTTTTTAGAATAACAGAAATCCTTAATTAAATCAAAAAATTTTTAATTAAAAGGAAACACGTTGAAGAAAGAAACCGAATACATAAAGAAAATTATTCTTCAAAGATATGTGCAGTTATTATTATGTAAATTACCCAATCGTTTATCTTTTCAGCCTTTACTATAGTTTCCCATTTCTGTTTCCTCATATGATAGAGTTACTGAGCCAGATTAAATTAAATTGTATTATCTTTGACCACTAGTCCACATTTTTAGTTTGAATTTGACTGTTCTTGTTTAATTAAGTCACTGTGAGCTGTAATTGACTTTGTTAACATCAGAGCATGCCTTTATGTTTTAAGTTCTTTGTCTGATATTGTAGTTACTTTCAGATACAGTGATAATTTGCTTCATGTCTATGGGGGGACTATTTAACTTTTACTAGATCAAGTAAACCTTCATAGGTACATTGTGGAGAGGTTGACAAATTAGGAGATAAAGCACACAGAAACTACGGAGAACATTAGTTTGCATATTGAGACAAATTTCTAATTATTGTTAGAAAAGATCGATAATTAAAGAGAAGGAAATCGATATAAACTAGCCAAAATGTTTGGGAAGGCTTGTAGAGACATTAGGTATTTTTGAAAGCAGGAAAGATAAAAAATTAACAACACCTTCACCGGAAATCGAACCGCGGGCCTCTGGAATACCGCTGCCACTACACCTAGAAGCATCGCCAAGAAGGTTGGAGAAATACCTTATATACTCCCCCTTTTAAACGGCGACTGAGGTTTTTAGGAATCTAATCGCCAAATCCTTTGTGTGGAGAACCCATCAAGTAACCATCAACACCATCAAAGTAAAACTTATTCTTTGCATCTACTGAGACTTATATGTATATAAAACAACTTATCACCTCTGGCACTTTAATGGCTTATTGGAACCTTAAAGTATATTAACTGGGTTACAACCCCTGGAACTCTACACAAAGCTATGACATTAACTGCATTAAGCAGAGCTTGAGTAACTTCAACACTTGCCAAGTATGCCTGCATCAGGCCTTTCAGGTTTGTTCCAATCAGCAGGTCTCTCTATAGACAAGCAGCAGAGGGACAACATTCAGTCTTTTGTTATGAAACATGCTGATTATACCTATGCCGTTACCTATGCCGATGAACATACCTATGCCGTTTGACATAAAATCTCCCTACTATTTGCTAAACCTCTAGACTGACCAAGTATGTGACAAAATTAGACATTAAAAAAAAGTATAAAGCTAACTATTAATAAAACGTAAATGTCACTTATCTTCTTTTAAATATGTCCAACTATTATAAGTGTAAAATATTTAATGCTACTTGATAAACTGCATGAAATTTATTTTATTCTCAAACTTATTAATAATTATGTTAGTTAATTCATGTTTAGTAATAATGCATAGTACTTAGGGATGTATTTTATTTTTAGGATGTTATTACAAAAGTGAAATTCAGGCATATAATAATATTTTTAATTGAATTTATTCACTTTCCATTTGCTCATAGGTCCTTATTTTTTTTAATTAATGGTCCTTAAAAGTCCCTAAAAGTACTTAATTTCCGTGTGCAGAAATGTGTACGAACCCTGCACCTGGTAATGTATATGTTATAGCGTCTCTTTTGTATAGATAGATAAAACAATAATTCTATGAACATAAATAATGGTATAAATAAGGTGACAAATCTTATAAAAATTATAAGAAATTTTCTACGTTAAGGTAGGAAACAGAAGAATTTAACATTCATGATATAAAAACTAACTACAGCTCAGTACTTTTTCATTTAATTTCTGAAATGAATCAATTTAAAAGTGTAGAAAATGTGGCTTTATTGTTACCATGATACCTTACTTTGGAAATTTACTTTTAAATTTAATTTCAGCTTACTGTCAAATATTTTGTTGCGTATCCCTAAAAGGTATGCATATCACATATTGAGAACTGTTGATCTAGAGTCTCCAAATATATTGTAAATTATGGGGAAATTGATATTTGCCTAAAAATATAGATGTACCTTAGTTTTACATCTAAATGTGTTTTGTAAAAGTGATGAAATATTGTGTGATATATCAATTAACAAATTTTTAATTGTGTAATGTTATTCTACAAAGTACAATTATGCAGTGTATTAGTTATCTATGTTGTTAGCAAATTAACATTCAGATTTTGTGTTTATTATTCAAATGAATCTAATTATTTCATTATGTTAGTCTGATCTGGATCTACAAAAATATTTCTTCCATAAAAGTTCAGAATGAGTTTCTTAAATGCATGTTTGGTTATTCAGTAGAGACTTTACTTGTCTTGTACATTTTTAGGCACTATGGTGAATCTCATTTGTTATTCAGTAACTTCCTTCTGAGAAAATTTATAGTGGTTTACATATTTTAAAATAACATAAATAAAAATTCTTCTTTTCTTAAATTTGTCGAAAGAATGTATTATAATTTATTTTTTGTAGGTGTACAAATCAGGAAATAAAGTTGCTGTTAATAAACTGAGTTTGAACTTGTATGAGAACCAAATAACGTCTTTCCTTGGACATAATGGAGCTGGTAAAACAACAACAATGTATGATATATTTCTTGTAATAAAAATATACTTTTCTGGTTGATATTTTTAGTATAAAGGATTATTTTAATGCAACGACTTGTCTTAATTCCCTTTTTTATTAATAAAAATTTAAGCAGCAAAATGCAGTTGATCCGTAAAGTATGTGAAAGTTAAGGTAATCCCACACAGTTCCATATCTATATTTTATCCTAAAAAATTTAAGTTCAGAACCTGCTCCTCTCTAGAAGCCTTACTGGTAACATTAAGAATTAGATTAACACATAGTGTGCATGCATATTTGTTTTATATGCTGTATTCCTGTATTAAATTAAGCCAAAAGAATGTTTCTGAGGGATAAAATAATAAGAAAATAAAGTACATCTATAGTACTGCATTGTATTTATATATAATATTAGTTTAGGTTTTCTTGTTTGCAAGACAAAGTGTCTGTTTGTCGACACTTATGTAAACATAACTTACACATACATAGGACTTACATGTATGTAGCTTATAAATGACAGTAAATATTAGACATATCACTAACATTAGAGATAAAAAAAATGAAAAGTTTTGCAGCAAATGAAGTGTATGAAAAATCTACATTACGTATTAAGCAATTTAACATTTTGTTCAAATGGCAGGATTGTTTTTCTCTTTTTCGGGAGCAATGATAGCATAACTAAAAGCTCTTCATATGCAGATTGCTGAGTTATTTAAATTTTTTTAAATGATGCAACAAAACCAAAGAAATGAAGGATGCCAGAACTTTATAGCAATTCCTCAGTTTACTGAATCGAGTCCAGCATCATAATGTGCATTTTCAGCAGGTATTTATAGCAGCTGAACACATCTTAATTATTGTTAGGGGACTGTGGCATTATTTTAGGAGCTCAATATATATGTGCTGCATTTGGCGGGGGGTGTCTCTCGGAATATTTGTTTATATTTTCATTCCTTAAAAGTTTTTTATGCTAATATGTAGGCAAAAATTTTGTATGGTAATATATAGTGAAATGTACTAGTATTTACATATCTTTCATTGACCCATGGTATACTCAACTTTTTATTCTCTTGTGTTTGTAAATGATATCATTTTTCTGCTATTTTTTTCGCAAATGGCTTTAAATCTCCAAAAAGTTTCCTATATATTTATTTTTTTAAAATTGTTGTGTAAGCAAAATTACTGCATTCAAATGCACATACATTTTTGCATATTTTTTTAAAAAATATTTTGTAATTCAAGGGTAATAATTTTTTCCTGTAAATGTTTGTATTGATAATACATTAATGAAAAATTAGGATTTTAAAAAAGGTTATTTTCATTGCTTAGAAAAAACATTACTTGTTTGTTATTTATTTAACATTATATACTTAATTATCCAAATCTTGTTTTCAAACTAATATTTCAGTAACACCTAGAAATTTGATATCTTAAGATGAGTAATGAGTAAAATGAATAATAGAAGAACGTTTTAGTTAATGGAAAAGGAAAGAAAATTTTAAAAAAGTATTTTTTAATTTATAGAATATTTTTATATTTTTTATATCCAATAAATCCTTATTGAGCATGGATTTAAGGAGTGTGATTTGAATATATGCATTATCTTCATTGTTTCTGTTTAATTTGCTCAGCACTAAAATTTCACTCATATGCAGTTTAACATTTGTTCATCAGTCTTGAATGTTTGCTGGCATCAGCTCCAAATTTGAAGGATTTCTATCGACTAAAAAATGAATTGTGCAAATTGTAAAAGGATTTGGCAGTGAAGAATATTCAGTTTTGGAAGAAGAAGAAGCTAAAGAATTAATTTCGATTGAGAACTAACAAGAGAAGAATTGGATGATCTTATAACACCAGCTCAGGGTGAACACAGTGACAACGAAGTTGATAAAATAAAAAGAAGTTAAATGCATTGTTAAAAATTTACAGTAACTAGCTGGTTTTATACTGAAGATTTCCCTAAATAATGAAGAGTACATTTTATGAAAAGCATTGAAAAAAGCGGGACTCCTTTCCACAAAACGTTTAAAGAGATTGTACTGTACTAAACAAAAATTGTGAGCTTTTCAAAATAATAATTGTGTCTTATACTTACTTATTAAGAAGTAATAAAATTAATATTTGCTTCGATTTCCCTTTTAATGGCAACGATATTTAGATTTTTTTAAATTATGCATACGGTCTTAACCCAAATTTTATTACCCAACACATTTTTTTTACTAAAAGTTAACTTTGCACTTACAATAGCATTCTGCAATGTATGAATGACGTAATCCCGCCTTCGACAAGTGATTTGCATTATGTGCTATTATTTTAACTTTAAGATCTTCATGATTCTAAACTCATCTTTTTCTGTTTCATCACATTTTCTGATTAAAGTCTGAAATGGAAAAGCAAGCTATCTTAAGCTTCAATTACTCAATAAATTAAATAGAATGAGATAAAATACAGAGATTGTTTGCACATTTCTTAAAGGACTTTATTTTGCTATAAAAATTGATTGGGAAAAATTTTTTTAACTGCATTTATGTTTTCCAAAGTGTAAATTATCGCCTGCTACTTGATAATTTTGTTTTCATGCAAAATGGCACTTTTAAAGAAGCAATGGAGAGAAGGCTATGTTTGTACTCTTTCCGAAGGAAATTATTCGTATTTAATCATTAAAAAATGTTGTGAAAGCTATGATTTTTCGGCATATAAAGCAGCGATAGATAATATTGTTGATAAGAAAGTGGAAAAAGTCAGAGTTTGGCTTCAAGGAGAAAAATTGTTCAAAGTACATATCCACGGAAAAAACAGAATTTTTTTATGTTGCAAATGTTCGAACTGTAATTTTAAAAGAAAATCTATGAAGTCAAAGGACAGTTGAATAATTATTAAAATGCTCAATGTCAACTGTAAACAAAGTGATTAATGCTGATTCGAATCTTAAAAAGGCAAAAAAAAAGTAATGTGCATTGTCTTCCTGCATGACATATCGCTGAAAGCAGAATGCACTGTAGAATTCTCTATGAGAAACAATTATTCGAACAAAAATGGAAAAATATTGTCACGGTAGATGAATCTTGGGTATATTTAAATGACTGCAATAAAAAGAGATCCATTTATTATCATCAAAGAGAAGGAAAAAAAAATCTTTGACCATGGTTAAAAGAATCTAAAGAAAGTTTTTCGAAGGGATTATGATTGTTGTTGGTTTTTGATATAACAACAAATAAAAATTAAAGACAGTGCAAAAAACTGTTAAGGTTAACTCCACATACTATCAGCAATTTTCAAATATGAAATACCCTCTCTTGATCCACAGTGTCATCAATCAGTGGAACTGCAAAGTCAAAATCCATTGTAAATTTTCTGAAAAAAATGGAACAAAAAACAGGGTATCAAGATCACATCCTTCACCCATATCTCTACTAAATCTTCTGATCCACGGATTTTTGTGCTTTTGCTCTTTTACAAAGCGAATTGTCCAAACGTCGACCTACAACCCTCCTTGGACAAAGTTTTTCAAGAAGAATGGGTTAAAATACATCTTTTAATACTAAAAAGGCTTTATTGTGCAGTAAATTAATGTAGAAAGATAGTGAAGAGTAACGGTTATCAAACGGAACATTTAAAACACAAAAATTTTAGGTAAACTATTTCTGTAAATGCAATGAAAATAGTCTAAAAAATGTGTGAACAGCCTTGTAACTGAACTAGTTTTCATACGTCAAACAGTTCTTACACTGATTATTACACCTCCTTCACAATAGTTTTATGCTATTATTGTAATGAAAATATAACATTCCAGTAGTTATGAGTGATATTATAATTAATATTAATATAGAATATTCTTATTTATCTATTTTAAGCTAATTTTTTTCCTCTTTAATCAACATAAAATCTATTGGAAATCAATTGTGTGAGTGTTAAAAAACTTCAATTATTTTTGTTGCACTTGATTTTTCACATTTTTCAAAGCTCTAAAAGTCTTATTACAAATTTCTATGAAAGAAAAGATACAGTATGTTCCAGGGTAACATATATTTAAATTTAAAATTATCTCTTTAATTATTTTTATAAAGGGGTAGTTAAAAAGTGAACCGAGAAATTTTTCAAAACCTACCTGTGGATTTTTCTTATTTTTTAAAAATTATCTTCTTTCTTTTCAGTGACTTTTTAAAAATTCTTCAAAATATATAATAAATTTCTTAATTAATATAAACCAAATATAGGATTTGATTTTTTAAAGCAGATTAATTTTCTTATGCATTCATTGTGTATTATACTTTGTGTGTAACATTAATTTTGTTTGTATTGAATTTTGAAGTTAATTTCTGTTGTCGGTAGGTCTATTTTAACTGGTCTTTTTCCACCATCATCTGGTTATGCAATAATTTATGGGCATGATATACGAACAGAGATGGATATTATACGCCAGAGTATGGGAATGTGTCCTCAGCATAATGTTTTATTTGAAGAGTAAGCTTTTGTTGTATTTTCTTACATTATTAGAGTTGATTTTTCCTGATTATTATGTATTCCCTTTTTTTATTTTTATTTTTCTGTAAGATATATACTAAACTAAACTCAGTGGCGCAGCAGCCCTTGTGAGCTACGGCCTGCAATGCTCCGAATCTTCTTTCTTGACCTTGGGCCCCGGAGTGTCGCATATGCGCTGAGCAAGTGGTCAGTTTGTCGTAGGCCCCCCGTGGTGTTTGGTCCCCAAGCAAACTTGGTACTCATTTTATTGACCCACTTAAGAGATGAAAAGCTAAATCAACCTTGCCCAGCCTGGGGATCGAACCCTGGACCTGTGGTGCTGCTGCACGATGCGCTAGCGACTTTGCCATCAGGCGGTCAAGATATATGTATATAATTATATCCATGATAAGATTTTTAGAGGGTATGAGTAGAATTATAATGTATGTATTTGTTTTTATGCAGTGCTAAAATAAATAAAACAGAATTTGTTAATACATTGTGTAAAGAATTGCATCAATCCAAGATAGTAATTTTTATCTAAATGAATAATTGAATGCAATATCTGAACAACAACTTAATTGCTATGAGTAACTGCTTATTTGAATGTGAATTTAAATAATATTAGATATGTTTATTCTGGGGTTATTGTAGAGTTTTTATAGGTTAATATGCAGATAAAGAAACGGGAATTTAGCAAAGAAGAATGGTTCAAAGAATAAAATAATTTAAGGAAATACATTCTTAGAAACACTTCTTTTATGATATTTATGCATGAAATCGTACCACAAATACTTAAGCGATAATTGAAAAAATCCTTAAAATAGCAAAAATTAGTAAAATAGATATATATATATGTTTATGTAACTATGAAATCCACAAGAAACTAAAAATAATTAACAACTTTAGTCATTGTTTGAATAATTATACAATTAGTTATTTTATTTTCATATCTCTGAGGAATGTATTACTTTAACATGAGCATATTGTTCATTTAAATCATTTGGAATTTTGTGATTATGACTTGAAGATAATGAGATTTTGTGATTATGATAATTATTATAACATAGCTGTCAACTTCCTTTTTTCATTGCATAACCCCATCTTCCAGTAAATCATTAAATCTCCCAATTTTTAATATTTAGGAAATTGTTTCCCAGCAATAAATGAAATTTATTGAGTTTATGAAACTAAAATTAGGCAAATTCCATCCCCCCACTGCTAAGCATTTTCAGAATCATTTTTCTTATTAAATTTTATTTCATTTGAATTGTATTTTTTAATGACACTTTATTGATCTTTGAGTAGAAGTCTTTGGTCAAAGAACATAAAATTTAGAATATATATTTAATATATTTTATATCAGAATGAAATTGCGAATAGTTCAGTAACCTGAACAATAATTATGAAGTGAATTAAAGTCAGCTTGGAGTTTTCTGATATGCTGCCTCTGTGCAGTGGGGAAACCTGCCGGTTTTCTCACAAAAATCTCCTGGTTTGGCAGCTATGCTATGTTATAAAAATTCATAGTGTGTATATTAAGAGAAACTAAACATTGTATTAATTTCATTTTCATTGTAGCATATTTTAAATATATCATTTCTTTTATTATTGTTTCCCATGCATATTATTTTCTCTTAAAGACTGACAGTTGAGGAACACTTATGGTTTTATGCAAGTTTGAAATCAACCCAAAGAAATGATTTAACCGAAGAAATGGACAAGTAAGATTTCTGGAACTATTTTTAAGTATAGTTTGATGAAGTTGTTATCTAAACACTATTATAGTTACTTTAGGTAATTAATTTTACATAATCAAATTTTACATACTCAAATGCAATGAAATATGCTCTTTTACTTCTACATTTCTTTGCTATGTTAACATTATCCATCTTCTTCTTTCTCAAGATACGAAAGTCACTCACTTCATGTTTAAATGCTTTTGCAAATTCGGTAAACCAATAACAATCTTTAAAAACTGGAAAACGTTTATTATGAATTTATAAAATAAACCTTCGAGGTAATCACAAGCTGCTGATAATTTGCAAAAAACTAATTTTTTTGCTTCTTTCTGTGGCAGAAAAAAAAAAATATAAATATAAATGAAATGGCATATATACATATATATATATATAACATTTAAATTTAATGATGAGCTTGATTATCAAAGTTAATATTCTGTAAATTGAAGTTAGTATTTTTACACTTACTTCTTAATAATCATTCATCGAATGCAGCATTCAGAATTCAAAATTTTAATATATTTATCAAGTATAAATAATAAAATCATTTGAATTTTCATGATATTCTCTGAACTGTTACTCAAAAGTGTTATTCTACATTGTTCTGTATTTTTTAAAGCAGTTTGTTCTGATAGTTGAACCAAAATTAATTTTTCTTACATTATGTAAGATGTATGTCAGTGTAATCTTTGATATGTTTTTCTTCTGGGAGCATTAAATTTCGTTTCTTTATAATAACACCTGGTATATCACTTTGCTTCATTATAAGTAAGTACTTACTACAATAGTTCAATTAATTAAATTACTGTTTAATTTAGAATGATACAAGATTTGAATCTTCCTCTGAAGCGTCACAGTAAAGTGAAGGTGTTATCTGGGGGCATGAAAAGAAAGTTATCTGTTGCAATTGCATTTGTTGGAGGATCAAGAGTAGTTATTTTAGATGAGCCTACAGCTGGTGTTGATCCTTATTCTAGGAGAGCTATATGGGATTTAATACTGAAATATAAAAATGGTAATGCAGGTTAATTTGTTTGTATATTATAGACAGGCCGTTAATATTTTTTTATATGTTTTTGGTTAAAAATATTGTATATTCATGTTTATTACGTAATTTTATTTACATGTAGATTTTTGTAAATATTCAGCAATAATATGCAGGTATTCCTCATGTAATACAGTAAGTTTTCTAATGACATGTTTTAACACAGCTAAAAAATTTCAGGATTCTTTGTATTATTTCTTTTCAACTTTGTACATCATTTAAAATTCTTAGAGTGTCAGTTAATGAGTCTTTTAAATAAATATTAATAATTCTTTTTTTTGGAGGTGGATATTAAGTGGCATCCTGAGAATTCTTACCTCAAAGTTTAAAAAAAAAAAAAAAAAAACTTTAAAATTATTTTGTATTGCCGTAATTAGAAGTTCAGATTTTGAACTACCTTAGAAAAGAAAAGTTGTCATACTCTCCAAAAGCTTTAAATCATGAAACAGTTTGGGGATCTAGCATAACAAAAACATGAAAATTAAGCTCATTTTTGAAAAATGTAGAATGAAATGTTTTTATGTTGGATTATTTATCAAAATTTTGAAGAACAAGGCCTTTCATTATGAGTAAGATTTAATAATAAAATATGCTTTTAACAATTCACAGGCTAATAAAAAATGTTTATCTTACATACTCACCTGTAGTATCCTCTCCACCCAACACTTTCTTAAAATTAAAAAAAATTAAATAAATAAAAAATTAAAGAATGCATTTTCATTTATTTGGTCAAGAAGAATGCTTCTTAGTCCTCTCTTGTTGCCTTTTGTAATTTAATTCCATGAATAAGTTAATATTTATTGGTGAATAGAATAATTAATATCTTCTATCACTTAAATGAAGCATGTGTTGTATTTATCTCAAGTAAATTTCAGCATTTTTATTTTTATTTATGTCAGTTTGAATATCCAGATTAAAAAAAAAATAGGAATATGAATAATATGGTATATTAGTTTAATTATTTGTGTCATAAGATGTTATAAACATGAAATTAATCCCTTTTCTAATTATGTAATTTATCAATTAATTTTTTAATCATAGTTACTGAAATTTTTCATTTTATCTAATGACATGAATATGATTATGTTTTGTAACATATTATATATTTTATTATCATGTGCTCAGGTTACTCAATTTTTAATTTTTTTCCTCTCATTACTTTCTTAGGAAGGACAATTTTGCTATCTACACATCACATGGATGAAGCCGATGTGCTCGGAGATCGTATAGCGATAATTTCTAATGGACAGCTACGTTGTTGTGGCACCCCATTATTTTTGAAAAATAATCTTGGAGATGGTTATCATTTGTACATTGTCAAACAGCAGGCTGAAGCCAGTTTTGATAACGGTAAAAATTCTTTTCCATTTTCTAGAGAAAAAATCTTTTATTAATTGTTTTAAAGTACGAGGGCAATCCCAAAAAAAAGGTCTCCTATATTTTTAGATATTCAAAGAACTGTTTATTTTCTATAATTGCTACATCACTTTAAATATTGAAGAATGCTTTATTTTCAACATAATCGCCATTTCGGTCGATGCATTTTTGTAGACGCTGTGGCAGTTTTACAATGCCCATGTCATACCAGCTTGCCGCCATGCCCTTCAGGAAGTGTTGAGGAGCTTCAGGAGCATCCAGATGATCCTCCGATCTTTACGCATTTTACGAACTCAACAACCGCGAAACTCAACAAATACGAACTCAACAATTCCGAAAGTTGAAACTCAACTTTCGCGATAGTTTCGTTGGCAATTGACGGCCTCCCACTCCTTTCTTCGTCATGAATTTCAGTACGACCGGCTGTAAACTCTCTACACCTCTTGCGAACGTTTTTGACATCCATGCACGACTGTCCATACACTTCCGTCAATAGGCGGTGAATTTCAACCGGTTTAACGCCTTTTGCTTTCAAAATCGAATAACTGCGCGCACTTCGCACTTGGCGGTAACGTTTATCGGGAGTGATGCTAAAGCAAAGTTTAAAGTTTAAAGATATTAAACATTTAGCAGTGGTAGCAATGAAAGCTCCCTGAGTTATGTTGTGCAGACATTGAAGACAATAAAAGATTTTTGAACTTAACCAATTTATTAACAATATAATAAAAAAATAAAAACACATAAAATAAATTTCAACAATATTAGAGTATTAGGCAGAACATAACATAATCATCATTCATCAAATATTTTTACCTGTACTCCAAAACACTGGCATTCTATACAAACAAATTTAAAAAAAAATGAAAAAGTCCTAAAAAGTGACTATGCCGCCTAAAAAATAAAGCAGGCTACCCATTCCATAAGTCCATAATCAATGGTCAAGAAAACACCTGAAAAATTTAAATGTGAAACCACTTAAAACCGGCCTAACGCCATTTGCACAAGGAATCGTTCCCGCTCACGTATTTTTAATTCCACCCTCCTTGAAGAAATATGGACGCTGCCTACGGTAGTCACTCACAGGACAGCCCCCGGAACTGAAGAACTTCAATCTGGAACCATTATCTTGTAAACCGGAATCAAGGCATCCTTTCACCGGACTGCAGGCATCCTTTGGAAGGGGCTGAAAACCACTCACAAACCAGCCGGGAAACCAGGAACTAGAAGCATTGAACCAGAGCGATGCGAGATACTTATAGCAGAAGTAGGAATGACGTCATCTCATGGCAACCAATCAGCTATCGGCACGAATCGGCTTTTCAGATGACGTAACATTGTTTCGTTTTTGCATCTCAATTAGGTTGAGACAGTCCGTTTTCAATGCAAACAGTGGCAGCAAGAAAAAGAAGTAGAAGTAACTACTATGTTACATTAAAATAAGGACTAAACTAAATAAACATTTCAAGGAGGAGAGATGATGCATTAAAAAGTTTGAAAATAAGCTATATTTTCCAACAAATGCCCTCCATATCGTCATCTCCGACCTGAAATAAAAACCGAATGCCAGTATCTTTACAAAAATTCAAAACAAGAATAAATAAATATCACAATTTCATTCAATTCAGAAATTTTTAAGAAAAATTTTTCTTTGGGAACATCTTATCCCATTATTCAAAAATTTTACCGTAGCAAGAAAGTCCAAACATGTTACAAAACAATACAAAGACATATATATGATCATACACTCAATACATTTTACCCAGGGCCCTGGTCACTCATACAACATTCTACACTTATACAATTTTACATTTACCTAATATCCATCATAATATGACTTATAACATATTATTTTCAATGTTTCAAATAAACAAAACTCTTAATTTAAATACACACAAAAACAAATTTCATAAGAAAATTGTTCCACAAAATCTTTATCAGGTTATGCTTTAGTCAGCGGTTTTGTCATGGGATCAGCCAGATTATCTTTACTTGGGAACATATTTTAAATCAAAAATTTCCCTGTTCAATAGATCACGAATGAAAAATAGTTTCACATCTATATGTTTTTTGTCCTTGAGTTTTCAATGGGTGATTTTGTAAAACATATAGCAGCCATGTTATCAGCAAACAATATTGGCCTTTCGAAACATAGTTACTTTGCAATTTTAAACTGAATGCATTCATCCAAAATGTTTTTAAACCAAACTAATTCTTTTGCTGATTCAGTCATGGAGATAAATTCAGCCTCCATAGTAGATAAACTCACTCCCCTTTCTTTAAACGTATGCCAAGATACAGGTGATTCTCCCAACAAAGCTATTTGTCCACCAATAGACACCATATCATCCCTGCTTGAAGCAAAATCCGAATCTGAATATATATTGAGCTTCAGTTCCTTGCATACCAGCTTGAGTTTGTGCTATCTGGTATTGGAAACGTACCCTAAAAGTTTAAGTAATCCTTCCCAGTGAAACTTACCAGGATTGCTTTGGAACTGAGAAAATATATTAACAGCATAAGCTATATCTGGACGAGTACGATTGCAAAGAAACGATAGACATCCCAAAACATTTCTATAAGGATAATTCATCATTTCAGTCGTTTCTTCTTGTGTACTGGGACTTTGAGACTTTGAGTATTTCACACCTTTAACTATTGGAAGCGAAGTAATTTGTATTTTAAAAGACTTAAATCGATTAACTATGTCTTCTATATATAATTGCTGATGAATTAAAACACTATTTTTCTCATATTCAAACTCCACACCCAGAAGCTTTCTTGTTTTACCTAAAATTTTCAAATCAAAATGTGAACTCAGGACTTTTAATATCCTTTTGGCCTGAACTTCACTTTTCCCAAACACAACTATATCATCAACATAAACCAACAGAATGACAAAATCTTTAAAACGATAGACACAATTACACCACTCAAACTTGATGAACCCTAGGTTACATAGTGTTCTATCCAACTCGTAGTACCATAATCGGCCACTCTGATGTAAACCATACAAGGCTCTATCTAATCGACACACAAAAGTTTCTTTATCTCGCTCTACAAAACCCTGTGGTTGGGACATGTAAATTTCCTCTGATAAAGGAGCGTAGAGATAGGCACTTTTCACGTCACATTGTATATTTGCCCATCCTAGGTGTGCAACTAAAAGGGAGAAAAAGAGCCTTATTACTGAAAAGTTGACTACAGGAGAGTAGGTTTCATCATAGGTATCGTATTTAATTTGCCGATAACCCTGAGCCACTAAACGAGCTTTAAAACGAACAATGTTTCCAAATTCGTCACGTTTAATGTTCTTCAACATGTTGAGTTTAATGTTCCACCTGCAACCTAGTGGAGTCTTGTCTTTAGGAAGTGGAACAAGATGCCATACCTTATGCTTTCGCATGTTGGCCATTTCCTCTTCCATTGCCCTCTATCCATTTAAGCTTTTCTGTGGATTTCATTGCCTGGTTATAAGTGTTTGGAATTGAAACATCTAGTCAGCTATCTCTGGGTATATGACGTTGAAGGAGTACCAGGTTGGGTCGATTTCACCACTATAAGTATTGCTTCCCTTGAAATCAAACAAGGTAGGATCATACTGAATATTATGTTCAGTGCAATACCTTTCTACATCATTTGGTGATCGTAGTCTTTGATTACACCCCCTCTCAAAATAATACACATCCGTACGAGTGCCGTCTGGCCTTGGAACAGGTTTACGAAGCCAAGTTACTTGTCTCAATGTAGATTGAGTGTCAGTGCCAATTGTAGAAGAAGGGAACATTGGTATCGGTTCTTTCCTCTATTTCAGGAAAATAGCCAACTGGAGTGTCAGTAGATTGGAACTCTACCCTTTCTTCAGATTCCAAATCAGGAAGGGTGCCCAGTGCAGCTCCACTGCCACTTTTCTGCATTCCAATCGACTCTTTAAAAGTAGCATTTAGGGTTTCTACTACCTTTTGCTCATTTTCCAACCAAATCTTGTACCCTTTTGTTCGTACACTGTACCCAATCATCGGCCCTTTGTTGCCTTTGGATCAAGTTTTAGAATTTCTTTTAGCCTTTGGAATTCCCACATAGGCAATCGTTCCAAATGCCTTAAGATGACGTACTGATGGTTTCCGCTTAGTGTATAATTCGAATGGGGTTCTATCTTGGCCCTTATGACAAATTCTATTAAATGAATATGCAAAATACATTACTGCATCTGACCAAAATTCGGAACTCATTCCACTATCGTGTAAGATTGCACGTACATTGTTGAGAGCTGTCTGATTAAATCTCTCACAAACTCCATTCTGTTCTGGAGTATAGACATCTGTAAATTCGTGCTTTACACCATTTTTATTACAATATGACCTGAATTGATCATTATCATATTCTCGCCCATTGTCAGTCCTAAAGTATTTCAACTTAAGGTTCAAAGATCTTTCCGCACGTGCTATATGCCTTTCAAATACTTCAAACACCTGACTTTTCTCCACAATGGGGTACACTACCACATAACGAGAATATTCGTCAATAAAGGAAACGAAATAACGTTCACCATTCCTACCTGGAATGTTAATAGGTCCCCATACATCAGAGAAAACCCTTTCAAGCGGTCTCTTTACTTGAATACCTTCTAAAGGTCTATAGGAGATTCGTCTTTGCTTATTGATTTGGCAATGTTCACAAAACAAATTAGGTGAGTGCTTTAACACAGGAAGACCTCGAACTGAATGTCTCTTACTAGTCCTGACAATAGTGTCATAATTTATATGACCAAACCGACCATGCCATAATTCACTATTATTATGCTGAACTATGGATGCCTCAAATTTTACAGATTTGCGCCCTTTTTGATTATTTTCGGGAACACATGATAATTACTTCCTATCAACTTAGCTTTGTACAAAGTTGAATACTCATCATCAGTAACTTTAATTTGCCCATTTTTACCATAAAATCTTGCTCCATTGATATCCACCCTAGGTCC